TTAAATCTAGTTCTACTCGGATATGTGTTCACCCTAATTGTTACCAACATTATGGAGAGGAGTGTACCATGTCATATTACTGTTAAATCTAGTTCTACTCGGATATGTGTTCACCTTAATTGTTACCAACCTTATGGAGGGGAGTGTACCATGTCATATTACTGTTAAATCTAGTTCTACTCGGATATGTGTTCACCTTAATTGTTACCAACCTTATGGAGGGGAGTGTACCATGTCACATTACTGTCAAATCGAGTTCTACTCGGATATGTGTTCACCCTAATTGTTACCAACCTTATGGAGGGGAGTGTACCATGTCACATTACTGTCAATTCGAGTTCTACTCGGACATGTGTTCACCTTAATTGTTACCAACCTTATGGAGGGGAGTGTACCATGTCACATTACTGTCAAATCTAGTTCTACTCGGACATGTGTTCACCTTAATTGTTACCAACCTTATGGAGGGGAGTGTACCATGTCACATTACTGTCAAATCGAGTTCTACTCGGACATGTGTTCACCCTAATTGTTACCAACCTTATGGAGGGGAGTGTACCATGTCACATTACTGTCAAATCGAGTTCTACTCGGATATGTGTTCACCCTAATTGTTACCAACCTTATGGAGGGGAGTGTACCATGTCACATTACTGTCAAATCGAGTTCTACTCGGATATGTGTTCACCCTAATTGTTACCAACCTTATGGAGGGGAGTGTACCATGTCACATTACTGTCAAATCTAGTTCTACTCGGATATGTGTCCACCTTAATTGTTCATCAAGTTATCGACATACAGGTGTAACAACGCAAATGTAATTGTAATACTCAGAATGAAGTATACGGCTCCCGAAGGAGAAAGTCCAACGCACAATGCGTTAATAATTTGATATACTGACCTTCATCGGTGTTCAAAGAAAGAGTATTGAGTCTATTGGTAGAACTTTGATTGAAATTTTTATCCATTCTATTAACATGTAATTAGGTTATAAAATGTCCCATGAATAATGGGAAAATAAAGATATTATAATAATTAATTCGAACTTATGAACTGATGAAAAATGACATTTACATGAGAGAGAAATGCCAAAGGGAAAAAAATAATGCAAAAAATACAAGGCGTCTACAAAAAAGTGTACCCAGCTTCAAAGCCAAGATACCAGAATTCTAAGCAATTTTTGGAAGATTCAAAGGTAGCAGTGCAAAGCATAGTTCGGTGCAGGATAAATAAGGCTTTTTGCTGTTACTTGTATTTTTAAAAAGAATTGCTGAGGGTTCAAGCTAGTTAATTTGGTTTTGAAGTTGGGTATACTTTTTTGTGGCCGCCCTGTAGTAATATAATACCATAGTCATTACGCATTTTTCCTAACGAAGTCATATTGTTTCATCTGACATAGAAAGGCAGGTGATGTGTTGGTTGTGTATGTTGTGAGATCGGTTAAGTAATTTATCATTGGAAACAGAGCATCATTGATGTACATACATAATGCAAGTTAAACCTATCTAAGCTAATGGAATTGTAGAATAATATGATAATGCCTTTATTTGCTGTTAATAAATCAGGCGTCGTTTCATGGACGTTGTAGGTCTGCCATCACGTACATAGTGCACATGCAACAACCGACGTCGAACGCCGGTGTGAAAGAAATTATGGTCCCCCGGGGATTATGGTCCCCTTTCTTAACGGCCCTTACTCACCCTGATTGTGTATAAGATAATAAGGAAAAGGTCACCATATAAATCAATGGAGAGTAGGACCATACATTAATAGGACCTCCTACCCTTTTACACCGGCCGCCGAACGCCAAAATGCTGAACACCGTTCAAAAGAAATTTGGAGACTATATCAACATGTCCCCATTTGCGGTTGTAACATAAAATCGCAAACAGAACACAATGTATGTTTGTCGTACAGAGTGTCCCCCAAAATGTAACATGAATACAAATGACAGCTTTACAGATAATGCATTTTCTTTAAAAATTCGGAACGTGATAATCCTATATGAGTTAAATACTGTTTGCTATATTAAACAATCTCTACCCGGGAGTGTTTTTTCTGTGTCAACAAAGTTTTTCTAAAAACAGAGTTTTGCCTTTTCGGTCACCCTGCATGGGCGAAGCCAGAGGGGTGCGATGGGTGCGATGGATCGCACCCCCTCATGACCAATAAAGATAGAACATTTAGATGGAGGAAAAGAGCTCTAAAATGCTTTTTATTTCAAGCTTCTACTCAATTTTGAAGGAAGTTGCATCAATTTTTGTAAAATTCAAAACAAATCTTAAATTTTGCCTTCCTTTTGTCACGATCGCACCCGGGGGCCCCTGACTGAAAATCGAAAAAAATTGGCGATCGCACCCCACCCCTGACTGAAAGCTGGCTACGCCCCTGCCCTGTATAACAATGTCGTAGCATTCATTCTGTTGCATTCTCAATTTTCATATAATATTTCCATGTTTAGACATTGCCCATGCTGTAGCATTCCACGAACACGGAACCAATCGTAGCTGAAGTCCTGGCTATTGAACTGAAGAACTGCAAAAATAATGATTGAAGAAGACGGTTTAATAAAAAGAGAAAGAAAGTTCAAATGTGTCATATACATGTTCAATTCTCTCTCGTTTTAAATCCTTCTAAATCTATAATTGATCGATACGGATGTTTTCCAATAAAAGAACAATGGCTGGGCTGACAACAAAAGATATATGTGTATCATGTTTTTACCGTTGACATGCAATAGAGCATTTATCACTAGCAAACTTTAACTGTCTTTACAATTCATCTATTTATTAAACAATCTAATCCATGGCAGAGTAATCCAACTCATTCAGCATCCAGATAATACTTCATTGAACCGTGTCATAAAAATCTGAAGAGGAGTTTTGCATTCTTAGTTGGCAAGAGGATTTAAGTATTAAACCCATAATAGAAAAACAATGCACGGGGGTTTATCAATGACGCAGTAAACACGAGACAAAGTCGAGGTTAACATGCAATTTAAAGAGTACATGACCTATTGATAGCACTAATCGTTGATTTTCAAGATAAATTGATTTGATTCTTTATTAAAAGCATACTTTTAAAAATCAGTCTGACATATTGGCAATTTGTCTACTTGAAGACAGTTCCTTCCCATCTCGGAAACGATAATACAATATTAAAGTGGCATGTTATTTTTGCTTTATCATTTGTTTTACTAAGAGGGGATTCAGAAATGCTTTATTGAAATACACAAAGTAACAATGGTAAAATGATGCATGAGGGGAGACTCATCCATATGACCATGATACGCGTGAATGTACAGGGTGGGCTAACAAAAATGCAACAAATGAATAAAACATCTCTACAAAGACCGAGTACTTGTTTTAATATTTACACAAACTACTTACAAATGCTTAAACACAGCCCACCTTTAAAATGGTGCATTATAAAGTATGGCTTATTAATAGGAGCAATTTTAAAATACTTCATGACGGGTACGTGGATTTGTCAAAGTGACAATAAGGCAGAATGTAAATTCCAGGATGTAGATCAAGTTATTAAACATTACAAAATAATACTTCAATTGTTCGATCATATTTCTAAAAGAGACTTGTAATACCAATAAGTCTCATTAAGTTACAGATCAAACCAAGAATTTGTTTAAAATAAATTAAAACCAATATTATTTTTAATAATAGTAAAGATACCAAAAGCAAACAAAGAGCGAAAGTGTTACTAAAATAGGAAAACCAAACCAGAGCTACTCTTGCTGAATATGAGAATGTCATCACGATTGTTAAGACTAGGTTTTGGCGATCAAAACACATTAATTTGATCATGATGACATTTTCTAGCTTTAGGCAATCTTACCAAACGTTATATTAAAGCTCTAATTTCGACTTAAGTAATAATATAAGTCAACAATTGGTAGAATGACAAAAAGGTTGTATCAAAGTCGACACATTCTGCTTCGTTCAACTTTTCCAAACTGCTTTAAACGTACCAGTCAGGCAAGTTACACGCATCATATAAGAAAAAAACATACTCGTACCTCTTATTCACATTAACTTAAAAAATTGTAGAACGGATGGTCAATAACTCAGATGCGAGTAGGTAGTTACCAGTTTCACCACCAGGTGGCTCATTCGGGTCAGATGGCATAGCAGTCTTGGCAGATATTAGAAAGTTCACTTAAATATTCATCGGTTTAGTGGTTCGAATTTATTTCTACTAGCATCTATTCCACTCGACATTTTTATTACTCCGACCGCGTTTCCATTGACACGTTTCGGCCGTGACGTTTTCTTTCCGTATTATCTATATCTTTAACCATTATTATTCCCCTTTAACACAATTTCTTCAGTAAGATGCAATTGTAAACTTGAAAATTACCTTTAAATTGATTTTAACATTTCTGGAGTCAAGGTTGGTTGTTTTTAGTAAGGTCGTTTATATAAATCAATTATGAGTTATTAGGCAAGACCGATGGGATTTGTAAACATGGTTTTACACTTAACAAGTTAAAGGTGCAATTTAGCACATATTTCTGATATTGCCCATCTTCTCCAATGAAATGTGTATTTTCAATACAAATATTAACATGAAGATCGAGAGAGAAATGAACAAAATGTGTACATCCTATTATATGGGAGAATGTAAAATTGGACCGCTTTAGATTTTAGTCTTGACAAGGTCAAGTAATTTTGAATGGTTAAATATCCGAACCAAGGACTTGAATATGTGTCGTTTGGGCAGTCTATAGATCCAATTCAATCCATCTTTAGGTTTCAGAGTTATATTTAAATGTGCTATCATGTGCTGTACAATCAGTCTGAACTGATTCTATACCATCTAATATTAGGGAGGTCACCTTTATGCTATCGTCAAGTGCACGCGTAACTTACCAGTCCAAAAATGACTGAAATCAATGTGCAAGCGAGTAAATGCCACATGCAACGATCCAATCATAAAATGAAAAGAAAGGCTATGGAAGCTGCACAGACGGTGATGACAGAACGAATGAATATTCTTCTACTTCTTTATTATAAACGGAAGGTTTTCATAAAAACGTGTATCAAACGCTGTCTGGTGCAACGTTCTATTGTGAAGATGTTCGAACAGGCATTCTGCAGTGTGATATTGAAAGTCCAGGTAAAACTTATTGGCAAACAATGCCGGGTTTTTCATCAACATCACAAGGTCACCGACTCCAAAAATGCATATCTGGCGTGTAAACATCCCGTGGCAAACCTCGTCCTTGTTCCAGTCTGCGTTCCAAATCGCATAGACTGCTAGCCAGAGTTTGTCATCGGGAACACCTAAAAAGAGACGATAACATTTACTTGATTGACTATCTACCATAGTTACCGAGCTTTTGAGCATAAACAGAAGCGGTAATGGAAACCAAGAGGGTGGGGGCAAAAACTGAATTGAAAAAACTGTTATGGTCGTCCTATAGTTCAACAGAAAGTTAATCCAAAATTAGAGGCTTGGGAGCATTTGCATTGTCTCTACAGGGAATGTTGATGTAATGTCATATGCATGAGTAGGCCTTATGGTGTATTATGGGAATTTGTTCCAATCATAATATGAAGTTGAGGAAATTCATTATATTTACCTTCATATCAATAGGCGTGTTGAGGGGACCCATATACTTCACCAGTATAGTATATCCACGGGTGGGTTGAAGGGACACATATATTTACCGTTATATCCATAAGCGTGTAGAGGGGACTCATATATTTACCTTTATATCCATAAGCGTGTAGAGGGGACTCATATATTTACCTTTATATCTACAAGCGTGTAGAAGGGACTCATATATTTACCTTTATATCCTCAAGCGTGTAGAAGGGACTCATACATTTACCTTTATATCCATAAGCGTGTAGAGGGGACTCATATATTTTCCTTTATATCCATAAGCGTGTAGAGGGGACTCATATATTTACCTTTATATCTACAAGCGTGTAGAGGGGACTCATATATTTACCTTTATATCCATAAGCGTGCAGAAGGGACTCATATATTTACCTTTATATCCACAAGCGTGTAGAAGGGACTCATATATTTACCTTTATATCCATAAGCGTGTAGAAGGGACTCATATATTTACCTTTATATCCATAAGCGTGTAGAGGGGACTCATATATTTACCTTTATATCTACAAGCGTGTAGAGGGGACTCATATATTTACCTTTATATCCGTAAACGTGTAGAGGGGACTCATATATTTACCTTTATATCTACAAGCGTGTAGAGGGGACTCATATATTTACCTTTATAATCACACGCGTGTAGAGGGGGCTCATATATTTACCTTTATATCCACCTGGTGTGTCAAGATGAGGGTTGCTATAGAGATGATGCAGTGTTGCCCAATAGTGCTCATCTGGGCTGTATGTATCTCTGGACCACTCAAGCAAATCGTAGGCAATTTTATCTCTGTTAATGAATTCAACAAATCCACGAGAGAACACCCCGTATGCACTTCCAGTGACGAGTGTGAGATTGTGTGGAGGAGGGGGTTTAATATCTCCACGTTCATAACTTGGATCACCTCCCTTGTTTTTACTGACAACCCTCCAGCTGTGGTTGAACCTCCAGGTCTGAAAGTCATGCCTTGTATGTCCTTCGATGTCATTCGCCCCGTTGTAGATCTTCAATATTTTAACAATCTCTAGGTTGGTTTTCAGGGGTAAAGTCTGACTAGCAAGATTCATGTAATATTTCCACTGTGTTTGAGTCTGCAGTAAATCAGCCATACAGTTGATATCCGCTTGGAGTCGGGCAAAACCCCCATATATGATCTCTTCAAGTTTTGAGGCAATGAACACATTGGGAAAGCATTTTGCTATAGATTTCATTGCTTGTTTCACCTCTAGGTTTGAATCAGTGTCAATGTGGATACAATATATATTTTGTGGTCTGTAGATTGTCCTTAATAGAAACTCAGTCTGCGCCACTTCTTTGTACATCAAGATACCAAACGCCAGGGGAAACTGTTTCTCTTCCAGTGTTACCGGTTTTGTGAAGTAACCATTCGATGTGAGGAATTCATTGCAATGTTGGTGAACGCCTAAATAATCACTATCTGGGCGCATCTTCTTGGGCAGTGATTGGTAGTAAGTCTCACTGCGCTTCAGCTCAGTTTCGTTACCACTAATCATTTCTGCACAGTTCAATGTATAATCAACCGTGAGGTTTCTTGGAGGAGGTGGAGGACCTCCCCAATGTCGTCTGCGTTTTTCCATGACGTCATTATACACCGCATGATGATCTGCCTTGATTAGGGGTGAAACAAGGTTTATATATGGTCTCATCGGTGCCTGACTCGTCACGAGTGGCTGAATTGAGTCGAGTTCCGGAATTGTGGCGAGTGGCTGGCTTTTGTTTTTCTCGAATTCAGATTCATGATGATTTTCAATTTGAGGATTCTGGCGTTGAATATTCCGTAGTAAAATGACAAGATTGACAGCCAATACGCCCCAATACAGATGACGGTTCTTACAGCGCACCATTATTCCATGTGTAGCCGAGTTTTAATTCACTGAGATGGACAGACCGACACTTGGAACTGAAGATGTTGTTACAGTCATTGATGAAGTGCACCAACTACAAAATGAACAAATGTAAAATGTAAATATATTTGTAAATACGAGGGGTGATCAGGAATTTCTGGACCGTTGGTTCTATTTTTGCCATTTTCTTTCCTTTCTTTGTGATTTGTTCACACAATATAACTTTAATATATAGAATCACACCCTAAAGATTATAATTATGATTGCAGCTACTAATACTTGCTACAGAGGAGTTGACGATCAAAGTATCGAAGATTTACACATTTGGTTCTGAGTATTTACATTGTACGACATGAATGCTAGTAATAAAGAGCTAGAATTTAAACTACATTAAAAGGCAAGATTTTCATTTAGAAACACTACTTAATAATCAGATAATTACCTGTATTCGTACTTTCTTAAACAACATACATGTTTCTGAATGTCCATCGTTCGGGTTTTCTATATAAACAATTTCTTTTTCTCAGAGCATCGCATGTAATACATGCATCTGTTGAATCAAAAGACTGTTCAGCATGGTTCTTTGCCAATAGAGTGTGTGGGTAATCTTTGTATTTGGCATTCAAGAACTACATTTGTATGTACAGTGTACAAGATTAGTACACAAATGGGTTAATCTTGGATTACGTATAGAATGCTTTATATTTATTATCATATAATAAGCTGATTTGTAGAAAATTCCTTGAAGCAACAAAGTATTTGGACTAACTAAATGAAAGAATAAATAATACTGTGGATACATATATATATTCCACAGTTCATTTCATACAAAAGTACGACGAGTCTCATTGTAATATTTTAGCCATATACACTCCCCTCCATAAATTTGGCAAACAGAAGGCCCCCTTTAGGAGTTAGACTGTTTATGATTTACATTTAAAAAATCAACAAAGTCACGAATTGCCAACTGTTGTAATCAAAGGACAAATTAAGATTCGATTTCTGAACGGCTCTTTTCCAACAAAAACTTCTGGTGGGGAGTGTACTAAACAGAATAACTTGCCCATTTTGGATGTACATTTACCCATTAATTTATATTCATTCTTTTAGCTTGAATTGGTCAAAATAATAACCAGTATATATAGCATGCCTAATTTTGTGCATGCAGGATTACCCAAAAAGAAGGATTTGGAATCTGATTTAACATCATACATTCATGTTTTTTAAAAGGGGATTTGATTTGTAATGGTGGTCGTTTTTCAATGCATATCACAAGGATGACAACTTCATGACATTCACTATAGTGGTGGACTGGTTAATTGAAACAGAAACAATTTCTCATTGTCGTTCTCAGATTTGAAGATTTCTCAGAGAATATTAACAATTTGTTCCCCATCCTATTCCACCTAACAACGACAAGTTTCTTTGACTTTTTATTGATTTTAGATAAAACAATTTTATTTCAGTTAACAAAATAAAGTGCCTAAACAATTTGTTGCCTTTGACAACTCTGTCACAACGAAGGTTGACAAGGAATTAAATCAAATATCTAGTTTTGGGAATAATTTGTCTCTAGTGAAAAGTCTAATAAAAACAAAACAAATTGTCATTTATTTAAGGAATAAATAATGATAGGCCATTCAATATGGTGAAATTCAGCACGAGTTGGACAGAATGTTGTACAAAGCACGAACCGAAGGTGAGTGCATTTGTACTAACATTCTGTCCAACGAGTGCTGAATTTCACCATATTGAATGGCCTATCATTATTTATTCCGATTCAAACATAAAAATTAGTAAAAGTCGTGTCTGTGGAACGGGCATGAAGGAACAGCTATCCCCGGACAGAGCCCCAGATGTGCAGCTGAGATGTGACGTCACTCAAAACAATGCAAATTGCAGATTGAATAGAGCATGGTCGTGCATCTATGAAGAATTAGAGAACGTTCTATATTGGCTATGCTGCATTCTGATTGGTTGAGAAATTCGAATAGAGCACGGTCATGTTTGAATTGTGTACATTGCATAGTACATTGAATGTATTAAATATACAACTCTCTCATAAACATACATTTTGAAGTATATACAACGGTATTTTCATAAATATTCTCTTGCATATAGGATTACAGACAATAGGCAAGAGTGGCCCACAACATATAGCAAGAAACCCAAATAAAATAGTATTCTATATTTTACTTATATAAAATGCTACCTAATGGTCTAATGGTCATTCTGATATTTAAAGCAAAATTAAATATTGCTTTAAATATTGTAATTCCAATTTTTCCTAGAGTTTGAACAATTTATGACAATGATGAAAACATTTCTGTTTTTGATAGGTTTCACAGCTCACACACATTATTGGCACACGTTCTTGGACAGATATTTGTTTAAAAGTTCATGGACTTCAGTGCAATGTCTTCGTCCTGTCTAAAGCTAATTTATAATCACATTGATTTGGGGCCAGGTTTTCTAAGTTCGGACTCAAGTTAGCAATACAGTAAAACCTGGTACATCTTACAAGTGTTCCACTTAGGACTGGGAGGTGTTCCACTTGGGAGGTGTTCCACTTATAGAGGTTCATTTAACATTGAGTCACTGTCTTGGGATTGAAAAGCCCACTTTACATGTTTTACTGTACTTTTTAAATTCATAATGGTCTTTTAACTCACTGTTAAACCGTGTGTGTTCTTTCAGTCATTATGTAATACCTTGATGGATTGAGATGCTCTAACATGCACAAGCAATAAACCTTAATAAAAACCTTATTTTAAGTAATTATTGAAACTAATGTAGTATACCGGGTACAAAGAAATCCTTTTAAAACTGAGAATGGCTGAGTAATAAATATCAATTCAGTTCCTCATACAAGCCAGAAAAACCATTGAAAATTTGTCGAGCTTGTATTAAGTGTGCTGGCTTATAAACAAGCCCAAAAAATAAATTTGATATTTATTGGCAAAATGAATATCCGGAGGATATCGTAACGATATACTCCGGGTGGAGGATATCGTGACGATATACTCCGGAAAACCCAATATGCGGAGGATATTGTGACGATATACTCCGCTTGTTGATTTCCCGCCAAATTGACTCTATTTGGCATGGAATTCATTTTGCAATAATATTATACATTTAGTACACTCCTTGTAAGTGTAGGATAATAAGAACATTTTGCAGAATATCATTTTAATCTACTCGGTGATATTGATATATGCACTCGTTCGCTTCGCTCCCTCGTGCAGATATCAATATCACCTCGTAGATAAAAATGATATTCCTCAAAATCATAGGATATCCTATAACTAATATACTTGCAATATATTATTAACCCTTTCCCGACGTGAATATAAGAGGAAAAAGTTGGCCCTGATGACAGATAAGTAAGAGCGTTTTTTAGGGGAAAACTGCAAATTACCTCCGCCCCAGGACCTATACCTTGAATTTTATCACTGAAACACAATTTTCAGTAAGGATTATCACATTAGAACAACTTGTCAAAATTTGGTGTAACTGGAGATATTGTCATTTCATTGATGTATATAAATAATAAAAAAATAATGGTGCCAAAAGGAGCCTATCATCCTGAATGGTATTACATAATAGGGCTCCATATGGAGTCTATCGTCGTGAAAGGGTTAAACAATTTTTAACTAGAAAGGTTTGTACAAGAGTCTATCGAATGTGCAATTTAATTTACAGACTAAATAACTTTTGGGTTATTTACGATCAGAATTATATACACTGCAACCTAATAACAGATAAATAAAAAGTCTTTAACAACTGATATCAAACCCCAATTTACCAGTTTATTTTAGAGCTTTGTAGGGATGTTTCTATATTTTTGTACATGTATCATGTATACGTGATTGCAGTACTCATTCAAATCATATACTGCACATTGTCTTTCTTTATATGGTACTCACTGGGAAGAGTTCCAAAAACACAAGCTCCTTGAAAACAATGAATAATAATATTTCACAGGAATGTAATTCATCCTTTTATAGTGTTAGCAAAAAATGCTTGCTCAATGTTTCCCTCTTTCAAAACAACAATAAAACAACATCTCTATGGTAACTGTTACACAGCAGGGTTAAATTGCTTCATCACGAAGCATTTGTAACGAAGCATTTCCACAAAAAGCTTCGTAATGAAGGATTTCTTCAGATTTAGACAGGCACAAAAATCCTTTGTCGGGAAGTTTTTAGTAAAATTGCTTCATACATGTATTGCAACAATGAAATAATATAATCTCCAAAAATGGATACATTTAATAAATGAGTTACTATAGCAACTACTGAAATGATACACTGCGGTTGCTATAGTAACAGAACACTTCACTACCTCCTTCTCAAGAGAATTAAGCCTCCTATGGCGAGAGCAATAACTGTCATGAAATAAAGGTCCCAGTTTGAGCCAAGGTAATAGCGAATGTATGTGGATGATGCTTCCTGGAAGCTGGCAGAGTTCTGGAAAAAACAAAAAGACATTGAATTATGGATAATAAAAATTGTATATGTAACATTGGCAAATCAATATGGGTACAAACAGTAAAACCTGCTTATTGGAACATCTGTGTAACTGGAACATGTCAAAATTGGAACACTTTTCCAGTTTTCAAACCCATAATGTAACTTCAGCCTGTGTAAGTGGAACACCTCCAAACTTGGATAGTGAACAAACCATAATGAAAAATTAACCTGTATAGGTGTGATAATGAATATTAAGCAAATTATCAATACACCAGCCTATCAATTTGCTGGACATGATAATTGTGTTCATATCTGATGAAGAGGCTCCATCATAAGCTACAAAGGAAACTGAAAATTAGGACTTTGTTCTGTTAGCCTTCATTACAAATCTGAGATTATTTACTATCAAGAAGCATCTAATCTGAATCAGTGATAAATGTTCATCATTAAAAAGATGTCTACTGTACTGGATATGACTGAAATGCCTTTCAGGAGAATGTATGTCCGTTCGCACTAGGCTAGATAATCCTGACAGGCGATTCTATGAGTGTTAGATATCTGATTAATCTTACATAGGAATCTCATCGTAATCTAGAACATTCAGTTTAATCAAACGATTCACCCTTCAATCATTCTTCTTTCTCCCATTAGTGGCATTAAGAAGATGTTCTATAAGTAGAATGAATTTATCATTTCTGTTGTGTTATCAGAGCTGTTGTCTTGTGTATGTGTCGAAGTGAAGATGGATGATGGATGATGTCAAAGGGGTGATTATCATTACAATTACGCTCACAATACAATCCATTCTTATTTAGTAACACTGATCGATTTTCAATTATCTCACCGACCATTACCACATATTAGCATAAGCACACAGCATACTAATTCATAGGTATACCTCTACCATGATTTCAACTTCTCTCTTTTACACCGGCAAACACAAAATCTCATCCGTGTAAGAATGCATGTAAGGGATACAGGTTCAAATGATTTGTTTATTTTGTATTAAGAATAAATGATATTGAATCATTAATTCTGATTAATCGTTTACACCTGTCAAACGCAGAGTTTTGAATAATCTCAAGTCCAATAGCAGGGTCAACACAGCGATTCAAGTGCAATGATGCACAGCTAACCATTGACAATAACACAGCGCAAAATTGTGTTCACACTGACATTTAACTGTCATTTAGGTGCACCATGACTGGATAAGGGATGAGAATTTTTGCTGAACTTATCGTGAATCACTGTTCACCACCATTTAATTATTGCATCCTTTCAGTGATTGATTTGTTCAAATAGACAAGTTCAAATTATCATTATCTTGTAGTCATTAATCTCAGCAACTGACATTTAAAAAGAAATTCTACTGTATAATGATAGGTCAATTTCACACGATAAGCTAAAATAATACAATTGCCAATTTTCAAAAATTTCCGATCCATCCATCAAGCAATTTAGGTTCTTGAAACATGTAGACTTTACAGACAAGATCCCAAAATTCAAAAATAGCTGCCTTAAAATTTACCCAGAATGCCCAAAATCTAATCTATTCGAGAATGTTTATATTTAGAAATATTCCTAAAACCTGGAACCAATCCCTTAAATGGTCTGCCTTGACCCCTAGACAAGATTCATTGTGATGCCCTATCTTAAGCTAACATAATTTACATACACCTGTATCAACAATTAAACCTCTAACCATCAGTGAAGCTGCGGGTTATCATTTGTAATGAGCATTATGGAAATAACCAACAGCATCAATCAATGTAAATGCAGTGTGGTAAATTAATTCAGTTAAGACAATCAGTTGTGTCAAAATGTCACAGAGAAATCGCTTAGTAACAGCTTTTAAAGACATGCTTTACAAAGAGGTGCTTGATAATTCAGTGATATCTTTATCTGGGATTTCCGAACCTCTGATAGACCCCCCTTGAAGAGAAACTCGAACTCTATCTTCTCTAACTTGATAAGTCATTTCACTCTCTCTGGTCAATGTAAAAAGTCACTCTCTACTTTTTTCTAACTGGATGCTCGTCACCTAAGTCACACAACCTCTTACTTGATGCTATTATCAAAAGTCACCGTCTACTTTTTCTTATTTGAAGGTCACTGAGGTAAATCAGATTCTTTATTCTCTTACTTTTAGAATCAAGTAGATATGTTTTGTAAATTACAACTGAGAGATGAACCTTTAGTTTTCAGTGTTAAATAGTTTTTGTTCAAAAATCTGCATATATCAGAATCTGATATACCATCTCAGTTCACAATTTATGGTACCCTTTACATTTGTTTGACTTCGCTTTTTAAAAGAAAGCTTTGTCTCCACTCATCAGTTTACAGTAAATCTCTGAATTCACCGAGCCATTCAGAGTTTGTCGTCAAAATACAGACGACTTTCTATATATGGTAATTTCCTCTGACGTCATTGCATAGGTAATGAGCCAACGAGCACACATTTGGCATGTGTTGCTTCAAAGTTTAAGGTTTAAACTGGTTTAAGGATTCTCAAGTCCTAATGCACAAATCAGGAGCTATATACCTTGTATTCTGAGCTATTCCATTTGACTTACTGATTCATAAGATGGTATGAGAGAGAAACCAATTCTTTTATTAGTAGATCAATCAAGCTGCAGATATACCAAATATTGGAGTGATATAATTACTTCACACTATAGACTGTACAAAACATTAGATAAACAGGGAAAGTTGATTCTAAAAATCTAATATCAGATTTGCAGTAATCAATTGGCATCAAGATGGGTATTAACATTCAGCAAGGCACGAAACCTAGATATAATTCTTGTGTATTAAGGGTTGTGTACTCACATGCAAAATTTACTATATTTCATGTAAATTAAAGGTTGTGTACTAACATGTAAATAATTATATTTCATGTAAATTAAAGATTGTGTATTTAAACATGTAAATAATTATATTTTATGTAGATTAAAGGGTTGAGTGTATTAACTTGAGTGATAGTATATTTCATGTAAATTAAAGGTTGTGTACTAACATGTAAATTAAAGGTTGTGTACTAACATGTAAATAATTATATTTCATGTAAATTAAAGGTTGTGTACTAACATGTAAATAATTATATTTCATGTAAATTAAATGACTGTTTCACTTCCTTTAAGTCAGAGATGTACCTAAATTCTTAAAATCAAATCACAAAAAGCTGATAGAATGATGTGATATTAGAATGAATACTGTTTTGGGAATTGATCAGTAAACATTAGATTATTACAATACAGTTTTGTTTACACTTCAGTTTAATTGTTTAATTGTTCTTTTTTTCTCATGTCCATGTGACTCAGGTTAATATTTAAATGTTTTCACGCTGATACACTTATTAAAAGTGTCAAGTGTTATTATGTATTTGATTTTAATTTAGAGAATAAATATTTTTAATTAAAAAAAAAATATCTTTAGCCTATTATCCTTCAATGAATGAAAATTCTGACTTACCTCTTTTATGGAGTCCAGGCCATAGAGAATGCCTAGTTTTGCAAGGGCCAGAGTGACTGGAACCTGGGCATCATTACTGGTCTGCGATGCCATGTCATAGTACCTTTTAGCTAAGTGAATGTCCTGCAAAAAGAATATTAACAAATAAAACAAGACAAGACAGATTCATTAGAATTCATGTTAAGCTTACGCTACACCGAAAAAGCATGACATGGCACATGGATAGTTGTCAGCATCTCAACATAGTTAAATGATGAAATCATTTTGAACAGAATAAAATTATATGTGGAGTTGGTGTTTTCTAGTTAATATTATCATTTTGCATGTTCATGCCTTGTTAATAGACATGGAATAAACATGTATATGAATGATAGACCAACATACTTGCCAATGACTAATTACTACCCATTTCAATATGCCCAGATTTATAACCAACTCTGCAACCTTCTAACCATAGAAAAATAATCACTTTTTATTTGCAGACGAGGATTGGGAGTAAACTTGCAACAAGACAGGGAAACACGTGGCCAAACTCTACCAACAAGTCTTATATCATAATAGATTATTAATCCCCTGTGATGATATTATTTCTGATGTTTGTAAAGCATTAAAGGAAAAGTGTCATCTTTGATTACACTTATCTCTTATCATAGCCATATAAGTAGAGGTAATTAATTCAATCATCAGATAACATTATCTATATCTTATCTAAGATCATAACAATTAATATCTACAAAGGAGTTCATATAATGCACATAATAGGATCTTTCTAGGATATAGTATATTTAGATTTGTCCTGGAAGCAGTCATTTAATGCAAATAGTTATAGATATAGAGAGAACCAATAGACAAGGCATTAACATGCAAAATGGCACTACGTGCCATTTGTTACAGACACCAACAGCCAAATACCAACTGCCAAACGTTGTCCCCACAAAAAAGTTGGAGACTATAACAATGAATGTATGTCACTACTTCTGGTCGTGACGTAATACGGTTAGAGCAAATATGCTTTTGAAAGAATTTTGAAAATGCTTTTTAATAGTATGAGAGACTGATGTTTGAAAGACAGTATGTATGAGTGACAGAGTTGAGAGACAGTGCGCTATCGGGAGAGAGAATGTATAAGTGGCTGTATGTATGAGTGACAAAATTGTATGAAAGGGTCCGTATGAAAGAGGGTATGTGTGAGAGACAGGATATTATTGAGGCAGCATATATGAGAGGCAAAATATGAAAAACGTGTGAGAGAGACAGTTTAAATCAGACGATGAAGCGGAAATTAGAGTGGAAAAGTTAAACAATAAATCACATGAAACAATCAAGAAGTGAAGAATGAGTGAGAAAACCACATATGACACAAAGATAAAGTGAACGGTAATGACTGAATAATGTTCCTGTGAGATATTATTAGAGTTTTCTCGAAGTGTGACAATTACCTACTCGATTCAATGAAGTGGACGCAATGTAAAAATACATCAATTATGAAATTTGCTAAAAATCTCATCAGAAACTGCAAATGCGATCAATAGGGTGAATTACCATGTAAATCAATAATTCCACTTTTGCATAATGCAAACAATTGTCTTAAAGTACTTAAGTTGTAATATGTAAATATATAACTTGAAGGCCTAACACTTCAAACTGCTTATTGCACGATTAGTAGCGTATAATTAATTATTTTTCCAGAAAGATTTATTGGAAATGCCCTGCCAGTGCCATCTTTAAATGGAAATTAATTATTTCAGAATATTGTTCCAAATTGATCTAACGAATAGGCACTTTTGACAAGATATTCAGAAGAGTGAAATGCTGAAAACTGATAAGATGAGATTGTATCCATTCTACCGATATGACCATCAGGGCAAATTAATCAATCAAAATCAATCCACTCTGAACGCCTCATATGAATTACTAGCATGGACCCAATAAATTTGTTTTAGATTATCAGTTTTTATATTCCCCAAATCTTGTCAGCAAAGATGGATGAACAGTTAAAGGAGAGAATAGAAAGTGAGCAATTCCCAATAAGGCCCATCCTGCAGCTAAATTCCCCTAAATTCCCCAAAACGAAATGTACAAACTGCAACCAGGCTCCCAGTAACTCTGTCTCTTATTGGTTAGAATTTGTAGTAACAATAGGAGTCAGGTTGCAGTCCCAGAAATATCCCTGTAGTGTATTCTGACCTACCTGTTTCATTCCCAGGCCATTCTCATGCATATAGCCCAAGTTAAACATGGCTTGTGCACTGTGTTGCTGCTCTGAAGCCATCCTATAGTGGGAGGCAGCTGTCTCATAATCTACTACTGTGCCATAGCCATAGTAGTGGTAGTCCCCGAGCTTTACTCTAGCCATGGCATAACCTACAAATAGGTCATACATATAAGTCCCCTAGCTTCACTCTAGCCATGGCATAACCTACAAATAGGTCATACATATAAGTCCCCTAACTTCACTCTAGCCATTGAATAACCTACAAATAGGTCATACATATAAGTCCCCTAGCTTCACTCTAGCCATGGCATAACCTACAAATAGGTCATACATATAAGTCCCCTAGCTTCACTCTAGCCATTGCATAGCCTACAAATAGGCCATACATATAAGTCCCCTAGCTTCACTCTAGCCATTGCATAGCCTACAAATAGGTCATACATATAAGTCCCCTAGCTCCACTCTAGCCATGGCATAACCTACAAATAGGTCATACATTTAAGTCCCATTGCTTCACCCTAGCCATGGCATAACTTACAAATAGGTCATAGATTTAAGTCCCATTGCTTCACCCTAGCCATGGCATAACTTAAAAATAGGTCATACATATAAGTCCCCTAGCTCCACTCTAGCCATGGCATAACCTACAAATAGGTCATACATATAAGTCCCCTAGCTTCACTCTAGCCATGGCATAACCTACAAATAGGTCATACATATAAGTCCCCTAACTTCACTCTAGCCATTGAATAACCTACAAATAGGTCATACATATAAGTCCCCTAGCTTCACTCTAGCCATGGCATAACCTACAAATAGGTCATACATATAAGTCCCCTAGCTTCACTCTAGCCATTGCATAGCCTACAAATAGGCCATACATATAAGTCCCCTAGCTTCACTCTAGCCATTGCATAGCCTACAAATAGGTCATACATTTAAGTCCCATTGCTTCACCCTAGCCATGGCATAACTTAAAAATAGGTCATACATATAAGTCCCCTAGCTCCACTCTAGCCATGGCATAACCTACAAATAGGTCATACATATAAGTCCCCTAGCTCCACTCTAGCCATGGCATAACCTCCAAATAGGTCATACATATAAGTCCCCTAGCTTCACCCCAGCCATGGCATAACTTACAAATAGGTCATACATTAAAGTCCCCTAGCTTCATCCTAGCCATGGCATAACTTACAAATAGGACATACATTTAAGTCCCCTAGCTTCATCCTAGCCATGGCATAACTTACAAATAGGACATACATTTAAGTCCCCTGACTTCACCCTAGCCATGGCATAACTTACAAATAGGTCATACATATAACTATCAAACACAGATTACAGTTTAATCACATTTTAATCCCTACCTTGAGAGGCAGCCCTGTTCCAGTTGAGTAAAGCTCTCTGGTACTGCTCTGTAGTATCAAACATGTCACTTTCCCCCTGGTCCAGGATGTATGCAAGGTTGCTCTGGGCCACCTCATACCCTAACTCAGCCAGGAATGTGTATTTCATCAAGGCTAGATCAATATTGAGGTCCTTGTAGTTGCTATGTGCTTCCATGACCATATCTGACCACTCCCCTCTCTCTGCTACATTCTTAAACAGCTGCAATAATATCAAGTACAGGGTGAGCCCAAGAAGTAGAGCATTAACCCTTTATTTCAAATATTTGATGGTTCTAATTTTGAGTCACCCTGTGTTATTGAAACCATTGAATTTATTTAAAGTTTAGAGATTTTCACTCCATAGTACCGTGTAAAAACTGTAATTCTTTAATTGGTTAATTCAGCATTACAGAGCTACAACCAACAATGTGATATACAAGCTGAGCTCAGAAGCATATTAATAATTGCGCGATTAAAATACATTAGCATACCTCTACTGCTGTATGACATGCTCTGAACACACCAGTCCCTGTGGCATGCATCTCTGCCAGGTTATAGAAGGCTAGCACATGGCCCGACTGGGATGCAAGGTTGAAATACTTCAGTGCCATCTTGTAGTCTCGCTTAACACCAGTCCCTTCTACAATATAAGAGACACATCTGTGACTTTACATATTTATTTTCAAAAACACAATAACAAACACTTTGCTTTAAGAAAATAGGAAATGTTGTTATATCAAAGGGTATATAGTCTGTTACACTTAAACCCAATATACACCAATACGGGGCACGATGTGACCTCAGTAGACTCAACACTGACAAGGACCTCTTGGGACTTTGCCCCATGAAACCATTGGTGTAAGCTGGACTTAATATTGAATTTAATAAATTTAGCTGGATATTGTATGCTGACACTAAATAGAAAATGACATAGCTAACTAGATAGCTAACTAACCATAATACATAGTGCCTAGGTGAAGTTGCCCATCTACATAACCCTGGTCTGCTGCAAGAGAGAAGTACTTGAATGCCTTGGCTTGGTCAACATCGACACCTCTCCCTTGCAAGTACATCATACCAAGCCCACTCTGCCCAGCTGGGTTACCCTGAAAATGCAATATAAAATCATCAACTTAAAATGTACTAATATAATCTCAATAATGCCAACCAAAACTGGTTTAAACCTCAACTCACAATATATTCCTGACTAATAAAAAGGTTGTCCTATTGACATTTCACATGCACACATTTTTTTTTCTTTGTACATTTCCATTTAATTTTTGAAAATATACCTAACTTGAAATACATCTAAAGTGAAAAACATAAAGTTTGGAACCCTATGAATTACAGTAAAATCTGTCTTAGTGAACACCTCTCTCTAGTTAACACCTGTGTTTAGTGAACACCACTTCAAGACACATTTTACATAAACATCTGTATAAAAATCACCTCTCTGCATGTAGTGAACACCTACCAACAGTGAACATTTTTTAGTGGCTCCATAGGTGTTCACTATTCACCTTTCCCCAAAGTCAGCTCATGAATATTATAATTAGCAAACCTGAAATCTATGACGTCAGAGTAGGGCAGATTTTCGCGGGAAAATCTCAACACATTAGAAGTCAATGTGAATCGTGACGGAAACGGGTTAACTTTATTGTCAAATTATGTTGAGTAGTAATAATATTAATGATAAATGTCATGGAATTTAATAATTATACTCACGTCTATATTCCCCCTTCTTGTTATATTGTTCTGGGGAATCAAATGAATAGAGAAATATTGATGTGAAGAGTCCAATGTTTCCTGTACATTTTCAAATTACGCCGACTGTACAAAACCCCATGTTTAGTTTTTGACTGTCAAAATGTCAACATCCCATGATATCTTAAGTTCGTGTAATATTTTCTCATGGGGCGAAGAAGGGGGTACGACTTAACCTTGAAGAAAACGTATTCGACACTCAAATCTTGGCCAACGGTGCGTTACTTTCACTTACGTTCAGCCACCTATTATACCACATGGTATGGTATGGTATGGTACGGTATGGTATGGTATGGTATGGTTCTTTATTTCCTCCAATTTGGAGAGCAAATTATTACAAAAACAAATTATGAAATTACAATATATACATTAGATACAATATAATAATATACTTTTATGTCTGCCGAAGAATTTGACAATGGTTACGTGAGTGATGACTGGTGAGTGATGATAAGGCCGTTCATGTATGCTTTGAGACGATATACCAGAGTTGCTTGTTGAATGGTGAAAACCCGCATGCTTTTGAAAGAATTTCTGGCCGGAGGGGAGCGGTCGCTCCTTCCGCTCACCCCCCCCCCCTTTGGCTACGGTCCTGTTATTAAGCTTAGAATTGCAATTAAAATGCAAACTACTACAGTATGATGAATATTAGTTACTTCAATATTGAATTGCAAAAATACAAGACCAATCACAAACTATTTGGGCAATCTGGTGAAAAAAAGCAAGTGGACTCTGACATTTAAAACTGTTCTTCATATATTTTTTTTATTAGAAACATAATGAACTATTTAATTGAATAATCATGATTATATATTCCTAATCCATACAGTCTTAATGTTTGAATGATTGTCAATCTTTAGTTTGCGTAGTTGGATTCACTTTGTTAAAAGACTAGCACTCGTATCACAATTATTTCTATGGTTTGATTTACCGGATGGTGTATTTAAGACACAGCTTAAGGCAAAATAGTCAGAAAAATATATTTCACTTAGTTTTGTTATCATTTTATAATGAGATATATTTCACTCATTCGGCGATCTAATAGTAATCAAAGTTTTGGCGCGAAATGTGCCCTGCTTTGACGTCATTGATTTTCATCGACCAATCAGCGCAGCGGTCAAATGAGTACACTTTGGACTTTGGGGAAAGGTGAATATACAGGTTTTACTGTATTCACTCTCAAGTTTTCTATGATAATGGACACTACTTACCCTATCTGCAGCTTTCTTGAAGTAGTTAAATGCAGTAACATTGTCAGCTTTCACTGCAGGGGAATCTTCAGAGTACATCTTGCCAAGATATGCCATAGCATTAGAACTTCCTGCTTCTGCAGCATGCACAAAGTAGTTATAGGCCCTCTGAAATTAAAGGCAAATTCCACAGTTAAGTCATGCTGAATATTGCACAGCTAAATTGCATTTATAAACTATTTAATGACACACAAAATGTGCTGTGCTGCATTGTGCTGTGCTGCATTGTGCTGTTGTAATTGTATTTTGGTTTCCACCATATTTTGGCAAGCAATAACCAATTGGAATACATATTTTACACTTGAAGACAGAGCTAGAAACCTCTACTTAACGGGGCCTTGTGTTATCTTATGTGCACGGACACACAAACATCCAACTACACCTCATAGGCGTTTATACAAGTTGAGGACCACTCAGTGAAACACCCAGAATTACAATGGACGAACAAATGTCTAAACTTGGAATCGAACCTGGGGCCAATGAGCCTTAGTGCAGGTGGAATATATGGATTAATGAATGTTAGATCATGATTATAATTTTGTTAGGGATTGACAATTTTTTTCAAAGCTTGGCTGGGAAGGACATTGTACTAAATTTCACACAAATTGGATGAAAGTGAATGCCAGTTAAATGCTGTGTATTACTTTTGAATGATCCATCATAGCAATAAGACATATGGCATTGTATGTAAGACTGACCTCATGGTTGATCTCTACACCTCGTCCACCCTGGTAATACAACTGGCCTAGTCCTACCTAAAACAAATATTACTAAACTGTAATCTGGTATTCTATATGTCATATATTCTCAATTGGTATTAAGGCTATAATTCAGCCATGTATAAAGACTGATATAAATAAAACAAGGCATTAACATGACAAAATGTCACCATCTAAAACAATTTGGTCAATTTAAAGCAAGTTGAAAAAATACCTCTTTGACTTTTTTTGACATTGAGAAGGTCATTGAAGGTCAAATGTCAAATGTAAAGTCAGATTTGAACTTCTGAGAACATGTAGATGATTTTGAAAAAAAATTAAGTGAATTTGAAGCAAGTTGAAAAAAGACCTTTTTGACCTTGAAAATGTCATTGAAGGTCTAATGTCAAATCTAAAGTCAGATTTGAACTTCTGAGAACATGTAGATGATTTTGAAAAAAAATTAGTCAATTTGAAGCAAGTTGAAAAAAGATCTTTTTGACCTTGAGAAGGTCATTGAAGGTCAAAGGTCAAATCTTAAGTCAGATTTGAACTTCTGAGAACTTGTAAAGTCGAATTTGAACTTCTGAAAAGATGTAGATGATTTAAAAAAAAAAATTTGGTCAATTTGAAGCAAGTTGAAAACAGACCTTTTTGACCTTTTTTGACCTTGAGAAGGTCATTTAAGGTCAAATGTCAAATCTAAAGTCAGATTTGAATTTCTGAGAACATGTAGATGATTTTGAAAAAAAATTAGTCAATTTGAAGCAAGTTGAAAAAAGTCCTTTTTGACCTTTTTTGACCTTTAGAAGGTCATTGAAGGTCAAATCTTAAGTCAAATCTAAAGTCATATTTGAATTTCTGATTTTGAAAAAAAAATTTAGTCAATTTGAAGCAAGATGAAAAAATACCTTTTTGACCTTTTTTGACATTGAGAAGGTCATTGAAGGTCAAATGTCAAATCTAAAGTCAGATTTGAATTTCTGAGAACATGTAGATGATTTTGAAAAAAAAATTTAGTCAATTTGAAGCAAGTTGAAAAAAGACCTTTTTGACCTTTTTTGACTTTGAGAAGGTCATTGAAGGTCAAATGTCAAATCTTAAGTCAAATCTAAGTCAGATTTGAATTTCTGAGAACACGTAGATGATTTTGAAAAAAATTTTTAGTCAATTTGAAGCAAGTTGAAAACAGACCTTTTTGACCTTTTTTGACCTTGAGAAGGTCATTGAAGGTCAAATGTCAAATCTTAAGTCAAATCTTAAGTCAGATTTGAATTTCTGAGAACACATAGATGATTTTGAAAAAATGTTTTAGTCAATTTGAAGCAAGTTGAAAACAGACCTTTTTTGACCTTGAGAAGGTCATTGAAGGTCAAATGTCAAATCTAAAGCCAGATTTGAAGGTCAAATGTCAAATCTAAAGTCAGATTTGAATTTCTGAGAACATGTAGATGATTTTGAAAAAAAATTTAGTCAATGTGAAGCAAGTTGAAAAAAGACCTTTTTGACCTTGAGAAGGTCATTGAAGGTCAAATGTCAAATCTAAAGTCAGATTTGAACTTCTGAGAACATGTAGATGATTTAGAAAAAAATTGAAGTCAATCTAAACAGTATTTGTTAAGTTATAGGAAGTTATAAGAAATTGTTACAGACGCCGGACGCCAACCTCCAACCGCCGGACGCCAACCTCCAACCGCCGTCGCAACCACCGGATGCCAACCTCCAACCGCCGTCGCAAAAAAACGGAGACCATAACAATATGTCACCACTTTTGGTGGTGACATAATTAACATGCAAAATGTCACCACCTGCCATTTGATACAGATGCCAAATTTTGAACATCAACCATCAATCGCCAAACTTTCCAGTGGTGACGTAAAAATGGAGTAAACTAACCTGGGCCTGCATATCTCCTTTATCTGCCAAGAACTGGTAGTACTGTATGAGGTCATCATCGATCATGCCATTTTGAGAGCCTGAATTCTCTTGTTCATCAAATAGTCGAATTCTCTGAACTACATTTCCTCCTGTCACGGACACACCCTCTGCCACTGGAAATAAATGGAGCCTCAATATATTCATAATACCATTTTACCTTCTTGTAATGTATGGTGACAAATTTGAACTTGACTAATGCACATGTACTTGAACTTCACTTATCGAAATGCAGTTGAACATAAAGGATATATCAAAAAATAATAATATGATTTACCTTTCATGGCGACCTTTCTGTAATGAGCCAGAGCTGTCTCACAATTGGCCTCCACACCCACTCCAGCCCAGTAGCGATAACCCTGCAAGTAATTACAGTGCAACCAATAAAATATGGAGAAACACGAATGTAAAAATTACAACAACATTTTACTAAGCTGTTTGAAACATTATAAATGAGACAAAAGCAATTTTATTGAGCTTTTACTGTTTATGATAACTGAGCTGGGGTTTTGGTTTCATGATCCTTCCCAATGACGACTACCTACCAAAACCATGTGTGCCCAGGGGTCCCCACCAAGAGCAGCAAATGTGAAGTAAACCAATGACTGCAAAAAATTGAAAAATATGTTGCAAAAACAGTACATTTTTCATTTGTAAATTATTATAATCTAAGATGAACAATACATCTTCAGTACAATTCATAGTTTTAGAACTTTAATGTTTTACTGAATGACAGAATGATCAAGAAGCCTGTATCTAAAGAAGACTAGCAATATTTTCCACTGAGCAGAAATATGAGCATCATACTAATGTTCCTAATAACTGGTAAACATGCTTTTGGATTATTAAATTGATCTTGTGAACATAGGTTGTCTTGTGTAGGCAACACATGTAAGAATGTTTAATTGGACTATAAAAACTATAATCTTTGATTTTTACCTTTGCTTGACTAGAGTTTACAGCTATGCCAGTAGTATAGAGGAACCCAAGACCCTAAAACAACAATAATTCCTGGTATTCAATATTTCATGCTACAATTAGTAGAGTGGCGTTTAAAAATAGGAAATCACTATTGATTCCCTCAGCACAGACGTTCCTTCTAAAGGAACCTCTCGATTAAACTTTGATTAAACTGATTAATTAAAGTCTGATTAAAAACTCTGAATGAGGTTACATAACCTCTGAAGACAATTTACTGTTTAGTGGCCCCACATCACTAGCTCTGGGTGGCTTTGTGAGTTCAGAGGTGTCTTTGTAACATAAGTATAGATGAAGCCATCTTTTAAGAAGCTAAGTCAAATGAATATAAAGGGTACACTGTTTACCATTTGTCCCCTTGAAGATCCTCTCTTGGCCAGCTGCTCAAAGTGAATCTTGGCATATTCCAGGTTTTGTTTCAAACCATCTCCAAGGAGATAGCCAAAGGCGATATGCTCCAGGGATTTTGTGTGATTCAGGGCTGCTGCACCTTGGAAGTAGGTCATAGCCCTGAAATAAAAGATGAGGTTCAGATAAATTAGGCAAAAAAATGTAGCTTAAATATGGTAACTCCGGTGGTAGTAGCAAGCTCTAACAAGGCATTAACGGCATTAATGGTGATATCATATATTATTGTATGATCTGTAAAATGAAGCCTTCTGATTGGTCAATTCTTGTGCTGTACTAATCTGTATTGCTACTGAGATTGTTCCCATTGATCATCTCCGTCGCAATGCAGAAAATATTGGTACGGAAGGGACAATCTCAGTAGCAATACAGAGGATCACACGATAAAAATGTTATTGGATGATTTGAAGTTCAATACAGGATATATTCTGTCTCGATATTCTGTACTGGCACTCGACTTCATCTCGTTCCTATACGGAATTTCTCGAGCAGAATATATCCTGTATTGCACTTCAAATCATTCAATAACTTATATTCTTGATTTATCTTTCAAGTTCCATCAATAGCCAATTAATTCACATGTAAAGGTTATAAAAGAGGTCTTAATAAATGTGACACGTTAAAACTTAAAAATAATTTTACTCACTCAGATGTCATTTTCCCATGTTTAGCCAATGTAAGTTGACCCTGTTTGTAAAGGTTCTCAGCTGAAAATAAAAATGGGTTTTGATAAAACTGGCATATAAATATTATAAAACAATTCTGTTTACTGTTAATTTGGCGATTTTGTCATTTTTTGGCATATTGGCGGCTATTTAATTTGGCAGACATGCATTTTTTCTTTTGAGGACCACTGGCGATATTCAAGTGGAAAATTAACCCAATCTACAGTATTTTGTTTGTTATCACCTCTCAGGAAAAGGTTGTGGCAAGTAAAATGCTAGGGTCGGTCAGTTTACAGAGATAAATCTTGATATAATGTTTATGCAGAAAAAACTTAGCACTTGATGCTACACATTTCGTGCAAAGTTTGAAACAACACCTTTGAGAAATAGTAATGAGTCAACAATGCACTGTGTCCAGGGCTTAAATCCTTAAACAAAACATGAAGACACAAGTCTTTACAGTGTACACTGTATCTTAATACCTTGTTTTTCCTCTTCTGTGAGCTGATCATCTTCATCCTCTTCTTCCTCATCCGTTTGAGCATCTTCATCATTCTCTCCTACAATATGTTTATTAGGGTCAGATTCACTATTAACATTCCCACCACCTTCATTTATAGTTCCTTTATTGATCTTAACACGTCGAGCGGATAAATCCATTTTGCCACTTGCATATTTTACTGTTAGTTGTTTGAATAATTGAAGTTCACCCTGATCATCTTGAAACAGTTTATTATCGTAAATGTACTGCTCCAGATCTTTGAGGTCAGAGTCTGAGGGGGATTTATCAAATTCCTCTCTATGAGTCACGACTTCAGGGATATTTTCAAAATGTTCTTCATATTCATTTTTGATTTCTCCTTTAATGTCAAATACTTGACGATAAATTTCCATTTTGGCCTGTCCAAAGTCATCAGGCTTTAAGATGATTATTCTTTCCCTAAATGTCATACGGTTTGCTTTCATGTATTCAACATTGACAGAGTCAAATTCAGTCAGATCAATTGTTTCTTTAAATCCGGGTGGAAACACAATATCAGAATCAAAGGGATCGATCTTACCTTTTAAAAGCTCATCATTATTGTTAATATGAACATCGTTACCAGCTTCAAATGATGTCCTACCTTCATATTCAGTATCAGAATCTTCGGAAAATGCCTCATCTGGGAGATCATCACCAACAACAGTGTTGTCCTGATTATCATTGGGCTGCTCTTGCTGTTCATTAAATACATCTTCTTGGACCTGGTGGTCTTGGTCTCTCATTCTATCAAAATCATCTTCAGCAGCATCACCTTTTGATTGAGGCTTTTCTTCACTGTTTTCAACCACAGTCTTTTGAAGTACATCCACATCTTTATCTTGCTCATCTGGCCTAGTTTCCTCTTGTTGTATGCTTTCCTGGTATGGGGGCTCTGAGGATACTTGAGTTTGTGAATCATCTGGCTGATTGTCTGATGTTTCACCTTTTGTATTTTGCTGATTAACTTCAACATTGTCTACCTGATTTTTTTTTGTCTTATCACTGTTTTTCAGCTTATTGCTATCTAAAGAATTTTCATTTTGTTTAACCTCTCCAGGAGATCTTTCTAAGGGAGGCAAAGGAATTGGTTCTACTTGAATGTCCTTATCATTAATATCTTCTTTCACTTCACCATGTTTAGGTATAGTCCTTTCAGGGTTAGATTCTACACTGTTTTTGTGTTTATCTTGTTGTTTATTCTGGCGACCCTGTGGGGGAGGTGGTGTATTGGTTGTGTGTTGCGCCACGAGGGGGATCACAAGACACAGCATGATCACCACCTTCAGCTCCATGACGTGTGTTATCACAGTGTGAGTGGGCTGCACTTCTAGAAACAGAATTCAAATGAATATAACTTAACATTGTTTGCATCAGACAATGGCAAGGCAAAGCATTAACAAGGCATTAACATACAGTCTAATCACCTGCCATTTGTTACAGATGCTGAATGCTGAACCACCTTACACAAACCACCATGAACACAGGGATTATATTGACATAATTTCCAATTAACGGACTATTTATTTTACTTATGCATAGCATTATATAAATCAATCATGGGTTGTAAATATTCAGCCTTGGCAAAGCAGGAATTTCCCTTAACAACACATCAAATACAACAGTAATTCTTGGTGAAATCATTAGGTCAGGGCACACTTTGATGAAATTTCATGACCATGTGCTATTTTCAGGTAAACATAACTAATTCCACACATCATCTACATCTTTCATTCTTGCACAAAAGATGCATTAGTGTACCTCAACTATTCATTGAAGGTTGATAATTCTTCAGAATGTCTGAATAACTAGAATATTCAGTGGTTTACTTTTCAAAATTGCATAAACATTCAAACATGCACCCTGGCCTTAAAATATACGATTTATTAATGTTGCTTGACTTGATTCTGTATTTGTTGAGTGCACTGATTTCCCAAGCTTGTAAGGATAATTTGCCCGGGAATGAAGATGTAGAAAGGTATGCTGGACTCAATGTTCATGGCAGCTCATGGCGGACATTTTGAAATACTGGCTGATTTAAAGATTGAAGTGTATAATTTGTATATCTCTGCAATTTGAGACAGCCACTTCATTTAAGGCTTTGAGAGAACATTTGGACTGATGTTTAGAAATGACTGACCTTTAAAGGAATATTCCTTGCCAGACCCTTTCTCCCTTGATATGGTAGCTATTATCATATATATAGTTTCCATATTCAGCAAAACATGGGAAAATGTTTTAATATGGTCAATATTGATCATTTAAAAATCTAGTGCTTATTTCCAGTGAGCTGCCATCTTTTAAGATTTCTTGCAGGAAGTGATGTCATCAACTCTCAACTTCTATAAACTTGCCCATAACAAACAGTATAGGAAAGTAGCACAAAATCACTTCTAGACAAGTGATCATTACTTTCTGTGCAAAAATATTTTCAGGGCTTGTCAACTTAGAATAAAAGAAGAGATTTTCAGAAGGATTAAATAAGATACAAAGTTGAAAAGGAATATTTAGCTGGTTTTGTAATTCTTAATAGCTCCTCACCTAATGCTGTATGCAAAGTTGAGAGTCGATGACATCACTTCCTGTGTGAAATTTTAAAAGATGGCAGCTTACTGGAATTGAGCATCACATTTCTAAGTGATCAAATTTGACCATATCAAAACATTTTTGCGTGTTTTGCTAAACATGGCAAGCATATATATGGTTATAGCTACCATATGAGGAGAGAGATGGTTTGGCAAGGAATATTCCTTTAAGAAATATGTGCTTGGGTTTGTGTAAAAAACTGGGTGACCGGGTGGCTGGGTGACCGGGTACCTAACATTCCTAGCAGGGTTACCAACTTTCAAGTTCAAGTTGCACATTTTTCCCTAATATAGGAGCCAATTGGTCTGCCTAGCACTAAATAGACATACTAAATGTAGACTACTATTTGATGACTTGTCGATGATTGTTTTTTATGATGGTGATTTCTAGTTAGAAGATTTGTTTAAAATATATTAAGGACACACAAATTGAAACCTTATTTGCCGTTCTAAACTGTCAATAAACATGCGATGTACAATACAACGTCAGTTGTTTGATTTATTGCCATCAAGTGATTGACAGAATATCGATGTTTGTTCGTTTTGGCGGTTGATTAATTGGAAGATTAGTTGGTTGCTTGGTTGGTTGTTTGCTTTATTGGTTTTATGACTGCTGGTACGTTGAGTTAGAGGTCAGTTGGTCATTTTGAGGGATAAAATGATAAAATCAAATTCATAACCCTGGGAGGAATGTAAGGTACCCAGTCGACTGGGTACCCAGTCACCTGGTCACCTGGTTTTTCACACAAACCGTATGTGCATTGGATAACGCCATTTTTTCTTTGAAATCTTACAAGAGCTTGATAAGTCTATACTAGGCAGAGCGTACATCCCCGAATAAATGTATGCCTGATTTTTAGAAATAAAAATAATTAAAAAAGACAAAATATCCTCTCATTTATAAGGGGGGGGGTGTACAGCTGTAGTAGTATACTCCCGGGGGGTTCACTATATATTAACCTTGACGGGGATCCTCGGCGCATGTGGGGTACCTTTTTCAACGTTTGGTATGGCAATGGACCCATATTTTAGGATTTGGTATGGGAATGCCCGGAAATTTCTGACTTCTGAGGTATGGCAATGGTCAGACTTTTGCTCTTCTGGTATGAGAATGGTCGTTGTAGATATGTTACCTAACATTTGTGGTATGGCATTGGTCCAGTAGTTGCAAATTTGTATGACATCGATCCTATATTTCATTTTCTTTGAATTAAGGTATGGCATTAGTCCCATATTTTTGGACATTTGGTATGGCATTGGTCCTACATTTTGACACTTGGTATGGCATTGGTCCCATAATTGGGCAATATACCAATACGCGATAACGTTTAATTTCGTTCAGTTTAGCTACCTCTCGTTTGAAGAGCTCTCATGTATGGTACAACTTCGTCTACATCCGGGTTCTTTCCCATTGGATTACACAGGGGTTCTGTTTTCAATGCCACACTGCGGCTCTATTAAACATTTATGTAGAGTTCCATTTGCACAAACGATATGTATGTATGTAATTAAGATAATGACAAAGCTTTTTGAGCTATAATCCCCAAATCCGAAGAAATCCGTAGTTGAAAATGCCGTCCAAATACAAGTGACGTCACTGATATCCCAGAAATTGCTCAGACGCCATCGAAGATCAAAATTATAAATAATGTTACTTGGAATCTCCGATTATCTTTCTGATTATTTAATAGATTGGATTATATATTTATGCTTGAGGGCTGATGGAAGATCAGAAGCTGAGAAACGTTCAGAGTAATCGACTCGTTCGGCAGGCCAATGAAAATTTGTCCCTTCCAAAGCGATGCATCATGGGAGATATTTATGTAAATTACCACCTGAACTCTTATCGCGAATAGGAGTATTGGTATGGCATTGGTGCTATATTTGGACATTTGGTATGGCATTGGTCCTATATTTGGACATTTGGTATGGCCTTTGGGCGTTATTTTGGTTGGTATGGGAACATATTGAAATTTGACAGATTGGTATGGGAACATATTGATATTTGAGGCTTCAGCCTAGGACCCCCGTCGAGTTTTATATACAGTGAACCCCCCGGGAGTATACTAGACTGCCCACAGTGTTCCTACAAAGGTTGCATGTGGTTTTATGCTTTCTTCTCTCAACCACGTAGAACCTACATGTATTGTAAACTGCTCCATGTGATGAAACTGCGCTAATGAGTCCAGCAGTTGATCCAAAAGACGTCAGGCGCTCAGAAATTTAGCAAAATTTAGGCAAGTCTATTTTTACAATGGATTTTTTGGTACCAATGGACATTTAATTGTCATTAAAATCATTCAAAAGAACCCTTCAAATATCGACAGTGGTTTGCTAGATTCTAAAACACTAAAATACAAAGAGAAATAACAAAGACGGCGTTTTACCTTACTGCCACGTAAATTTTATACAATCAAGCCTGGTTATTTTGGAGGACATCCCAAACAGAAGTGTATCGCCGATTTTGATTGGCTCTTAAAATAAGTAGGTCAATATTTCAGTTTTTATTTTCTAGAGTTTTGAACTGTTTTATTGTCTCTAAGTACATATCTATTACAAAAGTATAATCTGATGATACACATATTGCTCTTAAAGCATCGTTCACGCTTCATTTTCAATATATTTTGCAATTTACAAAACAGATGACTTGGACCAATGAAATCTTGTCTTTCATAGCTGAACATGTGACCTGATTTAGGGGAACTACCAAAATGGTTGACTTTGTTCATAAAAAATACTATTGAGAATTTGCAGATAAGCGAAAAATTGAACCTTTATCGGGTAAGTTGATGATTTTGTAATGATTAAGCAAGATGACTGTTTCTGTCTGCACTATACAAATACAATAATAATACAGCCCTTGATACCATTTCAAGCTAACAAGTTTTGACCTACTTTTTTCATTTTTGAAATTTTTTTATTAGATCTATTGAATTTATTGGATCTCCAATCTCCAAAAAATCAAAGGATTAGAAATTACATTTCTAATCTTACATGTGGAAGATAAGACAGAAAAGCCATCAGATTTAATCAATTACAGTATAACAATAGTAATTCAATGGACCATGTCCACAGGGCTTACATGTATACTTTTTTATACAGAGAGAGGGGATGACTTACATTACTCCTGTGGGCATGTCATTACATGTATTTTGATACCATGTACCAAATGAGCGTGAAGCACAAAATCAAATTCATTTCTGGAGTGTGAATATCACATCACACGCACCAGAACAGAGAAGATCTGTCTGAATAAAAAATCCATACCTCGTATCTGTATACCGAGGAATAAAGACAAGAGGCTTACTAACAAATTTAACCTCTGGCATCTAGTTATATTGCTGAGTATTGTCAGCTTTAATTTTCCCCCAGAAGTCAACATAATTAGACTGATGAATTAAAAGCTGCGTCAAAAAATCTTACCATTGAATATGACAGTGGAATGGTTAATTTAATTAATTTATTCATTGTAGGTAAAATCTCAAAGATGGATCTCTCTGATGACGATGTCTCCCCAACCTCAGATGTTGAAGATGTTAGTGAGACTCATTCAAAGAAGATATTCGAATATGTGAAGCTACCTAATGATGATGAGTATTCTGATAATGAAAATGATGATGGTAGTTATACTGACAGTAATGAAGATTACCAGAGTGAACCAGAGCAGCTGAACAATATGTCTATCGACCCCATCGTTGATGTAAAAAGTGAACCATATGACGAAGATGATGATACAGCTCAGTATGATGAAACATCTGAAAGTGGAACTGATACACATAATACCGACATGTATGACTTTGATGCTGAACATGACCCAGAGGCTCCCCAACAAAAACATTCTGTTACTACAAGGGACATGGCTGAAAAACGAAAAGACCCAAAAAGACTGGTGTGTAATTTCTGTAAAGAAATCTTCATTGGGAAAGAAGTGCTTGAAGCCCATTATAAGAAGAAACATACTGGCATAGGGAAGCCATTTGAGTGTAAAGAATGTGGCATGTCTTTCAAGTATATGTCAGTGTTGAGGGTGCATATGAGGAAGCATACTGGTGAGAAGCCATTCAGTTGTACACTTTGCGACAAAACATTTTGCCAGAAGGCTTATCTTGATGCCCACTTGAAACGTCACAATGGTGATAAACTCTACTTATGTGATGAATGCAATAAAACTTTTATAACCCAAGCCCATCTGAAGCGCCATTTGGTGACCCATATTCAAGGGAAGACGTTTATTTGCACAGAATGTGGTGAAGAAGGCCCATCCGAGACTTGTCAATCTGAGCAACATTCAAGGGCTTACTTTGAGGAACGTCCATTTGTCTGCCAGATCTGTGACAAAAGGTTTTCCATGCACAGTGCAATGATCAATCATTCTCGCACACATACAGGCGAGAAGCCATTCTCCTGTGAACTTTGTCAGAAAACATTTACACAAAGATCTAATCTTAGTGTTCACATGAAAACTCATACTGGTGAAAAGAAATTCAAATGTCAGTTCTGTGACATCGCTTACCTTTACAAAGTTAATCTCGACCGCCATATTAGAAGAGCACATGGTGAAAACAGCTCATATACATGTAAAGAATGTGGGGAATCATTCTCTTGGAGATCTAGCCTTCATCTTCACGTGCTCTCTCACACAGGGAAGGACCCATTTCAGTGTGATTATTGCGATAAGAAATATGTCTTGCAGAAATGTCTTTGGGTTCACATGAGGACCCATTCAGGTTCTGTTGACTTCAAATGTAAGGTCTGTGATGAACATTTCAAACATCACTCTGAGTTGAGAAAACACATGAAGACACATAAGTCCAAAAAGTCACAAGTCCATGCAAAGGAAACAACTCCCACAAATCAAGATAATAATGCCTCTTTAAAAGATGATCAGTTGGATAAGTCACACAAAGGATCTGATTCCGTTCAAAAACTTGAGCCTGATGTTTCTTACCAAAATGAAAAATTTGATGGTTCAATTCAAAAAATCCAACCTTATGTTTCTTATCAAAATGAAAATGCTGATCGTTCAGTTCCAAAGACCCAGTCCAATGCTAATTTGTATCAAAATAAAAATGTTGATTTTTCAGTTCCAAAAACCCAGTCTAATATTAATATGTATCAAAATGAAAATGTTGATTTTTCGATGCAAAAACCAAAATCTAATATTTGCTATCAAAATGAAAATCTTTATTTGCACAAAGATCCTTCACAAATCTCAAGAACTGACTTTTATAATTCTTTGAGAAAGAAGTGAAACAAACATAAGGTCTGACAATTGGACAGTTACTTTTGTTGCTATGGTGTAATTTTTAAGATATTTACAAAAGAAAGTGTATTGTATTCTAATTCTCTTTATAGTCTATTTGGATTCTAAGGATAGCATTTTATGTACATAAAGGCACTGTCTACAAGTTCTTTAGGCATCGAGAATGTATTTGTATTACTAGTACACTTTAAAGGTGCTATATGAGTCTTATGCCACTGGGGTCTTTTTTACGAACTGTCATATCTTTAGATTTGATCACAATTCAATTGTTCGTCAAAATGTACACCATGGTTTTCTCTATATCGTAAGTTGTGGGGGTTATGGTCATCCCAAAAACAAACCCCTTTTTATGTTGGTGGGCAGATTATAATTTGTGTTATCAAGGTAGGATCAAAATTCAGCCATTCAACTGTTTTGGGAACCTTATATTAAGGTTTTGTTGATGGGGAATTGGAACAAAAACTTTGGAACTGAAATGGAATTTCAGTGGAAATTTGCTTATCAATTCAAATCTGAGTATAACCATGACTTATTCTGATCAAATCCTAACAAATTATTTAAAGATTTTTCCACTTTTACCTTTGTCCTTTTTAAACTACATGTTGGATCTTGGACAGAAAATGTAGTGGGAGAAATATATGACAAACATAGTCAAACTTGTGCTCATTTTGCATGCACACTGTAGTAATACGAACTCTATATGTCAGTAGAAATTCATGTATGCTTAATAAGCATTGCTTATAGCTTTATTTACTGTACTTTGTTGTCTTATTTTTGTTTGAGCCCGTGGCATCATTCTTGCCAGTTTATACTCAGAACTACATGTATTTGTTATAATCTATATTACCTAATATGGAATTAATATTCCAAATGCTTAGTGTTATTTAAAGTTTTTGTAAACCACTCGAGCAGCTAAAACCTTTGTATGAACTTGTGTATATTTGTTTAGTTACTTGTGAATTACTGAACATTATTAACAGTTTTTCTGTTTCTATCATCAATATTATTTAGAAAGAATCTATCTTATGTGTACATGTTTTACACAGTGGCACTCCTTTCCAACATATTTCTTTCTGTATTTGCATATCAGATACCAGACACATCTGTGGTATGTATTCTGGGGGATCTAGTGCCGTATATTGATTCTGGGGTCCAAACCCCTCATATATCTGAAAATATTTTCATATGACAATGTTTTGCTTCCTTAAGTGCATAAAAATTGCAAATATTATTCATATCAATGAAATATTCTATGAAATTTCAAATAAATGCACTGTAATCTTACAAAGTGGTCATCCTGTGTTTAATAGCTTTTGGAAAAGTCATATTCTTCTAGTGTCTTCAAGACTCAAAATGGCACAAATGTTCTATCACTTAAGGGAGAAGGGACAGAGAAAAATTGATAGTACAGTAAAACCTGTGTACAGTAAACTCAGTACAAAATATGTGCACTATACATTATAGGTGTATCACTACAGAGAGATGATTTTATTCAGAAGTCAGTGGAGTATGTGGGGATAAAAGGTGTCCATTAAACACAGGTATTCATTAGAGAGGTGTTCACTAAGACAGGTTTTACTGATTTGAGTATTCAAAAATTGTCAAAATTTTACAATATTTACATTCTAACTTTATTTCATGAATTTCATGATAATCATTTAATTTTGAAAACAAAAAGTCCACTATATCAATTGCTATGAATTTAGAAAGTTGTGCATCTTAAATCTTTAATAACTTCTATATTTGATCAGCTATCCCAATTCTTTCAGAAAATGAAATTGTTAGAGAAGTGATTGGCATGTTCTCTGAAAAGATTGCTTCCAATAAGGGAGTTGCTGAAAAATAGATGTCAGCACTTGTTTTTATTCAGCCAACATGACACAGGCTTCAATTATAAAAACTCAATATTCAATTGATTTCATGATTTTACACTCTGTATATTCTTATTCCTAAGTGACTGGTGCTCTGTTAAACTACATGTATGTGTACATGTATTGTTTTCACCTTTGAGTACTGTATGTTTGTGTACAAAAATGGCATACATATAGTCTAGTATTGCAGTCCATACTCTTCATATACAAATCTTATAATCTTGAATAAAAATGTATTATACCACGTTTTGTACTCGTGGTCATGCAGATGTCATATCCACTTTCGGATATAAATATCATTAAATATTGCTCATATGCAACTCTTATTGTTCTTGAGTTTTGAGATTTGTTTATAAACTGGTTGTTCCAAAAGTAATGGATCTTATGTGTTTTACAGCAGTACACATGTGGTCTAAAAGTGCTGTGTATTTGTATTATCATCTTATAGTCACAACTCATCCAATCAAATTATAGACATAAAAATTATATGTTCAAAAATAAAACAGGAAAAGTTATGGGTATTCGGTCACACACAGAATTGTTTGGGTTAGAGGTATATCATTTACTGTAGAGTAGTACTATACAATCTAGTAATTATTACAATGCATTATCACTGTGTACATTCTTCATTTAAACGCCTTTCAATATTTTTTATTACTTCTGTACTTGTATCTTTGGCTTTTGCTATGACATGCATGAATTGACTTTATTATCCTACCGAGTTTGTATAAGTCTATGTAACATATTCCAAGGAAATACATCAAAACATATAAAATATAGAAAATATATATCGGGTCTGTTCCTTGAAAAAGCAGCGAGGTAATTGTGTATTGCCATGTATAGGCTTAATACCCCAATGCCGTGGCTCAAATCCAATGCCCTTATTCGAACATCATCTTTATTCACAAGGTTTCAATTGTTCTTTCCTCTCTAGACCCAGTGGAAAGCGAACACGGAAACAAGAGCGTGGGTTGCATCATTTATTGAACGCCCCTCGTATAGAATTTGCTTAAATATAGCACTATCTTCAGAGACAAAAATAATCAGGAAACTTGATACTCTCTAAGACCATAGGCAGGAAGATGGCGACTTTTTGGTCACGTTTTTTTTGTTCCTCATTCTATTCAAAACAAAATTCAATTGTTTGCTTGCAATATGATAATAGTACATGTATGTATTTTACGAAAACGTATAAACAATATAAAATAAATATAAAAATGGACGTCCATGTTTGTTCAGCGGTCTTTTCCTTGTGAGTTCGTGGATTGGACTTGGAAATCAAAGATCTGAAAAACACCGATAAATATATTAAAAAGAAGCCTGCTTTTCCTAGAGTAAAGCTAGTTAAAGTGATAATATGATACTTGGGAATTTTCAGATATGACAAAAAATGGTATGAGGCCAAAACCGAAAAATTTATTTGAAGAAAGCTCTCTAGGTCTTATTCTCTTTTTAAGGCAATATTAACGGTAATATAAAAAACATCTTGACTTCACGCACCTTTACAAACATTGACCTTTAGTTCTTCAGCGATATTCGTAAGTTCGTCGTAGCTGTCCACAGTGAACAGGTGTTCCTTCACGGGAGAACTGGCAACAAGAGTCAGCTCTCTGTAATTGTTGCCTGCTCCGACTCCTGCAAATATGTACTGAGATTCACTTCCAAACATGTTTGTCATTAGCCACCTTTTGCCAGAATGGTTAAAGCTACATTTTTATGTCACCACCAAAAAGTGGTGATATATTGTGGTGGTCCCCGTTTTTTGACGGCGGTTGGTGGTTGGCGATCGGCGTCTGTAATAAATTCTTACAACTTCCAATAACTTAACAAATACTGTTTCGACTAACTTTAACTTTTTTCAAAATCATCTCCAAGTTTTCAGAAGTTCAAGTCTGACTTTATGTTTAAGATTTAAGCTTCAATGACCTTTTCAAGGTCAAAAAAGTCTTTTTTCAACTTGCTTCAAATTGACAATTTTTTCAAAACCATGTACAAGTTATCAGAAGTTCAAATCTGACTTAAGTTTTAAGATCAGGGAGATTCTAAATTCAATAAAGAATCTATCCCTCACTGTATTTTAACTCACCTATGGCAAATATTTCAATGTTATTAGCCTTTGCTTTGTCTGCTGCCTTTTTGACTTTCTTTGTATCTGGAAACTTAGAGTCTATAATTGCCACTGCGACCCTCTTTGCATTAGGTCGACTTCCTTCATCCACTGTGAAACTGCGCACTGTCATGTACTCAATGACATCAGCGAAATCATGTACTTTCACCCTTTCAACTCCAGCCTCAAGATCATCTTTGGAGGAATACCTGAATTAAATTACTTGTGAATTACCGATACATAGAAATCATTAGGAAGATACAGCTTTGTAATTTAGATTCTCAATGCTACTTAATTTTACTGGCGAATTACCGAATCAACATTCAGAAATCATAAGGAAGATATAGCTTTGTAATTGAAATTCTCAAATGCTACTTAATTTTACTGGCGAATTACCGATACATAGAAATCATTAGGAAGATACAGCTTTGTAATTTGAATTCTCAATGCTACTTAATTTTACTGGCGAGTTACCGAATCAATATTGATAAATCATTAGGAAGATATAGCTTTGTAATTGAAATTCTCAAATGCTACTTAATTTTATTGGCGAATTACCGATACATAGAAATCATTAGGAAGATACAACTTTGGAATTCAAATTCTCAAATGCTACTTAATTTTACTAGCGAATTACCTAATCAACATTCAGAAATCATAAGGAAGATACAACTTTGTAATTTAAATTCTCAATGCTACTTAATTTTACTGGCGAATTACCGAATCAATATTCAGAAATCATAAGGAAGATATAACATTGTAATTCAAATTCTCAGATGCTACTTAATTTTATTGGCGAATTACCAAATCAATATTGAGAAATCATAAGGAAGATACAACTTTGTGATTCAAATTCTCAAATGCTACTTAATTTTACTGGCGAATTACCGAATCAACATTCAGAAATCATAAGGAAGATACAACTTTGTAATTCAAATTCTCAAATGCTACCTAATTTTACTGGCGAATTACCGAATCAACATTCCAAAATCATAAGGAAGATACAATTTTGTAATTCAAATTCTCAAATGCTCATTATTTTTACTGGCGAATTACCGAATCGACATTCCAAAATCATAAGGAAGATACAGGTTTGTAATTTAAATTCTCAAATGCTACTTAATTTTACTGGCGAATTACCGAATCAACATTCAGAAATCATAAGGAAGATACAATTTTGGAATTCAAATTCCCAAATGCTACTTAATAATTACTGGCGAATTACCGAATCAACATTCAGAAATCATAAGGGAGATACAACTTTGGAATTTATATTCTCAAATGCTTCTTAATCTAAAATGACAAACTTTTTAAAGTTGAAGCCTCCAATCAAGCACTCGTGCACAAGCCCCACTTGTATTTGACTGTCAGAAGCGTCACCTATCTCGAAATTACTGGATACCTGACCCATAAAATCAAGAGCTTTCTTGGTCTGTAGGTCTCCGCTTCTGTACGAATCTACCAAGAACATCACATCAGCAGGATGCCTCTCGCCACAGGCTAAACGAAAATGTTTAAGTTGATAAATAATGGGCCTGATTTAATGCTATTCGATGAACGGGTCACATCTCTTTAAAGACAAGAGCGATTGATATAAGAATTCAAGATGGTATTTTTCAGTTGGGTTGTTAATTAAAAATACTTAGTCGCAATATACAAATAAACGGACTTTTCGGCTTATTTTCTGAAACTAGTTACTAGACTATACAATCCCGGTACAATTCTCGCGTCTAACATGGTATGGCATATATACGTTACCTTTTACACAAACTTTGATGGCGAGTATCTCCTTGATTTCAGAGAGAGCATCAAATGTATCAACTAAGAACACTTGACTTGGATCTGATGCAATACCATCCAGTTCTTGCCTATATAGCTGCAATATATAGGATTGTTCATAGGATCATTGACCTTCTCTAAACCACGAACATAAATTGCAATAGAGTCAAGAGAAGATCAATAAGAAATGTCTAGGATGTAACGATTGTTGGATCTCTCCTTAATTATCCAAGTCTTTTGTCATTATGTCACCACCAAAAGCGGTGACATATTGTTATACCCTAGTCTCAAACTGTTTTGTGGACGGTCCGAGGGTATTCGGTGTCTGGCGGTCGGCGTTCGGCGTCTGTAACAAATGGCAGGTGGTGACATTATGCATGTCAATGCCTTGTTAGTCTTGCTAAAGCCCTCGTGACCCCCCCCCCACTATAACCTCCCCACAAGTGTTGAAGAAGATAAAGAATGAGGGTCAAGAGACTCGGAGCAAGTTTGTCACAAGAATAACTGAATGATTCTTGTGGTATATGAGACTGAACAAGAGCTAATGGTAAAGTTTAAGCAAGCATCGGTCATAGTCTAGTACCTTTCCTACACCAATGGCGTAAACACTATGGCCAGCAGCCTTAAGTCTCTGTGCAGCAGCCGATGTCTTAGGCGGGTGTGTTGAATTACCATCAGTGAGAACAATCACAATGTGAGGAACCCCATCTGAATATAAACATAACATTAGAACAGTGGCGTAGCCTGGATCGAAAATTTGGGGAGGCTAATTTAAGTACATGTAGGCGAGGCAAATTGGGGCGCAGTTAAAGGAGATATGAACCTAAAAGAGGCGGGGTTTTGGACCTGCTTTCAATCATTTATTTTTATCTAACGTTTGTAATTTTGATTTGCGTTCACCTCTTAGTCCGTGCGCAGAAGTCATCAGTTGGTTGGTCATGTAATCTAAACCAAGGTGCGTCTGGGTGGATGATCCCTCTGTATCACTTTGTCTGAGACTGGACACTTTCTTAACCAGGGCACTTTTATCCAAGAACTCGTTTAACCAGAATTCTCTCTTAACTGATTCACTAAACGTCAAAAGTCCCACCTAGAAATTGATGTGAACAATGACAGTACAAACGAGAAAGGAGTTAAAACGTGACATGTACATGCGCATATGATGTAACACACAAATAAACAGATATAACCATTACCCGGCCCAAGGAGTACGCTGCGTAAGATATGAATACCCCTCCAAAATTCAGAAATAATTGTTTAGGCTACCTGGGTGGCTTCTGGTCCTATTTCGAATGTCTTGATGAAATTGTTCACAAAGTCAGTCATCAGTTTAAAATTTCCCGGATATATGCTCCAAGAAGCATCGACAACAAATCCTATATCGGCAGGGTTGCTTCCGCAGTCTACGAGACAAAGAAAATAATGAGTTATATAAATTGAACAAGATAGATAAATTATATTGTTACGTTCATATACAATTTAGTGGAGCTACAAGCCCTCGTGACCCCCCCTCTACCAACTACAAGTGTTTTGCTGGTGAGGTAGATAAGGGGAGGGGTCAGTCTTCAAGTAAGGTTAATTTAATCAAGGGGGTTGAGTGTTGTTCTAGTATCAATAAAAATGATGTATCGAATGTATGTACACACCTACATTTGCACCGAGAACGACGCCTTGCTGCACCTGTAACAAAGGTACATAGTTTTACCTTTTTCATTCGTTTGACTGGCTTATAGGTATCATTCGATAATTCAACTGCCGGCTGACGGATTAACATACTACTTCAAGGCCTTCTCATTTAAATATGAATAGTACCTGCCACTATTCTATTCATTCCAACGGTAAGGGTTAAGATAATATTACTCGCTTTGTGAAGTTACCAACATTTCATATATTAATGACAAATTGTGTGTATTAAGGATTTAAAAATCTTACCAAGATACTGACTAACAGAATGGCAACCCTGAAAATATCAAAGCAAACAATAAATGGCAAAACCAGTATAACAGGGACTTACAAGATATAAACAAAAGTGTTTAAAACTACGCCCAGCCTAGTTCTCGAAACGTTCCGTCTTAAAATTTGTAAAACGGGCTGTGGTCTGTCGAGTAAAATGTCTAAAAAATATTCTAATGAGAATTTACTGGAACATTTTAGAAACCTCTAAGTCCTTTTTGGTTTTCATTTTGTTTTGACGGAATAACGTTCAACGAAGGACACATTTCGGTCGAGGTGGGTCTGAAAAATTGTAACTGCATCGAATCCGTTTGAATCTCTGTTCTTTAAAATGTTAAAGAACGTAGTGAGAATTAGTTTCATGCGACCGGGGTTTCCTAGCGTTCAGTTTTCAATAGAGAAGTTAAACTGGCATGGCCTTTCATAACGTAAACGTGGACGGAAAGATTTGAGCTTAGCGTATACATGAAGGGGTCTGCGCATGATACCGAAACCCATTATACCGACCCGCATTATACCGAAACCCATTATACCGACGCGCATTATACCGAAACCCATACCGACGCGCATTGTACCGAAAGGCGTAATACCGAATGACATATTCACTGTAACTACGTAGTTACTTTGAGGGAACGTCAATGTAACAAAATGGATGAACTTCCTGGTTACGAATTATTTTGCTTTCTCGATTTAAACCTACTAATAAGTCAAGTTGCAGATTATAATTTGGCCCAAGGCTAGAAATTATAGCCTAGTTTTAATAAGCTTCTTCGATTTGGAATTTGTTTTGTAAATGAATTGTAATTCATATACTTAGCCCCTCGCTTTTGTTACATTGACGAAAGCCCGTTATATTACCAATGTATGTTACTTTGACGATTTACGCCAATGAACAAAGGCGATGGTCGAAATGCACAAATTACAGCTTTATTGAAAAATCAAATTCCAAACCGAGAGCATTTCTAAAAGCTAGACTATATTTTCTAACGTTGTGCCAAATGACAATCCGCAACATGACTTAACGTAAGTTTAAATCGAGAAAACAAAAAACACATATCAAGGAAGGTTAAAAACAATGCAAAAACTAAGTTGTTTTGAAAGAAAATTACGTACAGAATTCAAATAGAAGAAAATGTTAGTCTTTAGTGGTTTAAAATGCAGATCTCCTAAAATCTCATTAAAACGAGACCTTAACGAGATTTCAAAGCTACATGGAAAAGCCACTTTTAGACAGATGCCTTCACTAGGCTATTCTCTGTACTTGTGTCCGTGCCTCATTTTGAGTAGTGAGTGTAAATTCTTTTCGGAAACATGATTATATTTTTTCCCTGTAATATGAATTGGATATATCTGACAAAATATGGATAGCCTAAAATATAAATTTTGTGTTTTTGAACATGCGGAAATATCCTGAACACTTTGAAACTGAAGTTTAGTTCCTTAATAGGTCGCTCAGTTTTCTTGTTTTTGTTCTACACAACACTTGTGTTTAATAGCCACGCGTAATTATTAATAAGCGTAATCAGATTATTTCAAGCGTCGAAATAGCTTATTTTCCTCGACGTATCTACACAAACCTTACTCACTTCGAGAGCCATGTTAGATTTTGAAACTTATGGCTCTCAAACGGAGAAGTGAACAGCTGATCAATAGTGACCTTTGAAATTGAATTAAGTCGATCCGCGGCTTACTTTTGGTCTCTAACTGTGTCTTACATCAGTATCATCAATCCGTGTAAGTATTGGAGCGCTGCCAAGTACTTCTTTTTCGATCAAGACTTGTAAATTGTTCATCGAGTTAAAGTTTTACAGACCTATTTCCAATATGGCGGTTTGCTAGGTGCGAGATACGCAACGAACGAAATGAATTTTGAGAATTAGTTAGGTTCGGACAACCTCCGGAGATTTACGAAAATATCCGAGCAGAAACCGCCATATTGGAATTTGGCAGTAAAACGATTCACTCGTGACACAATTACAAGTCTTGATCGAAAAAGAAGTACTCCAGCGCTCCAATACTTACACGGATTGATGATACTGATGTAAGACACAGTTAGAGACCAAAAGTAAGCCGCGGATCGACTTAATTCGATTTCAAAGGTCACGATCATTGAGCTGTCCAAATGCTCCGTGGGAAAGCTATTATATCAAAATCCAAATAGCTTTCGCAGGAAGTAACACAAACCTATTCACGTTATTGAGCGATCTAGATGCGTCAATTATAATTGTTTTCACTCATCGGCTTTTGGCCCGCGATACTTTTTACTTCATTCATTTGAGACGCAATTGATATATTAGCAACAAATCAAATGTTCTAAATGATTTTTCTTCATTTTGGAATGTTTCTCCTACCCGATATTCAAAGACGTGTCTTAAATATTAAACTTCACATTGATCACGATTCTTGTACTTTCTGTCTTAACGACTCCCGTTCACATTTGCGAGAGTTGTTGATTGCATTGCCTTGATCGTTGGTCGAACTTCGATTTCAACTAAATCAGATTAATCAATTAAGAAATGTAATACCATGTTTATCTAAGCAAATAATTGTAACAACTACATTATTTTTTAGCAGTTTTGACACCTAAGCAGGGTAGCCTAGTGGCGTAGACTGAGGCTACTTTGCGGTTGAACGTCGTGGGATACGGAGGTCCCGCGTTCGAGCCCCAGGTACGGAGTTGTTGATCATTGTCACTACGGACACCCGGTCCGAAGGTCCAACCGTTTACCGGCCCTTGGCTTGGGTTGGTTCTCTGGCTGCTCTTGCCGGAGACAGATTGTGAGACTGTGGTTGGTTCCTCCACTAACGTGCTTTAGTAAACTCCGGGAGTCATGCAGTATGGTAGCGGGCCCCCACCAAGGGCAGTAGTGGAACGACGCGAATCGGTCCCAGTATGGTTGCCTTGCAACTGAAGAGACTCGAGGAAATCATGCCATTCGCAGTGATCCAGAAAAGACTTTTGCTTCTTAATTTGACGTTTTAATTCATATAACTTTCCGGGCAGTTATGATTTTTATTGGTCAAATGAATGAACGAGACATCTAGATACTACAGGGTGTTAAAAAAACGCAACCCAAAGAAATCGCTATATCTTGGAAAATACTTATCCAATTGTGTTTATTTTTTCAGAAAAGAAAGAAGAGACTGTGTGTGTATAGCTCCTGCTGTTAGTTAGTTGTAAAACATGATGCCTTGGACACCTGCTCAAAAGACATTAGTATTAGAAAGATAGGAAAAACGCAGTCAGAGGTGACAGCCAGAGCAATTAACCCTCATAACTTTTTAACCATGGTGTTTTGGCACTTCAGATTAGACACAAATTATCTTCATATGATGTGTAGTGAATTAGGGGAGTTTCATTAAAATCACTGCAGGGACCTTACAGTCATGATCAAAATGCTTCCTTAAGTCTGGCTGAACCAGGGTGTTTGACTGAGTTTTGAAAGCATTTCAACCCAAACTGTAAAGTCCCTGGAGTGATTTTGATTTCACTCTCCAGATTAATCATACATTGAATGAAGATGATTTGTGCCAAATTTGAATAGCCAAAACACTATGGTTAGAAAGTTATTTGGTTTTCTTGCTGTGGCAGTCGTCTCTGACTGCGTTTTTCGTATCTCTCCAATATTAATGTCTTTTGAGCAGTTGTCCAAGGCATCATGTTTTACAACTAACTAACAACATGAGCTATACATACACAGTCTCTTCCTTCTTTCCTGAAAAAATGAACACAATTGGACAAGTATTTTCCAAGATATAGCGATTTCTTTGGGTTGCGTTTTTTTGAACACCCTGTATTAAATACATGAGGAGGTACGGTTGATTGGACCATGGGCTTTCAACAGAGTCGAGAAATTGGCAAGGGTACTTTGAGAAATTGAGAAACACCGGAAATAATCCAGAAATGTCCACACCATTGTTTTCGTTAGTTATGGCAAGGCCCCGGAGGAAAAACAGCATTCGTGTGTAGCTTAATTTTTGTACCAATTAGAGCCATGACTTTAACTCAACCAAGAACGGTGGGGCAAAGTCCCTATGGGTCCCAATTGAGAATCAATTCAAATCAAAATCAAATTGAGAATCAGATGACCTGCTAAGCCTAGTATTGATTTGCCCCTAAATAGATATAAAGGGACGCTGAATATTGGACTTAGTTAATGAGCACCATTTTAAACTGCCAATTAAAACATGTATTCAGTGTTTCAAAATAATGAAACTGAAATATTGGGCAAAATAATAGTACAATAATGTCATTTCTAAGGGCAATATAGTGAAATATTGGACCGAGGGCCGAAGTCCAATATTTCACTATATTGCTCGCAGAAATGACGTTATTAGTATTATTACCACCGTTAACGACCAGGACTGAAACAGCAAGAAAATCTTACGCATTGAACAATATCTAATTTCCCGGGGAAAATTGCCGGTCCAGAATATATTCTAGACCGGTCCATATGACGTCACACATTTCTCAGGTCGATATAGTAAAATGAACGCCTTCTAAACTAGGACTAAAACCCCTAGAACTGGCCCGGCAAGGTGGTAATAATTGACATTTCGTTTGTGGAATGGAAACTGATGATAGAGATAATATCAGTAGCCAAAAACTGTATAAGCAATTTAAACATGGAAATGATGCCAATTTAGAAATATTAAATGAAAAGAAATGAAATGGTTAGAAAATGAAATAACTTCAGAATTAATGGGATCATTAAGGCACACATTGATAAAAATCACACTTGGATTTGGAAAGATTTAAAGTAAAACAAATGAATGCGCTTCTTACTATCTCCATGACAACATATCTTGCTCTCTTTAGATGAGAACAATTTTTGGCCCCATCAACACAAGATCGAAAATACAGTAATTATCAAGTTCAATGAGAAATGTGAAACTTTATATTTAATAGCACAATTATTTATTTCTACCAATGAAACAATACAGTAAAATAAACGTTTACTTTATTGAATCCAGAATTTACCACAGTTAAATATATTTAATGGAGTACAGGGTTTACCATAATCAAACATAAATAACAGAATTATGACTTTATCCTCTATGAAATACAGAAATTGATGGTTAACTGGAATTAAGTTTGTTGAGACGACCCCTCAATCCGAAACACGCCTAGCATCAGTTAAAAATATTCTGGCCGCAACTGAGATGTAAAGATGTTCAACGTTTTTTAAGCTTTATCTGAAAAATGTCTTTGCGAGATGAACTCTTAATTGAATATGAATATATAAAAAACAGATTAACATCGAGACTCATATGAAAAAGTTTTAAGTTAAAATATTGTGAGGTAAATGAAAATGAATTTTTAATTTTCAATCTGTTCAATAAAAAAATCATGTATGATTTGAACCAAGGTGTATGATAAAGTAATATATAAAATATCTATTTTATATGCTGATACAGTAGAATTTCTCTTGGTTTTTCAACATAGTACCATATTTGACTTTTCAGGCTCCGTTTTTATTTTTCTATGCCTATATAATGTTACTGTGCATGTACATAATCATGTATCTACATGACGTTTTGAAAGAGTATAGAGCTAGATTCAAAGCACCGTTCTTGCGAGTTTCAAATGAAAATATTGAAAAACGCACGAATATGAGGACCGCAACTTTTTATGTCTACACTGACAAAAACTTGAAATTCCCGCTGTAAAGATATAGTCCAACGCGGAAGTGCACGTCATAAAACTGATGGGTTTTAAGGCAATGTGCCGTCCCACTGACACGGATTTCGTCACAACGCGCATCGGTAGGCCTATGTTGGTTTTCGGCACAATGCGCGTCGGTATAATGGGTTTCGGTATAATGCGAGTCGGTATAATGAGGTGATTCCTACATGAAGACAATGTAGGAATGTGCAAGGCTCGCAAATACCATTTCAATACCCGTCCAGCTTCAATCTCTCACGTTTAGAATGCACTGGTGATCCACTCGATTACGCTGGTTACCGAAACGGTTCGTTTTGGTAACAAAATGTCGGAACATCGAAGGTAGGATTTTTCTCTTTTCCTTATTTCACACGTTGTAGGCAGAATTCTCCCGACATTTTTTAACACAAACGTGTATCAGTATCATATGTTTAAGAAAAAAGACAACAGAATCGTCGATTTAATTCTCCACGGCTTCAGTTACATAAACGGTTTTTCGAAAAACATGAACATTTTTCTAAAACATATGACACTGATATACGTTTGTGGGAAAAAACTTCTTGGGGATTCTGCCTCAACGCGAGAAATAAGAAAAAAGAAAAATCGTACCTTCGAAGTTCCGACATTTTGTTACCCAAACGAACCGTCTCGGTAACCAGCGCAATCGGGTGGATCACCAGTGGAATGGGAAATTTGAAATTACACGTTGGTTTACACGTGAATGACTGTACTCATGTTTATCGAATACAATTATACACTGGCAACTTTTGTTTCGATGCACAGAAGAATATGTTCTAAAAAGTGATGTATGTCATGCATGTTTAGTTCAAAATATCTTCTAAACGAGTTTATTCAAAATATGTATCAGAAAATCAGCTGAAGATTCACCAATGGCATCTTATATATCGCGGCAGGAACTTGTGATCTAGCTTGGTGTGATAGGGTGAGAACGTATTTGGACGAATGTAAAAACGAGGTCGGGTTTCAAATGAATACGGATGTTCCAGACATTGCTTGGTAACAATAATGAGCTTAAGCTTGCAATGTTTTTCACAACCTAAACGTGAACGGAAAATATTGAAGCGATGCATTTGTATGGATACGCATCTAGGTTGGCGTCTCAATTTTATATGCAAGCTTTAACTCCCTAATGTCCATAATGACGCGAATGGGAAGTTATACCCGACCTTCAGACCTTTACCGTCTTTATAAAACTTCATGGAGGTGCTCAGAAGGGAATGTCCTCCAGTACTTCGAGCTTTTTTCAACATTTTCCGGCGGGTATCGCATTGCAGCCTGGTCATAATGTACGTAAACAGATACGTACGACTTGATCGAATTACGTTCTTAGCTACAACTCAACAATAATTCAACTGCCGGCTGGCGATTTAACCGTTCTTTTATGGCCAACTCATTTGAATTGAATTCGCGAATGCTAGCTCACTCAATCTTTTATTACGTCAAAAGATAAGTAAAGGGGGACTTGACAACACGTTTCCAAACGTTTATACGAAGATTCGCAGTCGGTTCTCAGTACTCGTTTTACTACTTTCGTTGATTGAAGACTGTGTGAGAAAAATAAAAACTCACGGAAATAGACAAGTGATCAGTTGAAATAAGTAATATGTAAATAAATAAATTCCACTCTTCAACCGAGGCCTGTATTTGCAAGTTATAAAAGTGACAAAACATAAATCACTCACCTCATGATGATGCTATCTCGAATCAGGCAGACCCGTTTGACAGAACATATTTATAATGCTATATAAATAGGGTAATCACAGTCAAATAAATTGGAACTGGATTTCCATATACTTTTTGGATATAAAAAACAATTAATGATTCTATTCTGTATTTTTTATTACTGGTATTTCTGGCTAATATCTATAATAATGATGAGCCAATAAAATGTATTTGAAGTGTCAATGGTTTAGGAAACAATTTGTCATTATATTTAAATGGAAATCCGGGTTTTTTCCGATTGGCAAAGTTTATGAGTTTCTATATTTGGTAAAAGTTAAAGTGACCCAGTCTACACAGCCCAAAAATAACATAGGTCAAAAGACCCATATTAGGTAAAGAGATAAGTGTGTATGCTAACAAGTTTTTGTTTATCTTTAAACAAAGATATTTCCATTTATAATAACGGTTGTAGCCTATTGTTTCTTTTTTGCATATGTTAGGCCAATGGATTTCCTCCAGGAAAAGTACTTATAGAGATGATAAAATAATTTCGACTTTGAGACAGGGAAGATGTTTTTCTGAAATGTTGTCCTGATTTTCAACCCCTTCCACCCCTGCTTTTTCAATTTTTGTTGCATCGATATGTTGCGTTTTAACACACAGTTTGCGTGGGGTAGAATTATGAACAAATTACATCATATGAAATTCAGCTGAATACAATATATTTGCCCAGGAGGATCTTTTGCTAACTTATCTGTGAGGTATTGTATACAGACGATAATAACAGTGACCATACAAGACTACATGTATATTCAGTTTATTCAAAATTCAAAATTAGACTCCGGCCTTGGTCAAGTTTAAGTCAAACATCTTAGGCATTCTTGTAGTGAATGAATTTGGATATTTCTACATCTTACTCTTTACTTCTATACTGGATCAGATATCCCAAGTCTTCTTTAGAAATAAAATTAGGATTGCAAGGGGAACATTGGTATGCGTTTAAAAAACATTGCTTCCAAAATTTTACACTTTCTATCCCTTCTTATTTCTTATGTGTAGTGAAGTAGATTTTCACACCTAAATCAATGAACAATAATGAACTCGTGTATCCAAAATATACTATAAACATAATTACTTTGCATGTACTGTTAAGATTTTATACATTTGAAATTATTAGAGCCATGGTAGCCATATACATAGGGAAACGCACACCAAATTAATTGATTGATTAATACAGAAAATAATGCTCATATGATTCAATTTCCACTCTTGTATTTGCTTAACTAACCCTTAGACATATTCAATTGCATACAAATAAAGACTCTGAACTTTTTTCACACTTATGTTTTATTATATACTCAATTTATCAAATTCAAAACTACTATTGCAGCTAGCTGTGTTAAGTATCTCAGATGTATCATGTTGTTTTAGGTCTTCATTTTGTGCACAGAAAGACTGAGCCGATCATAGATCTGAAAAAATAATTGAAGTGTTAGAAACTGCAGGTTTAACTGATAGAAATATACATAATAGATATTCATCTGCCTGATGTGATCTGCCAATTTATCAATAAAATATTCCTAAAAAGGATCAACAAATGCCTACCTTTGCATACATTGAGTTTCACTTTGTCAGTCACCTTTGGTAGGTCATCGTATGATTCAACTTCAAAGATGTGATCTTCAAACGGTGAGCTTGCAACGATGGTCAGCTCCCTGTAGGAAGCGCCAGCACCAACACCTAAAGGTATATTATGTATTATTACCACCTTGCCGGGCCAGTTCTAGGGGTTTTATTGCTAGTTTAGAAGGCGTTCATTTTACTATATCGACCTGAGAAATGTGTGACGTCATAGTGGTGGTCCATATGGACCGGTCTCAGAGGGGGAGAAACACCAGGGTTCAAAGATGACATACGCTTATAATGTAAATCTGTATTGAGATGACACGGTCACTGATTGGTCAAAAGTCGACAAACAAATGACGTCATCAATGGCGGTTTCAAAATTTTCGAAATACGCTTCGAATAATATTATGTTCATTTCTGGCGTGTTAACCAATATCATAGCTTCTCATTTCACATCAAGATAAAGAAAGGTGTACGGAATATGCCTATATCAATTATAACATCCCATCGAAGTGAAGTATTTGATAACTAGCCGATGAAAATTCGAACGAACGAAGGTGGTAAGCAAGAGAGGTAATTATGTCTGTCATCTTGAAACTTTGGGGCTTTCCCTCCTCTTGACCGGTCTAGAATATATTCTTGACCGGCAATTTTCCCCGGGAAATTAGATATCGTTCAATGCGTAAGTTTTTCTTGCTGTTTCCTGGTCGTTAACGGTGGTAATAATACTAATAACGTCATTTCTGCGAGCAATATAGTGAAATATTCGACCTTGGGCCTTCGGCCCTCGGTCCAATATTTCACTATATTGCCCTTAGAAATGACGTTATTGTACTATTAAGTGTTGCTACACTAAAGTATGAGTATGAAATTGCACAAAAAATGATCAGCTTAGATCAACTAAGACGGGGCTTTTACCTACTTAAAATTAGGCACATGCGATTTCTGTTACTAGTAAATTTAAGTAATTAAAGCTACATCCTCTTACCTATACAGATAAATAACTTGAATTAAGCCATGACACCTACTATTGAACGCAATATTTAGCTACATCTTCCTACCCACAATAAACAAGTTGTATTAAGCCATATGATATCAGCAATGTGTAAGCAATATAAGCTACATCTTACCAACAACAAATATTTCTATATCTTTTTCTTTGGCTTGGTCGGCCGCAATTCTCACCCTCTCCTCGTCAGGAAAAGCAGAATCTAAAATGGCTACTGCTATTTTCTTTGCGGATGGTCGACTTCCCTCTTCAACAGTAAAACTACGCAAGGTCATGTGTTCCATGACGTCAGCAAAGTCATATATTTGTATTTGTTTAACGTCATGCTCGAGGGTATCTTTGCTCATATACCTAAAAGGTCGACGGGTAAATGCACCAGAGGTGGATATTCTATAGTTAAAGTTAAATGCTATATTGATGTGTAGTGGTTCTTTGCCAAGAGGTTCACTTTTTAGAAAATCCAAAGGAACGTACATTTGACAACTTTTACCCCAAATCACTTGAAAAGTGCTCAAAATGGTGCAGTGAAAAACTGCATGATTTTGAATAGAATTTGGCCAAGGGCTTCGGTCGATGGCAATGGGCCTCGTGCCTATTTTGTTCAATACTTTAATGAAGTAAGATTTCTCCATACCCTCATATGGGATTCTTAAGTTAGGGGACTTGCAATTGTTACGAACCATAACGTACGTTTGACGGTGACTTACTGGCTTAGAGGAAATCCTCCAATAAGGCATTGTTGGACTAGCCCAACACGAATCTTATCTTGTCCGATTTCAAACTGCTTTGAAAGGTTGCCGACAAAGTCCAGGGACTTTTTAGTATACGAGTCTCCACTCTTGTATGAGTCTACAAGGAAGACAATGTCTGCTGGTCTCCGTTCGCCACATGCTGAAATATGTTAGGTTGTTATAATCCCGGCCTGGTGTTTCCATAGTTCATATAACAGGGATTATTAAAGCATGTACATGAGTTAGATCTGAGACTAACATATTTTATTTTAGTCTCAGTTGAGGTTAGATGTAGCTGCTCTATTTATTTTTGAAAACAAAACTCGATCATGATTATCTCTCTGATCTTGTTTAAAGCGTCAAAAAGCGACACAAACCTTAATCGCGAGTCTCTCTTTGATCTCGTCCAAAGTGTCAAATTGGTTTAATGTAGCTGTTGTATTGACCTTTGACACATACCTTGATCGCGAGTATCTTTGGTCTTGTAGAGTGTCGATTGGTTAAATGTAGCTGTTGTATTGACCTTTTGCTCAAACCTTGAACATGAGTATTCTCTTTGATTTCGCTTAAAGCGTCAAATGGATCAAATGTAGCTCTTGTATTAATTACCTTTTACCCAAACCTTGATTGCAAGCATCTCTTTGATTTCGTTTAAAGTGTCAATATTGGGTAAGCTGTTGTATTTACCTTTGACACAAACTCGATCGCGAGTATCTCTTTGATTTCGTTTAAAGCGTCATAATTGGGTTAAGGATAGCTGTTGTATTTACCTTTGACACAAACCTTGATTGCGAGTACCTCTTTGATCTCGTTTAAAGCGTCGAAATTGTCAACCTCAAAGACAAAGCTTGGATCAGAGGCTATGGCTTCGAGTTCATTCTTGTTAATCTACAATAAGATAACTTGATAATTCATTTGCGTTTATACAAATCGCAACAGTATTATGACATTGAAAAAACATTTACAAATGCTGATCGTGCCTTTATTTTGCCCTTTATTATTAACTAAGGTTGTTTTAATACATTTTGGAAATGAAAACAACTGAATTCAAACAAAACAAGAATCACAAATACACATTATCTTCATGCTCTGGCAATATTCAATTTTTATGGCATTTTTAAACATCTATATGTTACATGAGATAAAATAGCAAGGAGGAAAAGTGCTTAAATTGCATTATATTTCATTTCATTTTTACTGATTTAGACTATTATAACTATCAAACCTCACTACTTAAAGACAGACTTTCTGAACCACCTGGTTGCTCATTATTCCTTATATGGCAAGTCAGTGCAATAAACTGCCATTAGGCTTGTCACTCAAATCCTTGTCCAATCAGCTAATAGTGATAGCATTTATGTTCATAAACATTACAAAAGCACATGTTATATTGAATACTTACAGTACAATGAAGTTATTCCACATCTGTATCTTTATTTTGAAGAATCTTAAAGTTGAATTATGTCAATAATGTCAGTTATTCTTCTCACTTATGTCAATAAGATATTTAATGTACATATTTGTAACATATATATAGCAAAATGCACAATTTTAAAGTTTGATGGTAAATCATATACTGTTGATTAGCCTTACTCCCACATGTGTCCCATGTATGGAACATTGTCATGATTTGGGAACCAGCCTCTGACCTTTTCCACCACACATTTGGGCATGATTTCCCTTCGGTGGGTGACCAATCCTTGTAGCCTTGGATGTTGTGCCATTGCAGCAGTCTTTCTCATTTGATACTGTTGTTTGTTCCAAAGGCCTCGATTATGAAGCATACTCCAAAAATGTCTATATTTGATCTTCCTATAGGTATTGTTTAAATCAGAAGGTGTTTTATTTCTAATTGGCCACCAATTTTGTCTATTCTGTTCATGAGTTATACATGGTAGCTGTAGACAGTGTGGACATGACCCCTCCTGAATGTCATCATCTTCATAACCGGGATCTGGATCTGGATTTTCACATGTTGATATTGTTGTCTCTTCATTTCGGCAATCAATTTTTGTGTAAGTCCAACTATGTTTTAAATATAGCTGTTTTATGGCATTTTCTTGCTCCAGTGAACATTCTATTGAAATAACTCTATTCCTAGGAGAAGGATTCATTTGAATAATTAAAATTCACTAATTTCACTAAAAGTTTCAATGGCCTTTGTCAAATATACTTACATATAGTTTGACAAAATTATTAAATTTTAATTAATTAATCTAATTTGTAATTGATGATAGTCTTTTACTTTCTATGGGTAGTGTGAGTCGGTATGGAAGTATAAGTCTCATATGTCGTCTAGTTTACATTCAGTGAACATGAACTGAGTAACAGCTATTGATCAACATTTTTCCACAAAGTCTTATGTACATTTTGTTATGCCTGCTACATAGATTTTTCCAGTTAATTCATGTAAATGTAGGCTTCCTTTTGATAGATTGATTCATGTTCTAATAATCCATAAAATCTAAAATTGATATCATAAAACAATTTTAGTTCATAAGCACTGGACTTGCTTTTGGGGTCATTTCAAGATTTTAAATGTTCATATCAGGACAAAGCTCGAAATGCATGGGAAATTCAATACAAATGGAAAGATTGCATTGGTTCTTGTATATGGTCCCTACCTACCACAAAGGGTTGTACTTAGTAATGCCCATCATTTATGCAATAATTCTGCACCTTTCAACCTCTATTACCATTTAGTACCAGGATGATTGCAAATTTGAAATTTTTGATCTTCCTTGTTCATGTTACCATATGCAAATTGTTAGAGATAAAGAATTGCCCCATTTTCCCAGGGGTGTTCCATATATGACCTGTTCTTGTGCATTTTTCCTGAAGTAAAACACTTTGTAATTGTGACTTTTTGACAAATGGAACATCCAAAATAGACAATTTGTGCTAGCCAGTAAGTGTTGTTTGGTAGACCACCTCATTCTTTCACAGTCATTATACAGTGAACATGTCTCAACCATCAGTAAAGCGAGCCAGAGCACCAATGTTCAGGATTGAACTACCAGGAGATGAAACGATAAGACAGAGCTTTCTCCATAAATTGCAGAAAGTAAAAGCAAGTTTGAGCAAAGAGCAACTTTTGAACAATCGTCAAACTCTAGAAAAGCTATTAGATGACTTTATATTAGAGAATGACAAAGAACCAGCTGGATGTGGGCCAAGTGAACCATGGCCGAGTAATCTAGCGTCTTTAGGACAGTACAGTGCAGTTACTTCCAAGTCATCATCTAACGAGCCAATGTATCTTAGCACAAAATCTGCAATGGAAAATTTGGCGCTACTTATAAATATCCATCGGGACCGGTGCAATATGCCTCTCCATTGGCAAGAACATAGCTATGTAGGACATGCAGTAATTGTCCATTTTACGTGCCTTGAAGGACATAGAGTACAATGGAAGTCATCACCTACTCTTCCAAATGGAGAGTCCCTGGTAAACTATAGATATTATCATGGATATATCACATCTGGATTGCTACCTACTCAGTACAGGACAGTTGCAGAGGCAGCAGATTTTGGCCAAATAAGTGACAAAAAACTTGATGAATACACCCATGCTTCTGCACGTATTATTGCTGGGTGTGCTCAGGACTCGATGGATTTGGCACTGCAAGAGGAGCAAGAGTCCAATGAGGAGAACAAAATCGGCATCATGACAGATGCCAGGCATGGACATCGCAAAAATGCCAATGATTGTGATGTAGTTTGCATCGGACTAAATGGCCATAAAGTCATTGCTTCTCAGCACATCACCAAGGCAGATGATCAGTGCCCTCAACGACATGAGCTTCTTGGAACAAGAAGAATTTATGAACTACTTGATGCCAAGAATATTGCCGTGCATACTCACTGCCATGATGCTAATGCATCAGTGAACAAATATGTACGAGAAGAGCGGCCTGATACCACTAACCAGAATGACACATGGCATGGAGGTAAATCAGCCATGAAATCCGTCAGCAAAGTCGCAAGTGGACCCCGATATAAACATGGCCAAACATGGCATATGGAGCTAAGTGACAAGTGTAAAGTTGTCAAAAGAAGGGTTCACTGGGCGATGCGAAATTGTAACAATGACCCTGAACTGCTAAAAACATTGTTGGATAATATTGTAGAACATTATAAAGACCACCATAACAATTGTCACATCACCTCACCATGTAGAGAAGATGACTTCCAGTTGGAATATATTCGCATCGATGACCCTGTTGCAGAGCAGCTCTTCAGATCAGCCATCCGGAACTGTGTTGTTTACAAGCAACCCCAAAATTACATTGCAGCTTTGGATACTTTCTATGTAGAAAGCTATAACAATGTTTTAAACATTTTCCATGACAAAAGAATTGTTTTTGGCCGTGAACAGTTTGAAATGCGTTCCAATCTTGCCACATTACATTGGAATGAAAATGTGGACAGAGACCATACTGGTTTATGGGAACGTGAGGAGCCAGATAACTCAACAAAGAAGAGAAAAACTTTAGTTCCTAGAACATTTAATTATAAAAATTCTATTTGGGATAGATTAATGGATTCTCTCGACTGGCCATAATACATTTAGAGGATATAAACCGCATAATAATTGTTTATTAATGGATTATGTAATTATAATGTCTTTGGATTTTATTTATAATATACCAACAGTAAGTAAGTAAAAACATATTTCTTATGATTAAAAGTAGCATGAATTGTGTGTTATTGAAGTTGAACTATAACATGTGGTTTTGAAATGTTTACAAACAAACTTTGCATCACATGACCCTGAATACTTCACACCATTGGTTGAAATTTGAATTAGGCCACTCCTCCTAATTTAAAGAATACCAATATTTTAAATAAAGATTTCTCAAAAAGTAATACATAATTGCAACAATTGTTTAATGGATTTCAAGGAGAATACATTCATAAACATCTGTGACAATTTTTATGGTGATCTGTTGGCTATAACTAACACAAAATCAAAATAATTCCTCTTGATTTGAATTGTTCTTATTCGTAGGATTTTCAAATTGTTAATGACTCCATTTTTACTGGTCAAGCTGCTTTTATAGTGGAGGCTCTGTCTTTAAATGGTGAGAGTTCTAAATTGGATGTCACCTCTAAAATAGCCTCTTATAAAGGAGTTGTATCATATAAATGTATGGCTAGGGCATTGTTTCCTGATTTGATAAGACACATTACCTTTAAACCTACTCCAACAGCATACACCATCAACCCTTCTGCTTTAGCTTTTTTCGCAGCTTGTTTTGTGTCTTTTGGTTCCCTGGATACTCCATCTGTGATCACTATTACTATATGAGGGACGTCATCTGAAAAGATGCATCGTCATTTTAAAATTCCTCTATCCCACGTCCACTCAATGAGATGCTCTGCTGCATAATTTCAGATGATGGAATAAGACGGTTTTACGTTTTAATAATGACATTCGTCTTTTTAATAAATGTTTGCGATGAATAAGACTCGTTGACCACGACCTTACGCAGTGCATACCTCTCATTCCATTTGCATGTTTGAACACCTTTGTCCTCATAAAGTCGATTGCAAGTGCTGTTTCTGTCCCGCCCAACTTTTGTTTTATTGCTGAAATTCTCTCTTTTAAAGGAGCCTTTCCTGTAAACTCATTGAAATAGAATTCCTTGTGGACAAGGTCACTATACGTGATAGCTGCTATCTAAAATTCAAAATTATATTTTAGTTCGCTGGAAGCAAGTTTTATAAGCTTAATGAAAACATTTAGACAGTAAGGGAATAAAGTAAGTACGGTTGTATTTTTTGATAAGTAAAACATATCATAAGTCGATTGCAAGTGCTGTTTCTGTCCCGCCCAACTTTTGTTTTATTGCTGAAATTCTCTTTTTTAAAGGAGCCTTTCCTGTAAACTCATTGGAATAGAATTCCTTGTGGACAAGGTCACTATACGTGATAGCTGCTATCTTAAATTCAAAATTATATTTTAGTTCGCTGGAAGCAAGTTTTATAAGCTTAATGAAAACATTTAGACAGTTAGGGAATAAAGTAAGTACGGTTGTATTTTAAGATAAGTAAAACATATCATAAAATATGACTATCTTTTAGAAAGCTACTCTAAACCAGTCTCTAGATAGCCTTTTGGTTTACCTTGAATGATATAACAGAACAAGATTCAACAGACTATAACCATATAATAAATTAACTTTGAATTAAAATTCAAATATAAAATAATACAAACGAATAAACGTAAATGAACATAAATTGTACATTTGCAACATTGTTGTTATTAAAAGTGTTTTTGTATAATACCTGTACTTTCTCTGGGCCTATTTGAAAAGAATCAATGAATGAGTTGACAAAGTTCAACATCCTTGAATAATTGGAAGGCCAAATGCTGCTAGATGAATCCAACACAAAACCTATATCTGCTGGGTTGTTGCCACATGCTTAAAGAAACAATATGATATACATAATATATACTGTATTATTATATGGATGAACAAGTTATCAAAATGACATATCTTACATTTATTTTTCAATTTTCATCAAAAGTATATATTTTTTAATATTTAATATTTTTGGTGAACAGATGAACTTACCTACATCGACAGCATTGGCATTTGTTATGAACAACTAAAACAAAAAAGTTTCAACTTAAGTCATATTTAATTTTAATTTATACTTATTTGTTTTTGTATGAGTTGGACCAGATGCCGATGACAATCCATACCATGAATTTGTTCTGGTGTCCAACAAAGCTCGAGGAAATAAGCCAGCCAGGCCATGAAGTTTTTAACAACCCTGATTTACTCCTCAAAAGGTCTTTAATATGTTTTATAGGTCTGATATGGCGGCGAGTACACTCAACTGTTGACCACCAAGGGTTATGATATTTCAAACATATTACCAATCGTGTATACCATGAGTTTAAAAATCTTACCAATATACTGACTAACAGAACAGCAAACCTGAAAACATCAAAACAGACAATAGTAATAGTGATTGATGTGTTTATAGGATGGCCCCACACTTTTTATACCGAGGGAGGACCTGTGGATATACCATTGTAGTCAGGTCATGCATCTTGTACACAGACAGGCCCAACTAGAATTAATAGTAATGAGAGACTTGACAACACGTTTTAAATTTGTGTTCAGGTTCGCAGTCAGTTCTCAGCACTCATTTTGGTCAAGTTTGTGTCAGGAAAATGTATTTGAACAAAACATGAATTTTAGGCAAGAACCCGGCCCATGGACCGTTTTACGATTTTCAGAAGTTTTCGAGACCTGCTTTGGTGTGACTAATAAACTAATAAGTCTAATAAACACCATGGCTAAGTAATTATACTGCCGAGCATATTCACGGAAATAGACAATGGATCGGCTAAAATGAGTAAACAAAAAATTCACATTTCAACCGAGACCTGAATTAGCAATTCACCAAACTGATTAAACATAAATCACTCACCTCATGATGATACTATCTCCACTCAGTTCGACGTCTGACAGAACATAATATTTTTAATACTGCATTAATAAGATAATCATAGTAAAATAAATTGGAGCTGAATTTCCACATACTTTTTTGATATTAAAAGTGATCAATGATTCAATTATGTATATCTATAACTGGCATTTTGAGATAGTTTCTACAAGGATGAGTCAATAAAATATGTATGCACAAGTGTCACAAGGGAAAGGACAACAAATTGTTACAGAGCATAGCAAGAAAAGGAAAACGGGATCTAAGAGTACACCAGTCATGGAAAACAAACCCCAACTACTCCCAAACCATGATCTAACGTGAAAAGAAACAAAGTCTAATACCCCCACCATCTACAAGTACCAAAATCACAATCCGGGACCATTGTATTTGAAGTGTCAATGGTTGAGGAAACAATTTGTGTTATGTTTAAATGGAAATCCGGCTTTTTCTCACTTAATACATATAGTTTATAAGTGATAAATGTTAGAGTGACCCAGTCGATCCAACCTCAGACAAGAGCCAGACACTATGTTTTCATATTATTTACCATCATGTTAGAATTATCTTTTAACAAAAATCTTTCTTTATTATAATGTAATGTTTCTTCTTCTTGTTCAATAGCAAATATAAGTATGCCTACGGCATATCATACGGTATGGGGGCTATAGCGAGGGCTTCAGAGAGGGCTTCTTCAACAGGATTTCCATCAGCGGATGGTAGACGTATGTTAGTCGTATAGTTACAGTATATATACTGTAGGGATGGGGTATGATGAAATGATGGCATATGAAGTTCAACTAAATAAATACACAAGTTTGCTTCAAGTGGCTTCTTGTTGTTTGTTGTTCTCTATTATTACTTTTGTTTGTAATCTGAATACCAAATAAGGACATTGTTATGTCGTGTCTGGATCTCAAAATAAGCGAGTGTACTAGATTTTGTTGCTTTTAGTAAGAAAGAAGAGTAAGAAAAATGCCAGCAAAAGACAATATGTAGCTCTGTTAGGCTGACTGACAAACACAGGATTTTCTTAGATTATTCTGATATTATATCTAAATAAAATGATGTTAATATAATCTCTGATTTTGTCAGGTACTTCTTTCATGATTGAAATCGTTTTTCTGGGTTGCCTTTGTGAACCTAGATTATGATTTGGGTTGTCTACTATTGTAGGACTATAGGGCTATGCGAACAATGTTCTAATTAATTCCAAGGCATCGTTTGGTTTAATCTAACTCTTACATAGGCCTAACTAACAGGGGGACATTAATTTTTAAGTAAATTATACAAAGGAAGACTTAAGTTTTGCAAAGTTATTTTATATTGTATACTCAAATATGTCATAGTATAATGTTCACAGAGTCTTACACACTACTATTGATGCTGTGTTATGCATCTCAGATGTACCATGTTGTATTAGGTCTTCATTTTTTGTAGTTACGGGATAACGGTAACCGATCATAGATCTGAAAAAAGTATTTAAGTGTTAAACAATTGCAGTTCTAACTAAGATAGAAATACACACAATAAATATTCATATTTTTGATGTTGGCACATTCATTAATGCAATATTCTTAAAAATGATCAAGAAATGCCTACCTTTGCATACATTAAGCTTCACTTTCTCAGTGACATCTGGAAGGTCATCGTATGATTCGACTTCAAAGATGTGATCTTCAAACGGTGAGCTTGCAACGATGGTCAACTCTCTGTAGGAAGCGCCAGCACCAACACCTAAATGAATCAGATGGAACATGTTATATATAAGCGAAACAATCCATATCTACCTACCCACAACAAATAACTTGAAGTTAGCCATGTGACACCTGTCATACATAAGTGAAATAAGCAACATATTCATGCCTACAACAAATATTTTAAAATTAGCCATATAACACCTGCTATATATAAGCAATATAAGCTAAATCTTTCAACCCACAAGAAGTAACATAACTTGAATAAAGCCATATGACTCCAGATTACATATGGCACCTGTTGTAAATAAGCATTATACGCTACATCTTTCTTTATTACCCACAGCAAAAGTCGAAATTACCCATACGACACCTTTTACACATATTAAGCAATATAAGCAACGTCTTCATACTCCGTCAAATATCATGAAATTAGCCATGACACATTTTGTAATAAGCAACGTCTTCCTACCCACAGCAAATAACCCGAAATTAGCCATATGACACATTTTATACATAAGCAATATAAGTAATTATAACGTCTTCCTACCTACAACAAATATCTTGAAATTAGGAACGTGACACCTATTATACATAAGTAATATAAGCCACATCTTCCTAGTCACAATAAATATATTGAAATTAGCAATATTACATATGTCATACAAAAGCGATATGAGCTACATCTTACCAACAACAAATATTTCTATATCTTTTTCTTTGGCCTGGTCCGCTGCAATTCTCACCCTTTCCTCGTCAGGAAAAGCAGAGTCTAAAATGGCGACTGCTATTTTCTTTGCGGATGGTCGACTTCCCTCTTCAACAGTAAAACTACGTAAGGTCATGTGTTCCATGACGTCAGCAAAGTCATGTATTTGTACTTGTTTAACGTCATGCTCGAGGGCATCTCTACTCATATACCTAAATGTTTGGCGCATTTTATTATTCCCTTATTTGAGTATAATGTTTAACGAGTTTTTGTAAAACAGGAAGTGATATATAAATTAAATGAATCAAACAAAGATACAAGTCAGTGGGACTAACAATATACGCACAGTATACATGCATATCGTACATATCTGTTGCAGAAAGTCAATTAGGTGAGTTCAATCATACGTTTGACGATGACTTACTGGCTTAGAGGAAATCCTCCAATAAGGCATTGTTGAACTAGCCCTACACGAATCTGATCTTCTCCAATTTCAAACTGCTTTGAAAGGTTACCGACAAAGTCCAGTGACTTTTTGGTATGCGAGTCTCCACTCTTATATGAATCTACGAGGAAGACAACGTCTGCTGGTCTGTTTTCGCCACATGCTGAAATATGTCATGTATTTTGTCATTATTTCGACCCGGATTCTGTCAAAGAAATCTAAATACTACTATCAATTATGTATGAGTCAAATCTAGCTGTTGTGCGTGTATTTAGCTTTGACACAACCCTTTGATCTCTTTAAACGCGTCAAATGAGTTATATGTAGCTGTTGTATTTACCTTTTACACAAACCTTGACCGCGAGAATCTCTTTGATTTCGTTTAAAGCGTCGAAATTGTCAACTTCAAAGACGTAGCTTGGATCAGAGGCAATGTCTGCAAGTTCATTCCCGTCAACCTACAAAATGAGATCATTTGTTTACATTAACACAGATGGCATCATTAATATGATGACCAGTTATTAAAAAAAACGTTTCAAGTGCTGATCATGCCCATATTTTACACTTTATTTAACTTATTTTGTTTAAATACTTTTATAATTTAAATTTGATAAAAATCACTAATACACGTCAAAACTTATGTTCATACTACGGTGTTTGTCAGTATACAACTGTACAATTTTATCTCAATAAGGAGTTCCATGTAACCTGATAAAACATCAAGTAAGACAAGTATATAAGTAATTGTAAAAAGTAACTTTTTTATTTTATTTTAATTACTTTGGAACATTTTTCATCAATACCACTGCATTTAATTAGATAATAGAACACGGGACCCAATAGTACATGACGTATATTATACGTTTGAATGGAATCTTATTTAAAGCAAAGATGGAACATTTTAGTTCATTTCATTCAAAGACCATTTCAGGAATAGGAAGTTTCATAAACAAATTAAATCCTTCATTAAAGTAAACGTGTGAGGCTATTGGTAGTTTTTTCCAACCTTTAATCCTACTCCAACAGCATACACCATCAATCCTTCTTGTTTAGCTTTCTTTGCGGCTTCTTTAGTATCTTCTGGTCTTCTGGAGACTCCATCTGTGATCACGATTACAATATGAGGAACGCCATCTGGAATATTGCATTGTCATTAACAGTTTCAGCACAGAACTAAACAATGACAATACTGTCCATATTCAAAGATAGAAATAGATGAGTAAGTTGTAACAGTAGAACTAAAAGGAGATACAAAATCCTCAGGATCGCACCGTCATTGAGATGCCCTAAAATATATACCAAATATTCAATTCCATTAAGATTACATGTTCATCTTTCCTCAGTATATTTCCCGCAACCCGAAGGTTTATTTTAATATGATAAGGGAATACACCCGAATATTCTTAATCATATGATCGGTTCTCATCCAATGAGAAATATAGGAACATTCCTTTGATATTATAAATAGTTATATCTTGAGTAATATGTGCATCCCATACCTCTCATTCCATTGGCATGTTTGAACACCTTTGTCCTCATGAAGTCGATCCCCTGTGCTGTCTGAGTCCCGCCCAATTTTTGTGTTATTGCGGATACTCTGTTTTTCAAAGGTTCTTTTTCTGTAAACTCATTGAAAAAGAATTCCTTGTGGACACGGTCACTATACGTGATGGCTGCTATCTAAAATTAAGAATAATATTTTAGTTCACCACGAACACGTTGTGTAGGAAATCTTTAGGCACGGAATAAAGAAACACTGTAAAAATACTTGAGGAAGCGAAGTCTGAACTCATCTCTAGCCTTTCTTTCACCTCTAATGATATAAAAGAACTAAATTCAACAAACTGAACCAGACTATATACTTTGAGTCAGATTATATAAAATTGAAATAATATTCAAATATAAATCGATATGAACGAAACCGTGTAAAGGAGCACATGGGTTATCGCAAACAATTTCAACGATTCTAACTTGAATTATGAATACGTTCTGATCATGAACATGGTTGTATCTTTTAGATCCATCCAGTATCTTCAAGAAAAGTGTATTATAATGATAATTTAGTTAATCATACCTAAGTGATAAAGTGTTCATGTATAATACCTGTACTTTCTCTGGGCCTATTTGAAAGGAATCAATGAATGAATTGACAAAGTCCAACATCATTGAATAATGGGGAGGCCAAATGCTGCTAGATGAGTCCAACACAAACCCTATATCTGCTGGGTTGTTCCCACATGCTGTAAGGTACAATACGATATATTTATTTTTATTGTTTTAAATTATTGATAGGACAACCCATTGATCGAAAATGACATGTTTCAAATTAGCTTTTGTTAACCTTTTTTATTCCGGTTACCGGTGTTTTATTAAGTCATCAAAAGTGTGAATCTTGTTAAACAACAGGTGAACTTACATACATCGACGCCATGGGCATTTGTTATGAGCACCTAAAACAAAAAAAGTTACAACATCACTTTTGTCAATATAGAAGATTTGATCACAATTTAAGTATTCAGACTCATTTGGACGATGACGATCACATTTGCTCAATCAAAAAATAATTATTCCCTAAAAAATTTTAAATGATAATGTAATTCTTCATTGGACTGATATATTATTACAAGAGCAAATAAATTAACATCATTAAACAATTTCTTCATTTTATGTTCTATATGAATTAATTCCCGTCCGATGTTTTTGATTTTAATTACATGTGCATGTACACTCCCTTCCATAAGTTTGGCAACCCTAACTCCCCAATTGTATTGTATTGTATATCTATCTTTATTGCCCATAATAAAATGGAGATACAATTTATATGTACAGTGATGTAAAATAAAAGTACAAAATTATGACAAAATTATATACATGTTAGACGTATAAAAACTATTCAATGAGCAAAATGCTCGTACGGTTGAGTCAGGCACTGTAAGTGTGTCAAACACAGTCACTGTTAGACCGTGCTTTATATTGCTCGAAGATAATTTGTGCTATCTCTTTTAAGAGAGCATTTGGATTTGGCACAACATTTATCCCAATCGGATTGCATGCTAAAGCCTATTCATGTTTAAATTTTTATTTGCATAGTCTGTAAAGAAAATACTACTTTTAGGGTTTGAAATATAAATTGACATCATTTCGAATACCTCCAATTGTTCTCGATTTTTTAACAAAAGGGCGTATACTGAGGACAAATTTGATGAAGTTTTGAAAATCGTCATTCCCATGTTTTTCGCGAGTCAAATGACAGAATATTCATCTATCCGAGTTCTCGCAAGAATACAAGTTAGGTAACAAATTGAATTTGCAAACTTTGTTTAGCAAACAATGATATGTTTCTTCACGTTCAACAAAGTTTTAGGTCTCCAAATTCAACATCACTTATCAAGAAACCTCTCACATTGAAATAACACAGGGGGCGAAAAATTATTTTCAAAAATGACTCGAAGCTCTGTAACTTTAATGTTCACAAAGTGAACTTTACTTGCGTGCAAAAAGTTAGACAATTCAATCTACTAGAAAAAATATTTTTTGGTGAAGCATTCTGATTTGCCCCGAACCCACCATTTCCCATTGGTTTACATGGGAATGACAATTTTCAAAAATTCATCTTCATTTTCGACCTATTGTAATATTGGCATTGTAAATGAAGTCAGGTTACATTTTCACCGTAATCATATTTTTGTGTAAATAAAAATTCAAACATGAAGAGGCTTTAACACGTAGTCGAATGAGGGAGTTAGCGTTGCCGAACTTATGGAGGGGGGGGGGTGTATATAATTTATACAATATGTATTTGAATCAAAAGTGTAAACAAATGTTTTAACCTATAATAAAATGAACTTACGTTGATTAGTGTAGTTAATGCTAATGCGACTCTAAAACATAACAAAAATAGATAAAAAGCATAAATTACAGAGAGGTCATATACTAACTACATTATAGTTTGTTCTGAGCGAATTCTTGACCGCCCTTCTTAGTACATCGTCGCCTTCCACTGGGTGAGGTAGGAACAATTGAAACCTTGTGAATCAAGGTGTCTTAGTATGAGTTTAAAATACTCAATTTGTTACATATTCAAAATCAAAAAAGTTACCTCATTTTTGCAACTTGCCAATTTCCCCTTGAGCCTTGTATGTACAGTCTTCTCTCTTAGAATCTCTACATCTAATGGTGTAGAAGCCTTTTGCTGATGATAGTAGTTCATAATTAAACAAATTATACCAATTTTATATCTGCTTTAAAACATCGTTAAATAAACAGTGTTAGTCCAAAACTCCTTTTTAATTACACTTCCCTCAGAAACTAGTCTAATTCGACGCCAGTCAGTGTTTGCATTGCAATTGACCAATCGCTAACATTTCGGCTGATATTCTTTTTATGATAGTTCTACAATTATTTTTAATTGACGCAGTATGACACAGGGTCTCCTCCCCATCTTTACCATTGTGTTTCGATGCTTCCACATGAAATTGAAAACCCTTGGACTGAAGATACTTTTACTGAGTCATGGAGCAGTTAGATAAAAACAATTGCAAGTAGCTCAAAAACAAAAGTACACAAGTGTATGTTGAGGAATAAATGATTACCTAAGAATGCACATTTCTTGTCCTCCCATTTTAACTTTATTTGATTAAATTTATTTCGTTTCATTACTTTGTTTGGTGGTTCTTGTTTTAATAATGAAGAGTTATGCCTATATTAACTGTTTACAATATTACCTTTTCTACTTTTGCTTAATTTAAGTTACTTGAATCATTTGGGAGGGAATTTTTTGTTTGTTCTTGTAATGTAACTACACTGAATTGCTCATACATATGAAATATTTTATGTTTTATATTTTAGTATTGTTTAGTATGATCCCGCGGTATAATTCTTTCAAATGATAATAATTTGTTTAAATGTTTTATTGTCTCCTGATTCCCTTGTCATATTTGCCGAATATGAGTGCTATTATGGGATAGATGACTCATTCATATTATGATGTTTTGAAAATACAAAACTTTTGAGACTACCCCATTTTAAACAACAGCAAATTGAACTTTGAAGATGAAATATGTGTACCCTCTGTGAAAAAAGGTGCATGGTCCTTTATCTGTCATAACATTTTCAAAAGTTTGTATAATATTACTAATTTCTTGGAGGAACATGGCATACATATTGGGAATAACTGGTAGACATTTTAAAAATTAGATGAAAATTAAAAAAAGTTAGCAATGGTTAGAAACATTGTCTCACAAACTCACTAATGTGACTTTTTCCTTTAAATTACGTCATAAATTACACTTTGCACAGTGTCATACATTTTCCTCTAAGTCTAGGATATCATTCTCTATATAAATAAATCTTGAAGATAGGGTAAACATAGAGATGAGCACAAATAGGCTTGCTATTAAAGTCAAAAAGAAATTAATAGAGACATATCAAGTATATTGGAAGAATCTGATAAGTGGGAATGGGGGGAAACTTCGATTATTTAAACAACTAAAATCGCACTTTGGATTTGAACACTACCTTTCAGAAACGACACTTTCAAATGCTAAACATTTAACTAGATTACGTATAAGCGCCCACAATCTAGAGATAGAGAGAGTCCGATATACAAAACCAATTACTGATCTTAATAGTCGATTTTGTAAAATATGTAAGGACTCGGTTATAGAAGATGAAACACACTTTTTATTCAAATGTAAACAATTGGAGTTTATCAGAAAATCCCATATTGAAAAACTTGAAAACCTGTGTCGTAATTTTAAAAACATGAATGACCACCAAAAGACAATTTTTCTATTGACGAGTAAGGGGATCATATTAAAAGAATCTGCTGACATGATAAAGTATCTAATGATGGGTAGAGACAGGATTCTTAATATCAAAGTTACATTTTATATGTCATTTGAAGAATGTAATCCTATTTTCATTACTTTATTGCTATATTTACTGTTATTGAAAATTGTATATTGGATGTACGTTTGGCCCTAAAAGGGCATCAGTTCTAATAAAATCCTATTATTATATGTTATATTCTTCATACCATCGTAAAGCCTATTCCAAACTGGTCATAACTGACAAGTTTGAAATAAACATTGACACACTGACAGAAAATTATGGAGGTGCCACAACTGTCTAAAACATAATTTTTAGACAATTTTAAATAGCAGAGAAATTAAGGATAAGATGTAACCATTTTGCTCAATAAACACATTTATATATCAAATCTGATATAAATGTTGGTATGTATAAGCTAAGTATAGGATGTATAACATATTTATAGGTCATTGAGAAAGATTAAGGGTAAACATTTTCTTACAATTTCAAGTTTATTGCAATTTATGTCACCCCTAACCCTAATTTTGAACTGAGAAGAGACCTTTTAATCTGATGAATATAACTAAATAAACTAATATATGAACTAATATAACCTCAAATTCTATCACAAAATGGTTGTAATTAATCGGATTTTCATTCTATAACTGATATTTTTCACAAAGTCTTATTGGATTGAAGACTTTTTTAAAATTGTGTGTTCCTCTAAATGTAACTAACCATTTAACTTCATGTCTCAGAAGCGGATCTCCTTGTTGAGCATGGGTATGGGATTTCTCAAATATATGACGTCAATTTATGGTAAAAAGTCACACTCACGATTTTGGGAGTTCTTACATTCGATCCTTTCCAACTTTTAAACATATTTACGAAATTTGGTCAAAGTATACATACAATATACCTCTGAATGTTTGGTCTGATAATAAAGACATTGCACCTTTTTCTATATGATATTGATATGATTTGCTTAGAAAATGAACTGCTTAAATGACTCCAAATACTGTTGCCTTCATTCAAAACCTGAATTCTGATCTGACAAATCTAATATTCCATATTTATGAGCAACAGTTTATGTCAATGGAGGTAATGCCGTCCCAATTGTACCATGTAATATAACCAGTATTTGAACAGACAGACATTGCTCATGAATCATTCATATCAGTGGCAGATGAGTGCTATTACAAGACCGTGTTCAGTACAGTAAGTCTAAAATAACAACAAACGGGTATAAATTATTTTGCAGTTGTGTATATATTGTGATACATAATGTAAGTACAACAAATTGAATTATACATATATACTTCGTCTTCTTGCTGGACAGAAATATTTGACACAGCCCCCACTTAAGTCTGTATACAAATTAAATTGCCCGTCTTGCTATGATACTGTACTTGCGCTGGATATTGCCATGTATCAATAATACCATTCGACTGTCATCTATAATATCATCTGGTTATGTGTCTCGTGAGTGCTGTAATTCTTCATAAACTGAATGGCGACATAATAAAAAAAAGATTGATTGACAGATGAATTTGAACATCAGTTGTCTTATTTATTTAGCATCAGGATCCACGTTTTGCTTTTGTAAAAACCTGGTCTCTTTGCCTGGTCAATCTCTGGTAATTAGTATACAAATATTCGTAACTCCAGACCAGGTTGTGATTTATACTGTACAGTTTCAGTTTTGTTTAAACCATTGTCCGTTGTCGTTCAAAGTTCTTACCCTTTTGTTCGTATTGAATTCGTTCCGATGGCTTAGAGATCTGAAATTAAGAATCAATATTGATTATGAAAAATTGTCGTTGGAATAGTATTCGTTATCATTTTGAAGAAACATCTTATATAATTATAAGACAAGGTCAATGTTTAAGACAAAATTACGTTTGGTTAGGGGTAAAATTTACGTTATTCAATGGAACTATAAATGAAGGCTAAGTTGACGTAATTGTTAACAAGTCTAATAAAGGTGATGTGGCACCTAAAAAAACAAAATCATTACCTTCACAAATATGTATCTTTATTTTCTGAGTAAGTTCCGGAAGATCATCGTATGAAGACACCGAGAAGACGTGTTTGTCAGCTGGAGAACTCGCTACCAGTGTCAGTTCTTTATAGTCTGTTCCACTGCCGACACCGATCACAAATATTTCGATGTTTTGAGCCTTTGCCTTTCCAGCAACTCGAACAGCATTACCATGGTCAGGAAATTTTGTATCGAGGATAGCGATTGCGATTCTTTTGGCATCGGGTCGGCCACCTTCCTCTACAGTGAAGCTTCGGAGTGTTAGGTGCTTCATAAGGTCGGCGAATGTATTCACGTGAACATTGCTTACGTCATTCTCTAAACTCTCCCGGTCGTGGTACCTAGAATGGAATATAATTATATGAATTGTACTGTCTGAACAGGCATGGACAAAATAGATTATTCCAATGTTACATTTTAATTTTAATTGCTCTACTATCCAGCGCTAACGATGTTCGGCAAAAAATGATGTACTAAATGAGTGTTTACTTGCTAAGGGGGAACCCGCTGACGAGACACTGATGCACCAGGCCGACTTGGATTTTGTCATCGGCGATCTCGAACTCCTTTGACAGCTCACCAAGGAAGTTCAAGGCTTTCTTTGTGTTTGAGTCTCCAGATTTGTAAGAGTCGATCATAAAGACAACATCAGCTGGGCTCTTATCACCACACGCTGTATCAAAAATAGTGAAAAGATTGTTGAGACTCAAAATAGATTCATGAAAACATTCACCATCGTCTGAGGTAGGGACAATCGAAACCTTGTGAATCAAGATGAACGTTCACCTCTTTTGTAATATTCTCTGTCACGTGGGACTTGTGTCACGTGTGACTTGTGTCACATGTGACATAAGCCGAACAGAATGCGGAAAATGAAACCACGTATATTAAACCTGTGACAATAAAAGCTGTATGAACAGTACCAACCTGTCTTGCAGACTTTGATTGAGATCAGGGATCTAATGCTATTCAGTGCTTCAAAATTCTTCACTTCAAACACATTGCCCTCAGGTCCTGCAATGCTCTGTAACTCCTTAGTATTCACCTGTTGAAAAATAATTAAAAATAGTAATTTTGACAAAATAAGATCACATTTGTTACTCTTTATATACCGTCATATACAGTGTACTCTACATCCATCTCATTACTAAATAACTATACACGGAAACTAAGAATCTGGTATAGGAAACCGTTTTATTTTGGAATGACCTTTTTCAATTTCGTATTTCAGCATCAGAAGATTGCATTGCTTTGTTATTGTGCTAGTACAGATGCTTTTCTTGGATAAGATGTGAGTTGGCGAAGGAGCTGATATTTCGTCAGGGTAAAGTTTGTACAAATGTGATGGAAGTGTTACGCAGAATCTGCCAGATCTTGATGGTCGTTCAGTAGAAGCCAGATAAGTGAATCTGGGAGATTCAAAGTACTGATTCACACACGAACCTACATATTTATGAATCTGCAGTTTCAGTATTCAAAATATACAAATTCACAGTTTACCTGACGGCCAACTCCGATAGACATAACCATCAAGTCACCCGATTGTCTGGCCTCTCCGGCAGCACGGGCTGTGTCTTTCTTATCATTCGAAACACCGTCTGTGATGATGATACCAATATGGGGGACACCATCACGCATTCCCGCGGCTTTTGAAAAGCTTTTCTTGTACAAATAACGGATTCCAGCGGCTGTATTAGTTCTGCCTCCTTTCTGCCTGATTGCCTTGATAGCCTTACCAAGGGACATATCGTCTTGATGCTGGTTGAGATTGAACTGATTTTCAACGTTGTCGCTGTATGTGACGACTCCTAACTAAAACATGGAAGTAAACTTAGGTATAAATAGAATAGATACAAGGGAAAAGATTGAGCTTCTACATATTATATTTTCATGTACAACAATAAATTTCTTCGTCAAATATTTCATCAAACAAACAGATAATATACAATAACTGGGAAAATATGCATTTCATTTGTTGACCGTGATTTGCTACCTCATATGATGACAGCCTGAATTTTTATTGCGACTGGTTTGATTATAAAAAGTTTCTGAAGGTATTGGTCACAACTTAAAAGGTCGTATTAAATAATATTTAGCTATACCTGTAATTTATCAGGTCCGACCTCAAAATCACTAGCAAACTTTTTTACAAAATCCAGCATGAGGTCGTAATGCGGAGGCCATATACTACTTGAGGAATCGAGAACAAAAACGATGTCCGCAGGATTATTTCCACATCCTGAAAAACAAATGGTGCAATGATTTATTACATGTCGTACAAAAACTGCACTTTGTGAACGTCCATTTTTCATTTTGTATTTAAGCATCTTAAATCTACAACTACTTTGATACAAAAACAATATTTGGTATCTATTTCTTTAGAAAATAAAATTGAATTAAAATAAAATTACACCGAGAGGGGAAATAGTAGCATGTCTGAGAAGGATTGTTTCAGACATTTTACATCATTCTCCAGTATCCCTTCTAATTAGTTTGAAAAAACATTCACTACCCGGATGCCTGAATATGATCCAATAATCATTTCCAATTTATTGAGTTTAGACGAAATAAATCCCCAGAGAAGGATATTCCATATACATTAAAATGTAAAATATATTATTTTGGTTTATTTGTTTTTGCATAGACGCTCTGTATCACTTTGTGTTAATGTCACCACCATAAGTGGTGATTGTATGGTCTCCAACTTTTTATGGACGTTGTTCGGCGGTTGGTGTTCGGCGTATTTCGGTTTGTGTTCGACACTCGGCATTTGGCGTCTGTAAGAAATGGCAGGCTGTTACATTTTGCATGTTAGTACCTTGTATAATGGTTTCAACTGACTCACCTACTTTAGCCTGATAAGTATATGAGACAAGGGACGCTATTGACAAGAGAAACAGCAACATCCTGAGATGAAAGTACCTGCAAATGCAAAAGTGGTTATTAATTGAATATAAATCCTCGGTTTTCATTCTTCATATATTTATTTTTATTCATCTAATATACGCTTAACAATATAATATTGTGACGAGGCTGGAAAACATGCTTGTAGGCATAGGTTTTTAATGAGTTTCTAATTTTTTATATATTTTGTTATTAGCATAATCTCTTTTGAGATCTATGGAGCTTCCTTATAAAGCATCATGGGTTGAATAAATGATAAAAACATAAAACAGGCATAATTACAATTTGAACCAAATAACTTCATGATCTCCACTATAAATGTAGTCAATGAGAGTAATAAAATGTAATAAAAAGTACAAATATTCGTACTTAGACTTACTCAAACAAAGTCGCGATGTCGTCCTATTAGATCCCAAACAGGTTCGTTTCACCCAAGCGTTGACATAAACTATGTTTACCATCTCTATTATATAGTGGACATATGAAGGGTAAAAACTAAATTTGACAAAGTATTTCTGAGATAATTCAACGAGATAAATTGAAATGAAAACGGTTAATGGCCACACTAATCATCCATTTCCTTAATTATGCAATTTTTAACATGAATCCGACTCCAAAGATGATTCAAGCGTATTGTCATGTCAAATCCAAAATTGAAATATATTGCATTTGATGATAACAGCAAATTTAACAAATGATGACCAAGAAGGATGATCAACTATACATTTGCCAATTTAGAGCGTGTTTCGTTCGGGACTAATAAACCTGACAGTAGGGGATCCTTTCTGGGAAACGTTTTAGAAACGGTATCCCAACATTCTTTTTGGGTTAACAATACACATATAAGACACATTTTGGTAGAAAAGTCAAGTTTATCGGTGTTTGGGGGTTTGAGTGATAATAGCCAAAAATCGTGATTGCGACAAAAATGCAAGCTTCCAAGATACTCTACACTAGCATGACGTATATCTCATATCAAATCTTTATCTAAAACCACCCCCATTGCATTATGATCCACAGATGTCGGAAACTTTAGACCTGTTTTGAAAAATCTCCTTGCTCAGTTTAACTACATGACTTACTAATGTCAAGATTGATTTCAAATCCTAAAACGTTTCAGAAGTCTTGATGCAAATGAAAGCATTCTTCACAATTGTCTATTTTCGTGGGAGTAGTTGTAGTAAATTCTTTATTTATGCCTCACGCACTCAAATATATGAGTTACATAATCATTACATAAAAGTTTGATACAGTGCGTGGATGATGCGGCATCATTGATGCCGATGAGAGACACTGGAATGTAAATTATGCTACGCTGTTTGGCCAGCATATTTATAAATGTTTCACAAAGTGTTTGTCGTTGAACAGTATTTCCATTCATTATCAATTATTATTCCACTAAATTTGTGTGCATATCAAAGTCATTGTCATAATATAACATTTTAGCAAAGATACTATATCGTTCATTTACATTGAATTGACATTCAACTAAAAAGTGAATTTCTGTCTCAGTTGACTGACTACATAGACAAAACCTCTGGTCTACAATCATTTGATGTCTGTCGCATTCATGCAAAACGATATATACATGTAGCCTTTGTCAGCAATGGCGTACTATTAATTTATCTGAGAGATGCTGTTGTATTGCCAAATTGCGAGTATTTACGATTATTGAAGTATAATTATGACAGAGTCTTAAACGAGCTTGATATGAAATATTGTTTTTTAAAAACACAATAATGATACATTTAATATCCCTATTATCTGAAGTCTGCTAGACAAATAACAATAGATAATCGTCAATTAGTTAGGAAATGAGAAATTTATTGTGTGGGAGTCCATATTCACTGATATTGCTGACTACCAGTGTTCTCGAAATCGAAAATATACAATAATTAGAAGTTTCCTTAGATGTATGAGATTTCAAACAAATTCTGCCATTGAATCTTTATTTTTATAATCTGTTAAGATAAAAGTACTTCGGGCTTGATATAGACGGTATAAGTGGTAATTTTACCTAATCATTTAATTTGCCTACTGCCTAATTTTTGCCAGGTTCGGAAAATCACAAATGTCGGAAATATCATCTTCATAATGTTATGCAATGGGAAGTTTCTTGGCATTTGGATAATTAGAATTAGAAAAAGGATTAAATTTGACCATTCGGCATTATTCGGCAAATTGACAGCATTTGCAATACCTCCATTTTTCTCAAAAGAAAAATAAAGCGAGAAGTGTAACGTTGCTGTAATTTTTCTATCCTTTACAGTATACCAGCAATTGTGACAAGAAACCCAGAACTATCAGGGTCCTTTGGGTGGCCAAAGTTCTCGGTAATTTATTTTCATACAGTAGGTGTTAACAATTAGTCCATGGATTAGCCATTCGACCAATCACCAAATGATCTTCACATACACTCCCCTCCATAAGTTTGGCAACCTTTTTCCCCATTGAACTACGTGTTAAAACCTCTTTACGTTTGAATTTTTATTTACTTAACCGGCGATGACGTAACTTATAATATTGATGGAAACGTAACTTGACTTTATTTCCAATACCTCTAAATTTTCTCAATTTTTTTCCTCAATTACAATAGGTCAAAAATTGATGATAAATTTGATGAATTTTTAAAATTCGTCATTCCCATGTAATCCAATGGGAAATGGAGGGTTTGGGGCAAATCAGAAATCAGGATATCTTTTCAGTAAAAGATTCAGCAAAAAATATTTTTATATAGAAAATTGAATTTTCTAACTTTTTTGAACACTAAGTGTTTAGTTTATTTGATGAATATTAAAGTTACAGCGTTTCAAAGTCATTTTTGAAAATAATTTTTCGCCTCCTGTGTTATTTCAATGGGAGAGGTTTTTTGAAAAACAATTTTAACTTTAAAGCCCTATAACTTTGTTGAACCTGAAGAAACGTATCAATTTTTTGTTAAATAAAGTTAGTAAATCCAATTGCCTGCCTAACTCGTATTTTTTGCAAGGACTCGGATGGATGGATATTCTGTCATATAACTTGCGGCAAACCTACCATTTCCCATTCATTGGAATTAAAGTCAAATTACGTTTCCATCAATAGTATAAGTATTTTCATCGCAATCTAAGTAAATACAAATTCAAAGGTAAAGAGGCTTTAACACGTAGTTCAATGGGGGAAAAAGGTTGCCAAACTTATGGAGGGGAGTGTACATATTTTATATATTCACCAAAGGTGCCGGTGATAATAAGTAAAAATAGACTGATCTTGAAAGTCAAGAGTACAGTGATGCCACCTATTTATCTAAAGAGAGGATGATATTTAATTTCACCCCACAATGAGATGTACCTAGGATATACAAAATACTATAATCATTATTTCATTGACATTGCGTCACGGCAGTATTTAAAGCTTCAATGTAACCGACATGTGAAACAAATAAAGGAAATTTTAAAAATCTCAATCAAACGTCGTTTAAATAAAATAATGCAGTCTGTAGACTCTTACATATGAACCATTTTTTTGTTCACGATACACAAACATTACTCGAGTCTCTAGCCAAATTACTTGACTAGAAGACATGGCATGTGGACCACCGTGCACAAGTGAAACGTTTATTCTGGAGTGAGATATTTTTTAAAATTTTATTCTAAAAATTGTAATGAGAATATTTCAACAAATAGAATGTAAACGAATACTATCCTGTGTGAGATATATGCTTTCGTGTAAACTTAAAATCATTTGGTCTGCCATTTATAAAAAACATTTATTGAGGTTGATCTTTATCTCACTTTAGCAAAAATCAAAATGGCCGATTTTACCGGAGGATCTTTTTCAAACTGAGAAAAGACCATGGGCATTCAATAGGAGGGTATATGCAACTCTGTTTTATTACATGAGAACTTCTAAATGAGCAGTGCCATGCTTCCTTTTTTGATAATATCTAAAAAAGATTTAGATAAAAGTATATGTTTTTAGCATCATCTTGAAGAAAAATCAATTCTGAATATGATTAAAACAATAAAAATATAATTTGTGGGGGAATGTTCAGTTTCATTATTGCAATAATTATGATGAATTCCATTTTCTATTAAATTATCAGCGTGTATGCAAATAAAGTCATGTTTTTATATTTGGGTTAGGCTATTTCTTAAAAGCATACATGAAAAGCACAAAACAAATTTTTCCTTAGAATGTGTATAGGAAGCATTTCTTGTCCAATTTTGAAAACCCAAGACAATGCTTATGTATGTAAAATATAAGAAGTTGCCTACCCTTCTATTGAAAGCCCATGAAAAGACTATAAATAAAAGCCGATGTAGGTGGTCATATGAACTTAGACTACATACTAAGTTCAATGAAGGTATGTTTATTACATTTAAGTTCATTTATAGCAACAGTCCACACGGGATGGCATAAAAGCAATAAAACAAACAGGGCTTGATGATAGCGTGAGGCCACACTGTGGCCGAAGAATAAGGTAACACAAACAAAACAGTACTAAACGTATCAAGGTGAAATGTTAACAACAACTCTACATGTTATTCGATTAGCACTACAAGGCCAGTACCTTGTCGTATACATAAGATGGAGGCGAACACCCTGGTTGTATTTGTGAATGGAGTAAAGGTAAAGTTTGAAATATGAACATTGACAAGAAACTTTTAGATAATATAATTACATTGCATTTTTTCATTTATTCCATATATAATATACAAAAATACAATACAATTTTATTGCCTACGTTTTTCAACATTGTCAGCAATATGCAAAACATGTCAAACTGAAAATAATGGAAATACAATAGATTTGGTCCACAATATGGATGGTGAAAAATGTTAGAGGCCTTTGGGGGGGGTAATCTAAAATATCAAGAGCTAAACAGATGTAATGACTAACTATTTGAATAATTTGTTCATTCTCCATTACTGTTAGATTTCTGTCTCCAAATGATAGAAATAGAATTTTTTCATTGGAGTTTAAGTTTTGGAAACTGTTGAGAAATCCTAAGGTTTTTAGTCCTGCTAGGAGAGTGCATCTTTCTTGTTGCAGCAGAGGGCAGTTTAAGAAAAAGTGATGTGTCGTTTGCTGTTTAGCACCACATATACAAAATTGGTCATTTACTGTCGCAAAGTTATGGGCATATAGATGAGCTTTTAGAATCAGACCAGCTCTAAATCTATTAAACAAAATCTCAATATTCCTTGGCATTGTCATTATTCATTTTTGTAGTAGAAACACGAGAGTCGGGGCTCCCATTTCCTCTTACTAACCTTTTAAATCTGGAGATTGGTTGGCCTTTCCTATCAGCGAATGGTATTTCATCCCACAAGGTCAGAGCCCTGAGAATAGTTGATTTTTTGAAAGAATTTCTAATAGGAGAGGGAATTCTATAATGTCTAGGTTGCCTTAGGGGCCTATTTTGGATATTCTCGTATGTGCTAACTAAATCACAAATGAAAGGGGGAAAACAATGGTATCTAGCCTTAAAGGCAAAGATTTTGAGATGTTCTTCTCTCCTGGAAGCTAAAGTTTTCCAGTTGAGTAAAGATAAAACTTTTGAAGTGTTTGAACCATGAATTGCACCTGACACAAGGCAAGCTGCTTGATAATGAAGTCTATCCAATGTTAAGAGTTTTGCAGTTGAAGTCTTATCATATATTGTGTCACAGTAGTCAAAATGGGGTAGTATAAATGAATTATATATATTCTCTAAGTACTTGCTATTAAGCAGTTTAGATAATTTTTTCAGAGGTCTCATGAGAGAGTTAACTCTCTCTATGAGTTGGTCAACATGTGAATTAAAATTTAGATTTTGATCAAGCACTAAGCCCAAGTGCTTGTGTTTGGTACAACTAGGTATCACATCTGCTCCTAGTTTTAAAGGGACTGGCTCTTGTAATAGCCTTCTGTTTCCTGAAACAAAAGTTAGGTCGGCACTTTTTGTGCCTTAAAGGTCATCTTCCAAGTACTAGCCCAGTTTGCCAAAGTGTCAAGATCTCTTTGCAGTGGTTGATGAATGTTTAAAATCTGATCAAAACTGTCATGTGCACTGTAGATAGACGTGTCGTCAGCAAAAATAAATGTTTTAGATAAGAGATAATCTGGTAAGTCATTGATGTATATTAGAAAAAGGAGGGGCCCGAGGACTGATCCTTGTGGTACACCAGCATTGATTTTCAAGTTATTTAAATTAAGATCATTGTTATCGTTGTTAATATTTGTACCATTGAGATTTACATGATTTTCTGAGGACCAATGAGATAAGCTATTGTTGACTTTGGCTCGAACCCTTCTGTCTTTTAAGTATGATTTCATTATCTGTATAAAATTAAAGTTACAGCCATACCTTTCGAGTTTATGTATAAGTAGTTTATGTGGTACTAAATCAAAGGCGGCTGTTAAATCTAAGAAAGCCGAGCGTACATGTTTGTTATTGTCAATATTTTCATGGATATTATGAATAATGTTGATTAGCTGGTTAACAGTGCTGTGCTTAGGGAGAAAACCACTTTGAAATTTGTATAATATGTTGTTTTGTAGCAGATGGGCCAAAAGATGTTTATGAATGATGGTTTCAAGAACTTTCGAGAGGCTGCCCAAGAGTGTCATTGGTCTATAGTTGCTAACAAGTTCCCTGTCACCTTTTTTTATAAATAGGAACAATAATGCCTTGTTTCCATATATCAGGGAAAGTATTCTCTTCTAAAATCCTATTGAATAGTTTACTGGTTGGTAAAGCAAGAGATCTGGCACATAGTTTCAACATTTTATTATTAATTTCACCAGGCCCATGAGATTTAGTTGCGTCAAGGTCACATAAAAGGTCAGAGGTGGTTCTAAAATTTTGCATTTTGTGTCGTGTTCTAAGTGGGAAAGGAGGCGTGTAATCATCATCTATCTGAATTATGTTTTTTCCAACAAAAAATTTCATGAGAGCATTGGCTTTTTCGTAACTGTTGCAAGCTGACGTATTTTAAGTGGGATTTCTTAGTACTGGTATTGTAGATACTTGATTTTTCCCAAGAAGTTCCTTTATAAGTGCCAAATAATCAACGGAATTTTTAGAAACATTATAAATCTTATTCATTAATTTTCTTTCATAATCTAGTTTAGCATCTTCATTTAACTGTTTCACTAATTTGTTTTGTGTTTTGAACTTATCTCTGTATGAAGGGTCATTAGTTGATTTAAATTTGTGGTGAATTTTATTTCTTTTGTATATTTCTTTTTTAATTTCATTATTAAACCACGGCTGGTCATCAAATCTAGAAGAAATTATTTTATTTGGTATCTTTTCAGTCATAATCTGTAACAATGTGTTGATATAATTATTAGTTGCATTATTTACATTGTCTGTTTCAATAAAGTTCCAATTGGTTTCTGAAATCTTGTTATTAATGGATTCCAGATCAACATCGTCATAAAACCAAATTTTCTTTTTAATAGATGGTTCCCTGGGAATTTTCAATTTAAGTTTTGTGACTATTGAACAATGGTCAGAGTTCCCAAAAGGTGGGTCTACATTGAAAGTAAGGAGGTGCTCTGAATCAGATATAAGGAGATCAATGCAGGATTTAGAGTTATTAGTTATCCGTGTGGGTTCATTAATGGAGAGGTTAAGCTAAGGATGTTTTTCACAACGTAACCGTGAACGCAAAGTACAAAAATTAACAAAGGAATGTATCGAGCGCTCATAGTTTTATGCGCGCTTAGTCTACTTCAGATACTCTTTCAGCTTCAGAGTTTCGGGTTTAGAACGGGAGATTTTGAAATTTGACGTTGGGTCAACGGGAACTATTTTACTCGTGTCTATTGAACACTATGCTGTCAATTTTGATTTCGATGCACAGTTGAATTCTTGCTGAACACGATGATGTATGTCATGCATGATTTAGCGCCAAAAATCTTACGAAACGAGCTCGTTTAAAGGGATCCAACACCTTACAAAATTTCTTAACAGAGAGGAATAAGGGAAAATGCGTGCCGGATTCTGAATCTGTGTATTTTTTAATGATTTTTCACCGTCTTAGAATTTCAATTTTTTTCCTTTGAAAAAATGAGATTTGCATTGTTTTCCAATTAGACAAATGAGTAAACATGAATAGCTCGAAATCTAACGGTGAGATTTTGTTTTAAAAAATCATGGATATCAAGGCCCAATATAGCTATACAATAAACATAAAAAAGCAATGCTTGGACTCTTCATATTCACACAAAAAATTAATTAGTAAATGAGGTTTGATATTTGTGAGAATAAGTTGTACGAGTCGCAATGCTCTACAAACACCAGACTGCAGGGTGGATTAGGATCAATGACACACATAAAAATTAATTTAAAAATATTTCATGATAATTATCTCAAACAAAAGCAGTTAGCGAAGGATACATTTCATTACACTCAATAAATAGTTATCACTTTTGACTATATATACATATCTCATGGGAATGTATTTCCATCTGCTCAAGATATCATATTTTAGCTTCGAAAATCACAATTGTTGGATAATACATTTGTCTCAGAATGATAGGCCACCCTGTAGCAATGTAGCTTTCACTTGAAGTGTACCCTTGAGAATAATGAACTTACTTTCAAATTGGTCTTGCTTTTGTGGTGTATGTGGCTTTTTAGCAAATCTGCCACTCTCATTTCTTTCCAGAACCATCTTGTTCACATGTAACACTAGGCTATACACGCATGTATAGACAGATGACATAGATATACATATAAATTATATATTGCACCTGTATTTACTTACATGGGAATATTCCCTTTGGAAAAATGCAAATGCATGAACATATATTTTCATCTTATATATGACTTCAAGCTAACATATTATTTCATATTTATATTTTCATAGTTAGTCTAACATAAATAATAGATCCATGAGAACAATATTCTTTGTTTTCTTAAAAATTGATGGGTTTACTGTGAATTCAATAAATTACAATTTGCAAGGGGTAAGTATACTGTATGAGCTTAGTTGCAAAGTACTGTTTATATATGCAGCTCAATAGCATAAAATATTTTGAATGAAGCAAATGGTATGGATTAGTCGTGTGACACACAAACTGACCAATACATGAGGGTATTAGCTACTTTTCACAGAAACCAAAGGAGGACAGTGCTTTTATTTCAACTGGGAGCTTACCTCCACACGACTGATCATGTGACCATGGTGTTGGGTCCCTTTAAAATATGTATTAGAAAACCAGCTATAAAACCGCATCAATGACATACTATAGAATCATTACACGCTATGGTGTAGTCTAAACAAACACTGGATTTGAACGGCTATTTATACGAGAAGGCTACATGAGTTTGTATATGGTCGAGTGATACGTACAGGTTCAGTTTCGATTATATATGCAAAGCTTAACCTCTCAACTAAGTTGTTTAAGACCTAAGTCAATTAAGATATTACTAAGTTCATATCCTGCTAGATTATTGTTATCATCTTCGTACCAAACATCATTACGAGCATTGAAGTCTCCATTTATAATCATACCATCGCTAGGTTTTGTTAATACTCGTCCAAAATTATCCTTCGATAGTTTAAAAAATACTGACGTGTTTCATGAGCAGACATAGAGGGAGAACGATAGAAGAACCCATACATTAATGACTTATGATTAGCCTTAATCTCAATCCAACAGTTTGACATTTCGGCGGACATATATTCATCACAGATTTTCGATTCAATTGTGTCATGTGTCCAAAGAATCAGCCCGCGTCCGTTGTTTGATGAAAATGGAGAGGTTAAGCAAATACGGTTTTTCAAAACGTATACGTAAACGCAAAGTACATTGAATCAACATAGGATTGTATCGCTTTAGTCTACTTCAGATACCCGTTCAACTTCAATGTTGCGTGTTTAGAACGGGAGATTTTAAATTTCACGTTGCTATCAACGGGAATCATTATACTCATGTCTGTTGAATACTATCCTTGCAATTTTGATTTCGATGCAGAGTATAATTCTTTCTGAAGAAAATGATGTATGTTACGCATGATTTAACTCCAATAATCTTACGAAACGAGCTCGTTTAAAATATGTATTAGAAAACCAGCTATTGAACTTCATCAATGGCATACTATGTAATCATTACAAGCTATGGTGTAGTCTAAACAAACACTATAGCTGAACGGCTATTTATGTGTGAACTCTACATGTATTTGTATAGGGGCGATTGATACGTTTAAGTTGCGTTTTGGATTTTATACGGTACCTTAACCTATCCAATGTTGGTTTGCCGTAACCTAAAAATTGAGATACTTGGAATTCAAGTCATTTGTAGAGATATTTCCTGTTTCGCATATTGCAATAATATGAAACTGTTCGCTTTTAGCATACTGTTTAAGGTATTCCAATCTTCCCATCGAATCAGCTTTGATACTGTTTATGTTACAAAATAATATTTTTAAATCATCTACCGGTCCAGGATTACTTTCCACATCTCCACATAACATTAACAGAAGTCTACATATGTGACTTGGATTATGTAAAAGCAGTACTGAACCCGGAAGACAGCATATTGCAAAAATCAATAAAAACAATTCAATAATGACCAATGAAATATTATAATGCCGACCCATAGCATATGACAGTACATACAAACATGTCATTGACACCAAACAAAGATTACATTGCATCAATATATCGTCGCGTGAGAATAACTTTGTACTACCTGCCATTTTCAAAAAAATTGAGATAGACATGGAATTTTACTATTTGAAACACAGGCTTTCATCTCAGATACAATGCCCCATCTCAATTCCCTCTCATTAAGCTAGAATTCAGTGTGAAATTGTACCATCTCCAGACAAACAGCTTATTTCTAATTTCAAATTGTCATATCTGATATCAACTGTTTCAACCAATCAACTCTCTAAGAATTGGTCATGTGACTTGCAAAACTTGGAGTTATAACAATCTTATATTAAAACGAAGTATGCCGATATGCATGTTATTGTATCTAGAATGAAATAATGTTTTGTAACACAATACCATGCCAGTTTGCATGCCTGGCCTTTCATGTTTTAGTTTTAGAACTATTACAAGTAGATCAAAAAAATAAAATGATACAGTATGTGTAATCCCATGCATATTCAAATTATATGCCCTCAATTACTCTTTGTATTATGGATGCTCATTGGATTATTCATGGCCACATGATATAAAATAGAATTACTAATTTCCTCGAAAACCTAAATCCTCGCTACCAGGGAAGATGAAAAGTACAAATGACCAGTTAATTAGATCATATGTGCAGTCAAAAGTACCCTTTATCTTCCCTACTACCAGGTCTTATGGGGGTTTGAATGGCCAAATGCAAAAGAAATGCATATACGAAGCTGTCATCATTAAATGTTGAAAATGAAAGACTACTTATTTGTTTCTTCAAATAGAGTACATAATAATAGGTTATATACTAGATATAGTAATCAAAACAAATAGTAACTGTCATATTTTGCACTACATTGCTCAAAGGCAATCACTGTCTGTATACTATTGAAATCTCTTTCAAAATGATGTTTTATAGTTTGTGGAAAAAAGCTAAACCTATTTAAACTAGCTTTAACTTTTACTGACCATACACTATATCAATAAGGAGTTATCTTTATGTTAGTACAGTCCCGTAAAACACTTATTGTATTTTCTCTGCATCTATGATTTACTTTGCGCTTTTTACTGAACATCTGGGATCGTTTTAGTTATTTTATTACTAGTATGTTTTTCAGATTTGTCCTTTCTTTTGCATTTTTGGGATTATTGTTTTTAGATCATGTACATTTTATTTTGGAAAAGTAACAAATTGGTTCAATTTCTTTACAAAGAGCCACTCTTAGTCTCCACTTCTACAATAGCTTCAATTCCCAATTGTACTCCACAGAGTAGCAAACAACAGAAAATGAATGGATAATGATAGCTGCATCCCAATTAACAAAATGTGATTACCTAAATCGAGGTTTCATCACTTTCATTAATCTAAAATGAATTAGAAATTATTTTTCTATTTTCAAATTTTTTCCGTGTGCATGCAGGCCCGTAGCCAGGGGGGGTTCGCAGGGTTCGGGCGAACCCCCCCCCCCTGGCCAAAAATTCTTTCAAAATCATGCAGTTTTTCACCATTTTGAGCACTTTTCAAGTGATTTTAGCCATATTTGGGGCAAAATTGTCAAATGTGAACCCCCCTGGAAATTTTTGAAAATTCACCCCCCCCCTTCGCAAATCCTGGCTACGGGCCTGGCATGTAATAAAAATTGGTTATGTCTTAGGCCCTAAGGATCTGAAACCTGCTGGTCAAAATGGAATCACGGACCAGTTGCAATGTTATTATCCTATACCCAGTGAAAAAATCAACTGGTCTGTATCAAAAATAACCTGATAATGACCAGCGGACCGGCCCTTAGGGGCTACATTGTAATGTGCTGGGAGGTTTAGGCTGCAGGGTTTATACCGAGGGAAATATGTGGGGGACCGTATTGGCATCATTGGTTTCAATGCATTGTACTTCTGCCTTAGTTTCAAAGGCAATAAATTCTTTTTGAAGGGTGTCCTGAGATTCCAAAATTAAGAAATAATTGTACTTATTTGAGAAATTGATTTTAAAGTTTTATAAATTGAATTTTCTTTATTTTATTAAATAATATTCTTTGGTTTTTGAAGATTTTTTTACAAAGCAAAACATTATTTTTCATTCTAGATACAATAACATGCATATTGGCATACTTTGTTTTAATATAAGATTGTTATAACTCCAAGTTTTGCAAGTCACATGACCAATTCTTAGAGAGTTGATTGGTTGAAACAGTTGATATCAGATATGACAATTTGAAATTAGAAATAAGCTGTTATTCCGGTGGGAAATTGTATCAACTCCATTTCCATAGTTTTAAAAAAAGATCTTGTAAATTGTTTCAAGGTATGATATTTCATATAAGATATCTCTAGGGTGAGACCAGGTGACATACAAAAAATCAAGTTTCACATAGCAATACTAAGTAAGATACAGACCTCTAAACTTTCAAACCTTGATTTCTCAGTTCCGTAAAAATGTGAGATAGTACAAAGTTATTCTCATGCGACGATATTTCTTGCTTGATATTTCTATCATACAGAATTTCTTACATATAGAATGTATGAGTATAAATAACGTAGGTGGTGTCAAAGCTTGAATGTTATCTTATTTTAGTATACAGAAGTGAATCCTAGTTTAGAGACTACTCTGTTGCAGTATCTCAGAACAGAATGTATCCTTTTAAGATCCTTCTTTTCAGCTAGTAAATGAATATATAATCGAATGCACAAATTTCGAGAAGATGAGTTGTACGACGATAACTTTTTATTAAATAATTGATGGATCTACGTTTTTTGTACAAATGTTCTGATTATAGTACACATTCAAAATATTAATGATTCATGAAATATACAAATATTAACATTTTGAAGGTGTCATCGGAATATTTGAGAGAGTGCAACCTGTCTTGATCTTAATAATGGTTTGTGCTCATAATGTTACGCGGTAAACACGATACAAATATATGTCATATTGCGCAACGAATATGACATATTCACTTGCGTTATATGACAGACTCACCTGCGGTATATGGCATACACATTAACCAATGAGAACGCGATACGGAAGTACGCAAAATTGTCAATTACATCGATTTGACGAACGGGTTTAAGTCTAAAAATTATTATGATGATTACTGAATCAACAGGTCAGTGCATTGAATATGTGAACTAATATTATTGAATAACATACACCGTTGGTACCTGTATTGTTTGATGTTGTTTTATATATGTATTACACGCAAAAACACACTTCAAGGAAAACGTTATTACACATAAAGAAATGAACCTACGTTCGTGAAGCTTATGAGTGACTTTTACAGCCAAATCAACAGTTTACAAAGACCAGATAAAAACCTGAAAAACGAGTATTTGATCGCGGTTAATACGTTACTGATACTTTCAGAAGTATCATTTACCGATCATACGTAATTAACTTACTCAATCACTCCAGGATTCATAGTTAAGTGTCGAATATATCTCTTAACCAATCAAATCAAGGTAATTTTGAATGACGTTCACCGCGCGGTAAATGCCATATTCCGCAACGTGTATGTCATACTCTCCTAGTGAATATGTTATACTACGCAGGTGAATATGAGGTATTCCCTATATCATATTTCAGTGCGGAATATGCCATACTCACTTGCGGAATATATCAGACACCGCAGGTGAGTATGCCATATTCACTTGTATCACAAATACCGCCCAACCATAAGTGTATGCCATATACCGCGTAACACATAATACGTAAAGTTGGTGTTAGTGTGTTTGAGACTCTTTGGTCTTTTCAGAATTTTTCAATGTCGTAAATCACAATTTAGAAAACCAAAAACGTCCAAACTCTGAATACATAGTTCACAGTATTACGATTCTAAATTTATACATATTCACGGGCCGGATGCTAAAGAGCCAAGTATCTCGTAATTTGAAAGCAGTCATTATTATTTTTTTTTTGAAAATGTATTTTATCTAATACCACTTCAACATAGAAATAGCACAACTTGCATCTACTTTTCTTCATTGCCCTATTTCTAAGTCATAGCAATGTCTCTACTCATAGAACACATCTTGGGCCGTAATATTTGAACCGGGTAGATACGGGCCCGTTACCAGCTATAGGGCCCCGACTAGAACCCAATCAAGAACAAGATGCGAACTGTATCATTTATCACAGAGACTCCCCCTCAAACCTGCTAAATGCAGGCCGAGGCAAATCATGACCTTGATTCAGTCCACTGATTCAGTCCCGTGGGTGACACACGGGGGGTCACACTCGTCATTATTTTATCTTCAATAAAAATAGACCCGTTCCGTAGAGTACATTTTGTAGTATAGTATTGTAATTAGACCATAACTCAATAAGTATGCCTGCCTGGTACGAAGTTGGCCTGTGGGGAAGGAGGCTGTGGAGCTTGCACAGTGATGGTCTCTCGGTACAATCCAAGCAGCAAGCAAATTCGGTGAGTATGCATTACGCTGGGACAGCTGAACTCGCGTTATACAGTACAGATATTTTATTTGAGGTATTCAGCGAAAATAGAATGAGATGTTTTTTATTATTCATTATTCACTTTTAATGTTTCTTACTCTCTATATATTCACTGGTATTTTCGAACCTTAACCCGGTCATCTGAATGGATATTACTGCGAATATTTATACTGCGCAAAAACATATTAATCAATTGCAAAAAGTTTACTTGAAAAGAATTCTTTTAGGTTATTTCATATCTTTTTAGTGATATTGTATAAACTATTTTGCAATATGTGAAAAGAAGCACAGTACTCCATGAATTGGGATGACCATTCCTTTCAGGCGTTGTTAGTCCTAAAATTAACACTCGATACTGCGCATCAATTCAGGCCTGTCAACTGTCCCGCAATTTGCGTATTTGTCACGCGTTTGCTGAAGAATTTGAAGTCACGCCAGTTTTTTGCGTGACAGAAAATGTCACGCAAATACGCATTACAAACAACAACGTATACCTGGTAATTGTCAAGCAAAAATACTTCTGTAGAAAATTTTTCAAAATATGTTTACGATACGGTAGAAATACGAACGTCGGAAAAAACCGAACGCAATTTGTTCGGATTTGTCACGCGAATCCCGTTATGTCACGCATGTTAATTGGAAATTTTCGTTAATCCTTCTGAATCCTTTTGAATTTTGCCTCTTAAAACGTAATTATTTTTAGAAAATATCGAAATGCATTTGTTCTCCAAGGTACGATATATTATATTTCATTTTGTTATACCGACGATAATGTCACATATGACTAAATGAAATTGAGAGTAAATTAGGTCAATATGACAGTTTCTCTTTCACTATTCTAAATGTAAAACAGCCCGAAATATTCCATTTCATATGTATTACATTAGCAAATAATGTGCATATAAATTATTAGCTAGGGCATCACTTTCCTTTAGGCACTACAGTGTAAATGCCTGCCTGATGCCTCTGGTAGCTTTACATGGTTTAGCTGTAACTACGGTTGAAGGTATCGGAAGTACAAAGACCAAGTTGCACCCTGTACAGGTGAGGTAGTTCTTAATAATCGTTTCAGCAAACCACGATATAGCCTTTTTATGGCGATATAGACTGATTCAAAGTTCAACATGCCTATTCTAAATCAGGTACGAAGGACATTATTAGAAAATGCATTCGCGTTTACAGGTTAAAGCTTACCATACTTAAGTTTGGAGACCCAGAATACCCCCCCCCCCGATTTATCTGTACTTGGTCTTCAGCCAGTCTGTGTTTAAAGTTCTATCTGCAGATATATGTCAGAAATGACTTGAGTTAATGTGAAATAAGCGCTGGTGTGATTGAAAAGTCACTCCCGACCTCGGTGGGAATCGAACCCACAACCTCCCAATTACATGTCGGAAACTCTACCACGATATCTTTACATTTAATCAAAATATTTTCCTTATTAACATGTCTATTGAACGTGCCTTAGAAATCGCATAAACAAAAATATCCACATGTACTGGTGTAAAATTCAATATGGTGGTGCTAAATGCTAATGCAAGAATGGAATTACTTAGGAGCGCCTGGCAAAGGCATATGGCAGTCAGTGTGGATTCTGTTCTCCTGGGTTTGTGATGTCAATGTACACATTGCTACGTAATTACCCAGAACCCTCCATGACTCAGATAGAGACTGCATTTCAAGGTGAGCATGATTTGATTATTTAATTCATTTATGACCATGTACTACATCTTCTTAGAGGAGATTTAGAAAAACTGCACACTTTAAAATTGTATTCTTCTCGACGGTGCCATGAAATTAATATCTCAATTATTTCCAACATGTCATTACTACTTGGTCTCAAATAGACATATGTACGCATTTACAGGTAATCTTTGCAGATGTACTGGATATAGATCTATTCTAGCAGGATTCAGGACGTTCAGCAAGGTAATTCAACTGAAGGCACTCGCTAAAATTATGCGTGTGTCGATCATAATCAGGGTGTTGTTTTGGCATAAAACTAGTAAAAACGAGCTCCAAGTGTTTTAAGAGAGGGGTAGAAAAATATAACAATCATGACAGTAGAATGCAGCTACTAAAAATGGGGTATTCGTTTTTAGCAAATACAATCTCTTGGGAAAAAACAATATGTCAAATGACTTTTCATTTTTAGGAATGGTTATGTGAAAAGGGGGAAAACTGCTGCCAGAATCAGAACGCTGCTGATACAAACAAAAAGGTTGGTACAAATGTGTGTAATACTGATTAAACTTGTAGAGGAATATACGATGCAAAAATAACCTAGTGATCGACGTCTTGCAGAGTCGACATGTTTCATTTAATGTAAGACGGGGTCAAGAGAGACATATCGGTTTATCAAGTTGAAACTCAGTCCCAAGTCAAGTAAGTATATGTGCATACACCACACATTATTAAACTGATCTTTCATCGATCCTTGATAAAAGAAAACCAAATCAAGCCATACAGTGCATTTCAAAAAATGACAGCCCATTCAAACTCAAGAACGTCGGTTCAAAACTTCAGAACATGAGATGGTAGTTATAAACTAAGCTTGTATTCGCAAATGCAGCTAGCGCCCGACGGCTACCAGATTAACCTGCTATTTTATGGGCAGCTCATAAAAATATGAATAGTACCTACCACTATCCCATTCATATTTAAATGAGTTGGTCATGAAATAGTAGGTTAATCCGGTAGCCGTCAGGCGTTAGTTAGTTCGCGAATAGAAGCTAAGTATACATTGTAGCAATATCCGAACATCCTGTAAACGGTAAAGGGTGTAACATCTTCATGATTTTGAAAATTAAAATGTTGCACGGACCACAAACTTTAACTTGACATACATAATACACATTTTATAGTTTGCTATTTCTTTATAGATTTGCACAAAGACGTTTGATGCCAGTGAGTTTGCTTTGTATGACCGCACACAGGATCCCATCTTTCCAAATGAACTACAGGTATTGGTCCAATGTATAACCTGTCATACATGAACTAAGCTTGTATTCGCGAATGCAACTAATGGGTAGACGATTAACCTACTGTTTTATGACTCATTTAAATGTGAATGGAATAGTATCAAGTACTTTTCATATTTAAATTAGTTGCCCATAAAACAGTAGGTTAATCCAGTAGCCGCTAGTCGTTATTTGCATTCGCGAATACAAGCTTAGCCACACTATGCTAAATAGTTTTAAAATGCTTATTTCCAGTTCTACACTCGCAGAGGAATTTACACTTAGCTTCCCTGATGTAACTAACGGCCGCCGGATTAACCTACTATGAAATAGCCAACTTATTTAGATATGAATAGTTCCTGCCATTCCATTCATATTTTAAAAAAAGTAGGTTAACCCGGTAGCCAACAGCCGAAAGATGCATTCGTGAATACTAGTACAAGCTTAGTTCTCCATATAGATTTTACTGCATCAATCTAAACTAGTGTTAAGCTGCTGAATTGCATGTCGTTCTGTCCGTCAATCTCATACCTTATATTTTCACCCTGTGTCTTGCAATGAGTTATATACATTTTACCAGATAGAGACTTCGTATCACACTAAAAGGATCAAGTTTACCGGAGCAACAGTACAATGGTGTCGTCCAACCAGCTTAGAGCAAGTATGTCAGTTGAAACAGGAATATCCAGAAGCTTTGTTCACAGTTGGCGCCACTTTAATCGGTGAGCATGTTAGCTGAGTATGACTAAGCATAATGCCATCATCGTGATTACCCATGTCATCTCAACTCCTTGCAGCCATGAGAGGCCATGGGATACATTGCTGATACAAAGGAGCCTAAATTTTAAGAATTTATTAAGAATATTTATATTTAATATATAATATTAAGATCTATCATCTCAGCTTATATTTCTTCTAATTAGTGGTCATTTAACTTGTGGAGATCACACCTGCCAATCCGATCACAGTATTTCATATAACTGCAGTGCATTATATAACCAATCGCTGCATGTTTCAGGCGTTGTTTCCTAAAATCAACACTTGATACTGCGCATCTCGTGCAAATTTTAGAAAGCAACACCTTCAAGGAATGGTCCTTCCACATTGCACTGAGACCCAAATGACTGCAACAATAGAATGAATAAATTAAAACAAAGAGATAGGATGCGTTGAGTTACAATTTCAGAATGGTATTTTTGGATGTTTAAGAATAACACCGTGAGGTGACTATATGTATTCAATCCGTGTCATCTCTTACCTATCATCTTATCTTTCAGGTAAAGGCATCCGCACTGGGAAAATTCAAGGAGTTGTTGTAAGTTTGTCACATGTGCCAGAGTTACTAGATGTTTCATCAGATGATGACAACATCAAGGTTGGAGCTGCAATTACACTTGCCCAACTATATGAATACATTGAAACCATTGCAGAAATCAAAAACGGTAAGTGGCCTACATCGAATATTCAAGATCTTTCAAATTGATATTTAGTTTTGTATGCTATACTAATACCCGTTTGTAGTAGTAAATGAGTTAGTATGAATTCATTTTAATAACTTTATTACAGGTGAAACGAAAGCTGGTTTGGAAACTGTGCTGGACATGTTACACCAGGTTGGGGGACATCAACTAAGAAATGTTGTAGTAAGTGTTAATAAGGTTAATGTAAATGAGTTATTTTTATTTGAATTCGGGAATTAGGCTAAAAACCCACAATGTCCAAATGGAATGTTAAAGTGTCATTATAGGCACCTAGACATATATTTTGAAAAAAATCGAATAGCTTTAAATTACGTCATTAATAGTGAATTAATAATCATTAGCTTTGCGGACGATAACTTTTTAGGTCCAAGTACCACAATATTCTATATATGTAGTGGTAAAAGAAAAAATGAACCATACTCATTTTACTGGAAAAAACTCATTTTATATAAAAGGCATTGACATCAACGATAACAATGATATGCAATGCAGAAATTGACAGTGGAGGGAGCATTAATATTATCTCCAAATTTAAATTTAAGTATTTTATGACTAACTTGTAGTATCTACAGCAATAACCAGATTTTTTATGATTAACTTCTAGAGTATAGGTAGCTCTATAGCAAGTGGTTTGGGACGATCAGATGTTCTTACACTGTTGTTGGCTATGGGAGCAACTACGGAGATCATCGACACAACATGTTTAAGTATATGTGATTATTCTATTAACAAACGAAAAAGTTGTGCATTATTAGGCTGAGCGAACTATTATTTAGCCTCAATCAAATATATTTGAAATAGATGCGTTTGACAACAAATATATTATTTTAATAAAACGTTTATTATCATTTGAAATAAGTTTCCAACAAAATGATCTTCGAAAACATTATATTTTTTGACTTTGAACCTTTAATTTATAAGAAACACCCTCAATTTTTCCATTTTCAAAAATATTATGTCTGTGGGGAATCTGCATCAATTACTTGATTGTTATTTTAGACAAAACGATAGTTTGTAAAGAAATCTCACAACTGATGAACGACGATGGAACTTGCCTTTTAGAGAAACAAGAGCTGATAACATCAGTTAATATTCCATATATGAGCCAGGTAAACAAAATCTCCCACATCAAATAAAAAGTGCCCACTGCCCCAGTTGTTTATCTTTAACCTGTCAGGTGACTTTGGCTTCAGCCATTAATTTGATGGAACACTGGAAATGACATATTAAATCTGTTATCGTAAATATGACCGCAACTTGATTCAACATTTTCGTTGCAGGGCGAGCATCTTTATTGGCACAAGCATGCATCAAGAGCTGATTTAAATCTGGCCAGTATAAACTGTGGAATGAGATTGAAACTACAGGCAAACTCTCACATTATAGAAGACCTGGTGCTATGTTATGGTGGAATGGCAAAACGAAGTATAATTGCAGCAAACGTGAAAAAAGAGGCCACTGGAAAGTAAGTATACCTTGTCAGTAGATTTTCTTTCAAATGGCTATTTAAATCTAGTATCCATCTATTCACCACGATATGGACAGATACAAAATAATCAAATCACAATATCTTTTTCAAAATCATTTTAGGGCATGGGGTAAAGAGTTTGTGGCTGTTGTGTGTAAGCTACTGGAGTCTGACATAGATGTTACACTTTACAAAGATGGGAGTGTTGATTACAAGAAAGCACTTGTCTCAAGTCTTTTCTTGAAGTTTTACCTGAAAGTTAATGCTAAAGTGATGTCACAGGTAAATGTTAGCAACCCCCTTTACATAAGATGAATGGGCAATGGGAAACACATAGCCTCTCTTCTGCTATTTGGAAACCGTCAATGGAATATCGGCATGTATAGATCCATTGGAAAAATGTTGCCAGAAATTAGGTCAAAAAGTAAAAATTCTATCTTGGCATATTTTTAGATTTTATTGCAAAAGGAAACGTCAAAATAATATTCCCTGGACCTCAAGTATAATTTTGATTTAATAAATTAAAATGTTTTCATTTTGACCATCATATTTGGAAAACGTCACCCGACCTACTTGGTGCCTATACACAAATATCTGCGTAATGAGTGTGTCTCTTGGGCTTGACGAAAATGTTCGGGTGTGCCTCGATTTAATAACAGATAACCTATAAATTACAACTTTTTAATGTTAACTCTAGCCTGACCCGTCTCCTGATATGTCGAGTGTACGCAGTCATCCATTGAGTAAAGCAAGTGAGATATTTGAAGATGTACCTCCAGAACAAGCTGCCGAAGACATAGTAGGCAGAACCATGGTACACAAGGCCGCACTACAGCAGACTACTGGAGAAGCAGTGTTCTGTGATGACCTTCCTATGTATAAAGGTATATGAACAGACAACGTTACAATAAGATAATAAGCAAACTTGTACAGCAAACAATTGCTTCTGTTTTTCCGGAATCCTATAATGTATATTTATAAACAATTTTAGATATGTTTCAATAGGTTATGGAATCGAAGTAAAGTAGCGCACAGATGTTCCAATAGAAATAAAAATGAGGGATGTAGCAATGTCTAAAAATGTTGACTTTGAATTATGTTTACCTCTCATTTTAGATGAGATTCATATAGCATTAGTGTTAAGTCACAGAGTACATGCTAACATAGTGAAGATTGACGCATCGAAAGCAGAATCCTTGGCCGGGGTGCTAAGCTTCATCAGCTTTAAGGATATTCCAAATCAGCAGTCCAATATTGCAGAACATGTGTTTGCAGATAAAGAGGTGAGATATCACAATATTATGAAATGAACACACCCTCATCATATGTTCCAAGTGCATACAGTAAAGCAACGGTTATGGAAGCTAGAATGAATGGGTATTTTACATGAAAGTAACATATTCAAATATTCGTTAACATTCGTTAAAATTCAGTTGTGAGAAAATGTTTTGGAAAATCAGAATCACAGGAAGCAAGCCCTGAAACAGTTTCCTACATGATTTGAAGATTCAATAATACGGTATCTAAGATTATAAGCCATCTCTCACATGAATATGCCTGAAATCAAATAGTGAAGGTCTACTACTGAATACTAAGGCATGATTTTGAACCGGATTAAATCTCTAGATCTATTTTTATCTGCAACTAATAATAATTAAAAGTTGCTTCATTCTAAATCCTAGTGACAATTTTGTTTTGATGTTTATTGTTTTTGAGTTAAGGTGGAGTATGAAGGCCATGTGATCGGTGCCATTATAGCTAAGACGGAGACCCGTGCTAGAGCTGCAGCAAACAATGTGGTCGTAGAGTATGATGATTTGCCTTCTATTGTCAGACTTGAGGTACAAATATGAATTTTAGGTGTTTTATTGAGCATTTCTACAAAGCATTTGCTCCTTGTTACTCTAAGATATGAGTAGGTATTTTTCAATTCCATTCAAGAGTGGAAGTTCTATGACAAATAAACGAAGAGATGGTTTCTTCAGACCATTACTTGGACATCCTTCAATTATACGTGATTATGTGTTGTGTTGTAATTACAATGCTTTTTTTATACAGGACGCGATCAAAAAGGAAAACTTCATGGCTGGCCATCCTGTGGTTTTAAAGCATGGCGATATAGATAAAGCTTTCCAGGAATCAGATGTAACAATTGAAGGTAATTTAAATCACCATGGCTGATAATTAAACAGCTAAAAATGAATAATTATTTAAGCATTAAAATGACACGATAACACCGACTCCAAGCCATTGAAATTACAAAATGTAACAATTTGTTAATAACACAACAGTTACTTTTGTAATTAACATATCATCCCAGGTGAAATTGCAATGGACGGCCAGGAACACTTTTACATGGAAACCCAAATATGTCGGGTCGTACCAACAGGAGAAGAACAAGAATTGGAGATTGTTTCATCAACACAATTCCTATCAGAACTACAGGTACGACCATGATTTTTATATCGATGTGTGTAGTAGTAATAACATCTGACGTTTCTCCAGATCGTTTACTTTATTTTTGAGAACTTATCCTCTATCGTCTCGAGCGATTTTACATGGTATGCATCGTAACTCGGAATGACTATCCCTACTCGGGATCAACTGAAAAGCGAAAATATGATGTCCTCGTTTCTGTTTCATCCCCAGTGATTTGTCAGTAAGTATCATACTGTCATACCTTTTGTTTTATAAAGTCGACTTATTTTTTTAAGACCAGAGTGTCTGAGATACTCAATGTTCCCCAAAACCGTTTAACAGTAAAAATCAAGCGGCTTGGAGGAGGTTTCGGGGGGAAGGAGGAGTCTCCGATATATGTAGCTGCCATAGCATCCATAGCAGCGCTAAAGTAGGTTAAAAAACTTAAACCACATTCAAGTTATTGTGTCCATAGTGATTTTATTATATGTGACATAAACATTGATTTCAGACCTAATACGAATTAAAAAGAGTATGTGAGTGTGTAATTGATGCTAGTTACAGTTAGATAGGAACACTCATATTGTATAAAATAACGAAGAGACCAATCATGAAATGTGAATAATCCAGAATATATCTGTCTATGTGGTTCCAGGTACAATAAACCCGTACGACTGGTTTTAGACAGACGAACCGATATGAGAGTTACACACAAGAGACAGGAGACATGGACTAAATACAAGGTACATGTATGTTAAATAATGGAATATATTTATGGCCAATAATTGGGGGATAAAGATCTGGTATCAGTTATTTACTCAGTACTCACAAGGAACCCGAGTTCAACTTCTTTCTCTTCAAGGCCGCCCAGAGTTGCTCGAAGTAAAAATTCAAGGTCAAATAGCATGGTCATTGAACGCCATTAGAATAATTGAAGTCATATACTTGATTGAGAAAAAATTCTATATTTCAACAACTCTTGACAAAATTGTTTCAATTTTAGCGTATATTCGGCTCATGTCATTCCTTTTCAATTTTTTCTAACAATTTTGAGAAAAAATAACGATTTTTACAAAATACATATATTTTCTATAAAAGTTGTTACCAATTTATTATTTGGGAGATTCTAAGCAATTTTCCCCATTTTGGCACTTGGAATCCTTATTATAACTCCATTAATTTATAACATATCGTGGATCTTTTTGGGAGATATTGTACGAGGGGGGATTCATAAGTAGTGGGACTTTTCTGGGGCATCAAGTCCCTGTGGACATATCTCAACCAAATTTGGCACATGAACAGACTAGGATATAAGGCATTGTTTGGTGAAATTTCAATTTAATTCATTTTGTTCCCTAGTAACAACAGTTGCTTTGAGATAGAGTGAGATTGCACCAGAAGGATAAGGAATCAAAACTCTTGCACAGGATTGATGTGCTCCACAAAAGGACTCGCTAGAAGTCACGTATTAGATCACGTCCTGAATATCAGTTGAGACTTGTATATTTAACTAGCAATTAGTGACAAACAATGTGCTCCGTGGACCCTGTCGTGACGTCATGATTGGAACTCTAACTTTACTGAAGTTGGGTGTAACCTTTTGAAATTTTCGCACAATTATTATCATATGTTTGTGGTTCTGTGTTCCAAGTTTGAATAAAATCTGTTTGATATAAGTGAAGTTATAGCATTTGTCCCACTACTTATGAATCCCTCCTCGTATATGAGAATTGTAAGGATTATATGGGTAGGTCAGCTATACAGGTTGTTTGCAATTTTGTCACTCCCTATCGATCTGATTCTCCCTTTATTTTAAACTCAATAAACAAGTGTATTTTATAAATGTTTGTCATAATTTTTATAACATCATTTTAAGGTTGGATGCTCAAAATCTGGTAAGATCCTTGCTGAGGAAGTGAGTGTCTACACCAATGCTGGTTACACGCCTGGCTTTTTTGGATTCGTGAGTAATAATACCAATGCACAGTAATGTTTACCGAGTAACTAAATCAAATGGCGATGGTTAATTGCTTTTATCATGTAAGATAATATGCATAGTAGTACAGAAAACAGTCATCTGTTTCTGTGTCTGTGACCATTTCTTGCTGGGTAGAAATTTTTATTAATTTGCGTCAGTTATAAACATTAATTAAATGTTTAAATGAAAATGTTACTCCATTTTAATATGTTACATTACAGGGTGGTCCAAAAAATGGGACACTCGTATTTCAAAAATATATATTGATTTTCTTGATGAAAACATGTCATATTATATACCAATGGATAGGGAATTTACTCATCTTTAATTTGGTATATTATAAGTTCAAATTTATTATAATGTCTGTCACCCAGTGTCCATAATATAAATGACGTCATTTTCGTTTCAAAACGGGTTTTCCGAAACTTGCAAAACCAAATTTTATTGTCAACTTTATTTACATAAAAATACGTTCAATATGTCTATCATTTTGCTCAATTGTAGCCCTTAATTTTGGCCTAAACTGGTCAATAGCATCATTGATATGCTGTTGAGACAATGGATTTCACTTCTCAATAACTCTGTCCTTAAGGGACTAAATAGTTGTACGGTAAAGGATTTATTGTACACTAATTCTGTTAGTTCTCCCCATACGTGGTTGTCGCAGATGTTGGCCCGGGGATGTTGGGTAATCGGGTGATCTGGGGAGGCAGTGATTAAGGGGGATGAATCTAGGCACATTTTTTTTAATCATTTGACACTTTTGTGGGATCTATTGATTGGAGCCCTGTCTTGTTGGAAAATGTAATGATTCGAAAATGAGCTCATATCAGGATGGTCCAAAAACAACATAATTGGGTCATCCGATATCAACGTCTGCGACGACCACATATTGGGAGAACTAACAGAATTGGTTTATCATGAACCCCTTACACCTACTCAGTCCCTTATTAAGGATAGACTTGTTGAGAAGTGAAATGCATTGTCTCAACAGCATATCAATGATGCTACTGACCAGTTTAGGCCAAAATTGAAGGCTAAATGGTGGGCATATTGAATATCTGTTTATGTAAATACAGCTGACAAAAAACTTGGTTTTTGCAAGTTTTGGAGAACCCGTTTTGAAATGAAAATGACATCATTTATATTATGGAAGCTGGTTGACAGACATTATAATTAATTTTAACTTATGATATACCAAAGTAAAGATAAGTAAGTTCCCTATCCACTGGTATATAATATGACATGTTTTCATCAAGAAAATCAATATTTATTTTTGAAATACGAGTGTCCCATTTTTTGGACCACTCTGTACATATAGGTAATGTGATTGTTAAATCGAGTGAATGAATCCTTTGATTCTGTAGGTCCAACCTGCTTCCTTGTTCTGTTTGGCTTCTGACCAGGGATACAAGATAGACAACTTCAAGCTATCAGCATATACATGTTTGACTAATACGAACCCCAGGGCCCCTATGAGGGGCTTCATGACTCCCCCACTGGCCCTACTAATGCAGGCAATCATGAATGACATCGCTTTAAAACTTAACATTCCCTACACTCAGGTATCCAGTTTAATTAAAGGCTACGATCTTGCAGCGTTCATGAACCATTTGTTATCATTTATTCACAAACTACGATCTGTTGACTTCAAAATATTAGATATCATTTGTTATACATACAACGATATGTCGATCTTACAACACTAATTATCATTTATTTACACACTACGATCTGTTGACTTCAAAACATTAGTTATCACTTATTTACAAACAACGATCTGTCGATCTCACTGCATTAGTTATCATTTATCTGATACTACGATCTGTCGATCTTACAAAATTAGTTATCACTTATTTACAAGCTACGATCTGTCGATCGCACAACATAATTTATAATTTATTTACAAACTACGATCTCATTTATTCACATACTTTGTTTCATCGGTCTAACAATATAAGACGAATTAATGTTTCTGCTCATGTCACAACAATTACAGGTTCATGAAATCAACATGTACAAAAGTGGGGACCATACGTTCTATAACAGGGAGTTGAAGGATGCAGGTAGTTTAAAAGTCTGCTGGGAGACATGCCTAAACAAAAGTGACTATTACAATAGACGAACTCAGGTAGACAACTATAACAGGTAAAAGTCTGATCAACGGGAGGTTGATGTACAGTATAGATAAGTACATATAGGGCGCATATCCTTTGAGCCAAAATAGGCAACGTAAATCATGGCTTATGACATACAGCAAATGTTTTAGATGCCCTTACCACCCTGACAATTTAAAGTCGACTCCCCAATTTAATCAACCATGCATACCAACAATACAATACGGTATGGTGTGTACAATGATACTTTAAAGGTCAGGGTGTGGGATATTTTTTGCTACAAAAGACTTGATCATCTGATTATCTTAATAAAATTGCTTTCTCTGTTACAGAAGTTCAAGATGGACGAAGAGAGGACTTTGTGCTATACCCATATACAGAGATGTAGGGATAGGATTCTTTAGGCATATGGGACAGGTTAATACAATTTTAATTGAAGGATAAGCATTATTTTCTTACTTAAAGCTATAGCCAAAAGATGAGACTCCATATTAGACTCCAATCTTATGAAATAAACACCTCAATATTTCGACACGGTAAAAAATCACGTACAGGTGATGAATATATCGACTGGTTTTTCTCGTTTTTAAGTCTCATTATTGCTACTTTCAACTCAGTGCAATATAGAATAACTGCAATATAGGATCACTGCAATTGTGAGTAAAATATGTTGCTAGCAACTCTTGAAGCGAGCTCTGTACCTTCAGCCCTTAGTGTGTAACTTCTTGGATGTTGCAGTATGTCTCAAAAATTGAGAACGTCAAACTCCATAGTTTTACCGTACAAAGCCTTTTAGTCGGACTATCTACAAACAGGTTATCATATGCTATGTCTTTATCATACGTTTTTGACTTCAAAATAATAGTTATCATTTATGTCTAGGGTGTCCTGTATGTCCTGTATGGTGGTGTCTGTATACAATCGGGTTATCATATGCTACCTCTATATCATATTTCTAGGGTACGGCCTTATAGAACATCTACAAAAATGGTCCTGTATGTTGGTGTCTGTGCACAATCGGGTTATCATATGCTACCTCTTTATTATATTTTTAGGGTGCCGCCTTAGTGAACATCTACAAAGATGGTTCTGTATGGATCAGTCATGGTGGTGTCGAGATGGGACAAGGTCTGCACACTAAACTTATACAGGTAAATTATCTCTTAGAAATCCTTTTCTTTAAACGAGACAAGAAAAACCCCAAATCCTCAGAGTAGCAAATCCTACCGAAAAAAGTATTTTATAAAATTAGTACTATTTGAACATTTCATGATATAAGTAACCAGGCCGTAGTATTATCCTCTTTTGGCAAGATTATTCAAATGACCAGACATTCCTGATACGATATGCATAAGCCATCAATCAACATTTAAGTTGAAACAAAATAAGACTTACACAATAGAATGGCATCTCTTGCTCATTCGAATACATGATATCTTGATAAGTACATTTTCATGAACATCATTGAATAAACATATTATATATCCGTCTTAAAGTTCATACAATTTAACAAATATGGGAATTGTTACAATGAAATCCTGAAGAATGTGCGCAGCACAGCACCTATACATTCAACTGGACAATGGATGCGCTGAAGAAATAGTTACAGAAAATGGCAATATTCATAAACATCAATGAGTTGAATTTTCAGGTAGCTAGCAAGGTGCTTCAGGTTCCCTGCGAAAGGATCCACATCCTTGAAACAAATACAAATTGTGTTCCAAACGCTCTTGTTACAGCAGCCAGTCATGGATCGGATCTCTTTGGTATGGCTGTCAAAGTGAGTAATAGTATATTGCATGAATTGTGTTCTTAATGCTCTTGCTAAAGCAGCTAGTCATGGACCACATCTCTTTGGTATGGCTGTCAAAGTGAGTAATAGTATATTAACAGGATCTTAAGAGGTTCTGGACAAATCATTTGATTCTGGACTTGTCATATTTTATTTTCAACGAAATCACATCCAAGGGTTGAATTTTTATTAGCTATTTAAAGAGAGGGTCCTGCCTAGTATTAATTTCAATAAATAAAGTTAAAATAGAGTCAATCTAATACTCATATTACATTGATAAATTAAGGCAAATCCTGAAATATTTTTAAAGTGCATTTTTTATGAAATATTATCCAGCAAGTATTTAGATGAAACGGTCTTATTTAAATACAAATCATAACATGATGATATTTTTCATGAAACATTTTTCATTTTTAATTTAGGTGAAAACCCTTACATGATGATGTGTTTTCATAACTTCTTTCATAAAATTCCATCAAGGGGTGAAGATAAAATGATCGAATTTAAGTGATTTAAGGATCACGAGAATATGTTTTCTTGGATATTTTCTATGCAATCCCATCCAATGGTCAAGGTAAAATTTTGATTTTGATTTGGTATTAGGTCACGTGTTCCAAAGATCCATATAAGGCCCATAGAACCATATAGGAACGTCATTTTGAATGTCACGTGATAGATCCATATAAGGCTTTTAGAACCATGTCGGGAAAGATGAGGGGAAGCCCCTGACACCTGTTTCACGATTTTATCCGAAATATGGATCATGGGATGGGATCATTTCGGTTTTTATGCACTTCATTATTGTACCGAAGTTTGCTGATTCGATTCGTCGTATTTCGGAATCCTGGTGACAATTTTATACTCTATTTGGAGTATTTTTGATCTACTTCTTATGACGAAAATTCCCGAACCTTGTTCGGATTAATCCGGATTTTCTGACCTACCTTATCTAACGAGATTTAACGAGTTACATTCGTCTCATTTCGGAATCCTGGTGACAATTTTATACTCCATTGGAGTATTTTTGATCTACTTTTTCTGGATTTTGCCCTACTTATTATATCTTGACAACAAGCAAATCAAAAAGTTCGACATGAACGGGTCTCGATCAACTAACCTATAGCGTGGAAGCCAGGCACGCTAACCATGAGGCCAACGTGCTACCGATATGAAAGAACAAAAGTATTATATATTTATACCGAGCGTCAATTCAAAATGATCCTCACTTTTGACTCCACTTATAGGCTAGGCAAATGGAAGTTTAACATCCCAAAAATTGCAACAGTTTTTAAATTAGGCTTATATTGTATATTGATACCAGTTGAAAAACATATCAAAAATATAGAAAAATATATGCAGTGGACAAATATGAAATGTCACATTCCAGGTACCCCCCTCCAAATTTGAGTATGGGATTGTAAATATTTTTTTATTTCAAAATGGAATACTCTTGTCAACTAAACGAGTAATATTATGATAGTTTACTGACATAAGAGCAACTAAAAATTGTTAACCAACTATTTGAGTGCAATAATTGGCATTTTCTAGCGCCAAATATCTGAAAATAGGCCATCAAATAGCCCGAATTTAATATAACAATGTATTTATTTCTGTATCAATTCATCAGAATTGCATGAAAAATATCAAGGAGAGTAATGTACACCTGAACATTGTCTTTGATAAGTATCAGGGTCATTAAGTGAACATTGAGCGTGAAAATAATATTTGAAATTTCAATATTTTACCACACCCACTTTTGGGGTGACCTTACTTTTGTTTAATTACTTCCAAGATATGTCGTATTTGAACTCAATAGCACAACTAAATTATTTGTAAAGGCTTATTTTGTCCTGAAAACAGTTTTTGAGGTTTTCAGGAAAGGATTATGTAAAAAAAAAGTAGAAAAACAGCAAATGCCAGGTGAAATATAGGGGAAGCCCTACTTTTAGTTGATAACTGTTAAATTATCAAATGTTTTTCCTTTTAAATTCAATTTGATATACCTTAATATATAATATACCTTTTCTGGTAAAACAGAGAACGATTTGTTACAATCAGTGGTCAAAAAATGTCCTTGAAAAGGCAACAAAATGTTAAATATCCCTGTCCCTGACATCAGTTTATGAGCCAAAAAAGGTAATCCAACCAAATGTTTGTTAATAACCCAGTCATTCAGCATGGGTTTGACATCATATTTGGCACAATTACCTTGTTCAATGTTCTTTCATTCTACTAAGTGTCATTGATCTATCCTTAATAGTCACGATTTTATGGCCATTTACAAAATGTGCTCAAAATATCGAAATGTGCCTAACTGACTGGACATCAATACCACCAGTTTTTTTTTATCTGTGGACCTTTTTTCGATACTAACAACACTTGAAACATTAAAACAAGAGATAAGAATGAAGATGAGAGTCATAACACATGATTTTTATGCTCCTGATTTGAATAACAACGCACGATACGTTCAAGTTGGCCTCCAGGCATGACACCCATATTTCATGGCATGGTATAAAATGGCCATAAAATCGTGACCACTAGAGACCACTGAGACTGGGTAGATTGATAATACATTGACCAAGACTCAATTCTGCCAAATATGACACTAAATCCATGCAGGATGATTGGACTGGATTATTAAGATTTGTTTGGGTTACCTTTTTGGCTCGCCCTGTATTAAGGAAAAATTGTTACTTTTGACTAAGGTGTTCTTAACCACACAGTGATATTGAGAAATGAAATGAAGAAGTTTAACTGAAGAATGTTAGATTTCAAGATGAAATTCAATAAAAAATGAGGAAAGGGTTTCTACATTAATAAATCCTCCTGAGTTAACTAGTGTAACGCAAAGTAAATCCCTGGTCTTTATACAGGGCCTGGTTCGATTATGTTATGTTCATTATCAAAAATGCTGCCTTAATTTTGTAATCTTAACCTTCATATATGTGTCTTACTTATAGAGAGCAAAAAAGAATGCTGATTAAATAAGCTTAATACTATTATGTTGTAACAACAATCAGTTACAACCTTGTCTATCACCAGCCCTCATCAGGGGCGGATATGGGAACCAACAAGGGGGGGGGGGCAAATGTCAGGTCTGAGAAAAAAACTTCCGCAGAAAAAATTTTGGGCCCCTAAAACCCTGAAGTGGGCCCAAATTTTGAAATATTGAGACCCATTTTCTCCAATTAAAAAATAAGGCTTTAAAAGGCTCATTTATGACCAAAAAGGCCCACTTTTCGGGGCCTTAAGGCCTTTTTGGGCCCAATTTTTTTTCTGGGCCCGCCCAAGGGGGTGGAAGGGGCCCAGATCTGCCAGTGTTCATTATTTAGTCATCATTATTCTCATGATCAGTAATGGAGGTATTTGCACAAATGCCTTTGCATACCTTACATGTCAAAGAACAGTTATTTCATTTTTCTACAAGAACATCTCATAGAAATACAATCTGCCTTACACATACAATGGATGATCTCTGAGAAAGGGGAGCTGCATTTAGGCAATTACCCAAATGCGAGTAGGTAGTTACCAGTTTCACCACCAGGTGGCTGATTCGGGTCAATTATCATGGCAGGTATATAAGAAAGTTCCCTTAAACTTGAATATTATCAATTTAAGTGGCTCAAATTTAATATAACCTTTATGTGTCTGATACTTATACTAATGAAAATATGTCCAGTAAAGCAAAATATTATCCGTCCACTAAAAGAAAAGATATTTCATTTTTTGTGATTTTATAGCATGGGGTCTATGGGAATCTCCCCGAGCTAGAAGTCACATTTTCAAAGAAAATTAGTTTTTCAAAGTTGATAAACACTTTTTAAAACCACATTTCTAGAAGTAATTTTACATGTAGATTTCAAATATGATATTACTTTGACTGAATTTTGAATTTTTAATGACGTAAATCAAGATTATTTCTACTCGCATCTGGGTTATTGGTACATAGTTTCGTTGCTTATTTCCCAGCCCAATTATAATGGAGGCAGTTTATTTCCCTCCCACTCCTGGATCTGATGGTACACTCTGTAACTGTGGTATTCCACAGCATCAGAAAATGGAGGAAGAACACGGGGCTGCAATAATTCAGATCTTGCTGCTCTCTTTTAATAGAATTTTAGAAGCCTAAGATAATTTAGGATTTCACCATTTTTCCACCATAAATTGACAAAAGAGCATGTTCCTCTGCAATGACAGAGTTGCTTGCATTTCACTGGTTTTCTACTTGTTTACATTGTAACAAAATGTCGGAACATCGAAGGTTTGATTTTTCTTTATTTCACACATTGTAGGCAGAATTCCCACAACATTGTTATCACAAAAATGTATCAGTATTATATATTTAAAAAATGTACATATTTGCGAACAAATAGTTCAGAAGACAACAGAATCTTTGATTTAATTCCTCACTTAAGTTACATAAACGGTATTTCGATAAACAATTAAGATCTGCACTTTTAACCCAAACCGTTTATTTAACTTAAGTAAGGAATTAAATCAACAATTCTGTGAGAAAAAAAACATCGTGGGGATTCTGCCTACAACGCGTGAAAAAAAGGAAAAAAGAAATATCGTACTTTCGACGTTTAGACATTTTGTTACCGAAACGACAAGCGTAATCGAGCGGATCACCAGTGCTTTTGGTAATTTAAAAACAACCGCTTGTTCTCTTAAGAACTCACTCTTTTTTATCTGCCTCAATGATAGCCTTTTGTCTATGCCATATATAACCTGAATGCGATGTCACACCCCAGAAAAGAAACAAAATATTGTCACAGACCACTTTTCCAAAGACAATCTTATTTCATTTATATTCCAACATTTTGTTTCTTGGGTTGCTGCTTTTGGTTCAGGTTTGAAGAAAATATTGAAGTATGTGTTTTGTGCATGATAAATGAGAAGCACAAGGAGATCTGTATGAATACTGTATTTGAGGTTTGGACACTTTGGATTGCAGTTTTCACAATCACAATATCTGCATCCGA